GCCCGACAAAGAGCCAATTTCCAGACAGCACTCCAGCAACAATGAAAGTGATCAAGGCCACGGCATAAGCCTGCTGGACATCATCCGCGTGATTGTGACCTTACTCCTCGCCTGTGGCGGTCTCTCCTATTACATGACTTCCTCTGAGTCTGTGATGTGGGGGTACAGACCGTGGTATACACGATGGCCGGTGGTGAAGCAGTGGGTGGTACGCAAGTCCCCGTCCTTGATTTTGACGGAAAAAAAAAGGTCGTGTCCAATTCAAGCTAACAGATATATTTCAAAAATAAAGCAAGGTCCGGTTACCCTGACACCAAGCCAACTATCTCTCTACAACGGCACAGACGCCAACCTCCCCCTCTACGTCGCAGTCAACGGGACCATCTTCGACGTCTCGGCAAACCGCATGATCTACGGACCGGGCGGGAGCTACAACTTCTTCGCGGGGCGGGACGCAACACGCGCTTTTGTGACAGGGTGTTTTAAGGAGGATCTTACGGCCGACATGCGCGGTGTCGAGGTTATGTTCCTGCCGGTTGAGGATGTCGAGGATGAGGCTATGACGTCTGCGCAGAAGAAAATCCGTCGCGAGCATGAGTTACGGACTGCTAGAGCTCGGGTTGAGGGGGCTGTGAACAGGTGGACTGGATTCTTTGCGAATCATAACCAGTATTTTGAGGCGGGGAGGGTGATTGATGGAGGTGTTGGTGGAGAGCCGTGGCCGCTTTGTGAAAGTGCGCAGAAGCAGCGACCGAAGAGAAGTGCGATGGTGGAACAGTCGTAGGACTACTTTTGTGTGATTTGCTGGATTGGTGTGGATAGTTGGATAGTGCAGAATGGTAGGTGGAGGTCGAGAGAAGTCTACGGAATATGACGCATGTCCTTTTTCATGAAGTTTTGTAGATTTTTTGATTCAGTTCGCACTACCTGACGTAAACCAGGAGCGCGAATGTTCCACACTCTTCAAGAGTCAGACGTTAATCCACTATGCATCATGCCCAGCCGGGCTTCCCATGGTAAATGATATCATTCGTAGCAAGGAAAAGAAAACCGCGAGAAAAGACGAGAGACGAGACGAGACGTTTACTCGGCGGTGACGGCACGGGCTATTAGGAATAGTTATCAGTATTGAAGGTTCGAGACGTAGATGTTGGAGGGGAACGCACTGTAGATGCTCATGCTGGAGTGACCAACGACCTTCTTGATCTGACCGTTAGCCTCAAGGTCGTTGAGAGCCTGGCGGGCAAGGCTGCCGTTGATCTTGAGACGATCGACAAGGGTGGCGACAGTGATCAGACGGTAGGACTGGACATCCTTCTGAAGCTTGTCGTTGGTGGCCTTGTCGAGGATGACGGCGTGCTGGGCCTTGTCCTTGACTATAGGGCGAAAGGCATGTTAGTAAATGTTGTTCTCGGTTTTATTGCGAATCCCCAGCTCGTCCAACGATTTCTTTCGTGTCTTGTAGGAACTCGGCGGAAATCGTCACGGTCGCATGGTTGGTGATTGCGTACCCTTGCCCTTGGACCACTTCTTCTTTTGCTTCTTGCCTCCGGTTGCTGCGGGCGCCTGTTCGTCACATTCCGATTAGTATTGGTGTTTCCGGGTTGGTATACTGGGATGCTGGGGAACTCACCATTTTGTCGGATGAGGTGGATGTTCAAAGGAAGAGGGCGACGTCCAGAAGCCGTTCAAGTGCGAAAAGGCAGTGGGGCGTGACTGAGGTGAGCCCTAAGCCCTTGATCGGTTAGTCCGGATGTTGTCATTGGTTGACATACATTGTTACATAATGCAGCTGACATCATCCTCAGATAGTTCTGCCTGAGGTGTCTATTATATTTTACGACAAACGGTATATCATTTTTTTGGGTGCTTCTTGAGAAACAGAGAAAGGTATCCAGGAATAGAGTAATACACAACGAAATGTTTGGTTTTCCTTATGACTTTCAAACAACTGCCCTCATTTCTCGTCCAATACCAGCAGTGACCCTTGATCCCTTCAATCAATTTCGCATCATGTCATAATACATTAACCACATACATTGAACACCACCTCGAAGTTAACCAAAGAATAGAGCCTGAAATCCCGTCTTGATCAGCTTTAGTTGATGCTTACTCAGACCATCTCTTTCCAACTCCAGGAGCATCTCATCAATATAAAAATCTTCGTCCATGTCTGCTTCGATACTACCATGTTCGGAGTTATCCTCGGTCTCATTCGGTGAATTGTGATTGGCTGTCGCATCCTCTTTGGAGGGATGGTTTTCGTTGTCATTGTCGTCCATTTTATTGTCGGATGGGTTGAACGGCCGGCTGTTATCATCCACGTACTTGGCTTGCTTCCTAACTTCACCAAGGATCTTTGTGGTAATGGCTGCGTTAAACATCGGGTCTCCCGTTGCCATCTGTAAATGCTGGAAGAGAAGGGAATTACGGGTCACTTTGGCGTTCTCGCTTTCTGGCAGCAGATTTGCGATACATTGCGCATAGACATTTCGATAGAACTTCAGCGTGTCCGGTGAGTCTTCCCAAACACAATCCTCGTCATTGATTCCCCGTTCCATCTCTTCGCTCCATATATATACGGGCGGACACCAGTCGCGCATCAGCCATAGTGGATACGTCTCATTCCCTAGACTTGACGGCACGGCTTGCGCGCCGTCCCAATTGAGGATTGCCCGCACAGAACCGTCACCCGAAACAAGGAAGTTGAAGATATTGGGACCTGGGTGTCTTAGAACGAATGATTCCTCGCCACGTGACTTTGGAATCCAGTCGACAAACATTCGAAGAAGCTTTAGATATGCCCTTCCTTGCGCATTCTCCTGTTCCTTCCACCGGCCCAGACGAGAAGTGTAACCCTCTCTGAGGCCCGAGAATGGATCCTTGTTTACTGGCACGACACCTATTAGGCGATCCTGATCGTCAAATCTCAAAAGTTGCCTTTTGTTGAATATGTATTTTCCAAGCTGAACATATGCAGCAGCAATATCCTGCAGACAGCGTGTGCGCCGGGCCTGTACAACTTCTTTTAGGGATTCCCGGTCATGCCAAACATCCATCAACGGCACAGCGTCGATGAACTCCATGAGAATGAAGGGCACTTTGAGCTTGTTTTCGCACGTATTGTTGTATGCAAAGACCTCGGGGATCGGGATGGTAGTCTCACGCCGCAGCATCATCATTGTCAATGCTTCCGAGCGAAGGTTCTCGGCATCATCTTCGTCAAATTGATCAGGGGTTCCGATAGCTGGGACTTTGAGGAGCCAGCTCACCCCGTCGGCGAATTTCACCTGATAGCAAAGGTGGCTGTTATGTTGATCCGGAGACCCAACCTCAACGACAGGAATGCTCTTCTTGTTGCCTGGCTGTGTCTTTGCTCGGATCGCTGCCACGTATCTACTGATGTGCTTCACTTTCACCCTTTCCAATACTGCATCGAATGGATCTATGTCGAGGGAATCCAACTCATCATCCTCGTCGTCAGAATCCCCATCCCCGCGCAATCTTTTTAGCGTCACATGATTCACGATTGACAATGAGAATGAAACAATTGCCACAGCGATTCCTCGAAGACGTTTAGAAAAAGACTGTGAAAGACGCCCCATCACCACCGCTGTTGGACGCTGCTAGGGGTATTTCGGGTAGGTATGGATTGTGGCCTCAATAAATAAGATCTAATCGGTAAGATGTGTTAGGAGGAGTGTTCCAAGTCGAAGTTGAGCGGCATGGAACATGTCGAGCGAAGCCAGGCATTATATGGATTTCCTTTCTTGAATCTGCCATTCTCGCACCACATGCCATGTGAAAGAACGGTCGAATGGCCTTTGATGAAAGAAATTGGCGTTCTATATCTTCAATTCTAAGAATAGATTGGGGAGTTGATAAGCAGTCATTCATTGGTGGAGAGCTGATATTCTTTGTAATTCAGGTTTACAAAACAAAGAGTGGCATTTGGATGCAAAGGCCTCTCATTTTCGTAGAACCAGCAGAATTATGAGTAAAAAGGCGGGACAAGCCGATAGAATTCATCATCGTCACGTGGGCGGTAGATTCAAGTATTTGGGAAATGAGAGGCCCAAGTCCCTGGAGCATAGTAATTTCTGTCAAATTATCTAGATTTACAAAATTACTTGGTATGAGGTGTGTAGCATCACCTGGGCAAAGTCCATCTACAAATATAATCCTGTTGGTTAGGGGTTTTAAATTCTTAGTCGAATCCGAAGATATATATCAAGGAGTGGAAATTATGGACGTCTCCAGATTCACTTATGAGGTTTGTGCCATTAAATTTCTGGAATTATTTATAGAACCCAAAGCACGTATGATGATCAACTTTGCAAGAGAGAAAGATAGAGAAGTGCCAGGTAATGGTAAACAGGCGCGAACAAAGGGATCCGAGATACATCTAAACAACGGGATGATTTAAGGAGAGATAAGACATGAAAATGTATACTCAAATACTTTGAATGACTGTAGTTCCTTAGAGGGAATGGTCAAATGTATTAGCAGATCTACACTTAAAAAGCATTCAAGTACAATCCTGGAACGACGAAGGTGAGTTGGATGTCAGGCCAGCTTTGACGCCGTTTCAAAGGTAGTAGCAAATAGTTCAAAACACGTAAAGAAAAAGATGAAGAAAAGAGGCCACATGTAGAGGAGACACATTGAAAGTGTAAAATACAGGTCAAAAAATAACCGCTCGTGAGATGTGTCAGAGGTCTGGCGGAACACCTGAAACAATGGCATACAGAGTTACTATGATGAAAATGATCAACCTTCCAAGGCTGGAACTTTCGATGCTTTGTCTTGATATCATCCGGGAATCCAGAGATACTTGATTATAAAAGGAAAACATTGAGGCTCATTTAATTTAATTAGAATGACCCGTAAATTTCAATAAAAAGAAAGTAGATGCTTTAGGTGTAAAATCGTAGAATAGTTAAGCGTGCCCCCTATCACCAGTCCTAACCGTTATCCCTATTTGAAGCAACCTCCATGCTTCACTCATCAATCTGAAGTATCGTGCTTTCCCTAACTAGTTCCAGCAACTTCTTAGCAGGACGGCTCTCTGCCCGATTCGAACGATTTTCCAGCAATCCCAGAATTGTGGCCTTGAAGTTCTTCCCCAAGTCTTCCCACACAAACTGCGGATTAAGAGCCTTAATAAAGGCGCGCATTGTAGTAGTAGGAATATTGAGGATACGGCAAACGCTTTCGGCCGAAAGATCCTTCTGCATCTCAGTGATGAAACTAGACTCCATCGCTGATTCGAACTGCGTGAATTCGTCTGCTTTGGTTTCAATCATGGCAGTTGTCTCGGTTCCTAATTCCCTAGCCGAATCAGCGGCTGGGAGGGATTCCGACTTTGGTCCGAACAGAATTTCGTTAAGCAAGACCTCATTTAGAGGCTCAATCTCATCGCCAAATTGGCCTTTCTTCCCGATCTGCCAAGGAATGCGCTCTTTCTCTGCATCACCAAAGGCATTTTTGCTCAGTTTGAGGTTATTGGCCTTGGTGTGTTCGTCAATATTATCCCCGAAGTCTGCGTTCAGAAGAGCTTTGTACAACTTCAGGTTGTGAATCTTCAAGGTATTAGGGTTGACGTGCCAGAGAGAACCAAGTTCGACACGTTTGTCGATAATTGCTTGACAGGAGCTCTTCATCTTGGCCCATTCTTTGCTCTTACACGCTTCCGAGACTTCCCTCTTCAGTGGGCCAAAGGCAGCTGAGCGCTTGGTGTAGATAGCGGCGGCGACGAGGTCATCTGTGTAACGTCGTTGGCCTCCGTTGGCGAGATGCTCAAGATAGCGGATCATTATAGTATAGCTCTCACTCTGTCGCTGTAACTCTCGTGGAAGCTGCTTTAGTAGACGAGTTGCGATGGCAGCAATTTCAGACTCCTCCGCCGTAAGCATTCGCATAAAGACAGTTATAATTGTGCGAGAATGATGAAGCTGAATGTTTCGAAGCTTGGAAAACCTGATCATCCTCTCTTTCCCATTCACCCAAGTCGCTTTTTCATTCCTAGTCACCACACGGACAATGGCCTTGTCAAGGAACTTTTGCAGGTTTTCGTAAAACTGCTCAAGAGGCCATCCGGTGTAAGGATACAAAGTGACGACAGTTTCGTACCAGTTCCACCCCGCATCGGTTTTGGGCAGATCATATTGAGAATTCAGACCAAACAGCTGCCAGACCATACTTTGAGGGCGCACTCCTGAACCTGCTATTGTCAACAGATTGCCAAATAGTCCTCGCATCAGCCTTGTGACAGTATCTCCGGCCTGCTGTGACACAACCGGCGCAGTTGTCCTCATCGCCGCGAGCTTCGACATAGCCGCCATCAGTAAAGCGCTCATAAGCTGACCAGTTTCTGGGCTGCTAGGTTGAATGTTGCACTCTCGAGCCGACACTGCCTGACTAAGAGTAGATCTCATGATGATTCTTAGTGCGGCAATATGCGCTTCGTTGCACTTCTCCATCCATCGCACGGTGTAAGGACTTTCGAGGTTAACGAATTCATCCCAACAGACCCAAGCTAACATCGATCCGGCTCCCAATCCCTGGCTCAGGTATGGTAGCGCCAAGATTGGGTGAGAAAGACCATTCCCACGTCGGAGTGGACCATCGTGGTTAGCCTGCGACTGCTCTATGATAATTCCTGCGTCAAATCCCTCGAGATGTAGAACTCTCGAGTCAAGGTCGCAGCATGGACTATGAAACAGAAGTCAGTGGTGGATACCAGATATTTCTCTTGTGAATTCAAGGACAAAGGGAGGGCATCTTAGAAGGTGAAAGAGACACCAATTGCATTTTAACATACCTGGCATTCATGGCACTGTCTTTCAGGTTCCCCAAGAGCTGAGAATAGGACGATGTCTTAATGTTCAGTAGCATGACGCCCATCTCTCCCGCATATGTCTCAAGATAGCCCGCCAAGGTGTCAAACGTCATGGACTTGACAACCTCAACATTGGCCTGAATTTGTGTTTGGCGAATAAGTCTCTTCATATCATGTGTCCGCTTTGAGGTCGTTCGAGTGGAAATCATGTTGGACAAGCTTGAAATCAGTGGCTCAAGCGCAATCTGCGTGTCCCTGGTGAGCTTTCTCAATTCTCCAAGCATAGAATTCTTCTTCTTTGCAGATTCTGGATCTGTCATTCTGTACTCCTCGGTTAGGTACTTGGTGTAGGTGTTTCTCAATGTAGCTGTCACGCTGCTGATCTTTGTTGATAGTGCAAATACTAAGGCTCTGGAAAGTTCCCGTAGGTCCTTTTCGACCAACAGAATCTGGAGCTGGGGAATTGCTGCCGATATGTCCTCTTCCAGCTCTTTGACTTGGTCTATTGGAAGCTTTTCGAACAGCGCCTGAAGATCTTTAGGCAGGACCAACTGGCCTAAAGTGGGCAAAATGATCGGATTTCCATCCCCAAGAGTACTTATGCGCTGAATTCGTGGATCGAGTATGGACTCCATATCAACAGTCTCGATTATGGATGTCACATCAGAGCCAAATTTGATTCTGGACGTGTTGATGTGTGCCCGATTAGCAATGCCTCGGTAGAAGTAATATTTCTCGGATATTTGAACGAGAATCAAGGATTGTGGTCCTGCTAGTGCCGTCACCGCGTTGATGTTTGCTGAGTTCAGCAACGACTGGATATCGTCGGCGGAATTGGGCTTGTTTCGTGGACTGAGTTGCACGATGAAGAGTGCATTGATTCTATAGAAAGGTGCGAGATTGCGGGCATTGTCTGTCATTCGATCGTCCACAACCACCACGGCACTCTTGAGTTGCTTGTAATAGTCCTGGAGAGCAATTTCATCGGCAAAGGGAACATTTGAGGGGACCGTTCCTGTTGCCAATAGGAATGGGCCTTCGAGCTGAGTGCCAAATATGCATGGCAAAACAACAGCGGATGGCTCGGCCTTCATGGGGAGCTTTTCGCCTGGCAGTTCGAACTCAATGCCGGTCCCAAAACGTACGACTTGCGTTTTTTCTAAATCAAGAAAGGAAGGGAGAGTGGCCAAACCGGTGGTAAACACGGCGTTTTCTTTGGTGATCTTGCGCGCGATTTCAGGGCTCGTGCTAGTTTTCTCTTTGGCGGAATCACCTATTGGGGCTGCATATGTCTGTGAGTCAGCCTCTAAAGATATTTCGTCTTGATACTGATAATAATTACGTTGTGTGGCATTTGGAGAAGTGGCAGAAATGCAGAAATCGGCGCGGTCGATCGCTTCTGCGTAGGAAGCGCTTTCCAACCTACTACCATTGGCGCTTATCTCTAGATCTGTCGTTGCTGTTGGCAAAATTGAACAGATCAGGGAGTCCCCGTCGCGTTTTATCACCAGTGGACAGCAGATGGTTGCCTGCCCAATTGTCGCTTTATCCAAGGGCACTGGGACGATATAAAGGACCTGCGAACAACGATTAAATATAAGCCCCAAGAAAGACTGATATGCTGAAACATACCTTATCCACATGATCGGCAACGAGCAAGGCAGGGTGGGTTCCTAGAAATCTTGTTATGGGGGTCGAATTGAAGCCGGATATGAAGACGCAGAGTTCTTTCTCTGTGAGGGAGTCCTTGTTGATCCTGACGTAATCCAGGAGATCATTTTCGACGTAGAGGTCGCCGCTATGGGTGATTCCTGGAAAAGTATGTTCTGCATTCCAGCAACACACGTTTGATGATGCATCTGCGAAGCAGAAATCGTAGTAAGTGGGCGTTCTTTCAGAGACTGCCAGGAGTGTGATTTGGCCGGACACTATTGGTATCTTGAATGTTGAAGCTGGTGCTTGCAAGATTTGGAAATTCTCGAATACCTCTGTTAATAGTTAGTGTTCACTCTTTAATCAAACGAGAGAAAACATACCCAAATGAGACGGGTACCCCGCCATGCGCCTCAGAAGGATCTCACCCATCTCACCCATGTCCACGGCCTTGGAGAAAAAGTCATCTGGATAGGGGGAGATATCAATTTCATCAATACCGCTTTCTGTTCGACAAAGAAGAAGTTGTTCAGGACTGAAAGGGTGTGCGGAGCCAGCTGGAAGTTTCTCTAGGATCTCTCGAACCCGCGCCTTCGATGTTGCAAGCGGGTCGAAGAAGGTTTTCCTTACTCGCTCCATGGCTAGGAGGATGCCTGGTCACGAATTGTGACGTCGAAAGATTTGGGGGGAATTCAGGTTGAGAAGGAAGATAGGAAGGAGAGCTGAGTTTGTATTCGTGCACAAGCTGGGTCTTTATAGACGACAGATGAGGTCTAAGATCAGCTGGTAGGTGAGGCTGAAAACTGTCTCCACAAGTATGGCTCCATACATAATGTACGTATATTACATTTCCCTTCCTAATTTTCGTGAGTCACATCTTCCCCGCATGAGTCACGCTAAAAATATAGAATCATCATATTTAGTTAATACAAGAATGAGAGATAGTCGTGCAATAATGGATCCTACAGTGCCGGATATAGAAATGACAATGTATCGCTAAATGTGTAAGAGCCAGTGCCTTTGTTGCCCATTCTAGTAGGAAAGTCATCCCAGCAGGTTTCTTCTGGGCCTTGAACTCGAGGTGGTAAATGATAATAACCTTGGGAACCGCTAGTCAACAGGTGACTCACAAACTTATAGATTGCCCAGATGTCCGTCCAACCGTGGGTTATATCCATAGATGAACTACCAGAGTATGATTACGATTCCCAATACAAAGCCAAGTTAATAGGGAAAACAGAATGTTTCTTGCGAAAAGGGAAATTGGGGTTCAGGACGCCTGAGATAGCTTCAAATATAAGCAAAAATGTCAGAAGTATGCCCTGGTGTATACCCGAGTGTACACAAAGTGGGGACTGCTAGAGTACTAGACTCAAGAGTCGATGGGTGGACCGTGCGCTGAGCCGCCTGGACCGTGCGTTGGGCCGCCTCCATCGCCCTGATCTCCCGTCCTTCCAAGGTTAACTAACCCAAAAGAAGATTAGCGGTATTTGGACCAGTTCGCCTTGCGATGACTGTCCCAAAGCCATAAATCCTTCATTCTCTAGTCCATCTGCGCAAATACCTCCAACGCCTCATGTAACCTTCCAAATACACCGCTGTACCACCCCTTCATCGCTTCCCATTCCTCCCCCGGCAACATCCCCCGACTCATGCGCAACCAACCTCCAACAATAAAATCTGCATAACTTGGCTGACTCCCCATCAGAAACGGCCCACTGGCATCGCTCACATACAGCCTCGCAAGTCCACCTAAGTTTTCCTCAAATAAGTTCAGCAGCTCCTCCCTCTCCTCCCCACTAATTGCCAAAGTCTCCCACGGCACGCCCATCCTCCGCGAAAACGTCGCCTTGCACTCCTCCGCAATAGCAGGATCAAAAGGGAACCTCTGTACCATCAGGCGCGCATGCGCACTAAACACAGCATCGACATTCGTATTAAACTTCACGTACGCCGCAGCAGGCCCCTCCTCCACCTTCGTCTCCGCGATCGGCGCATAAAGCCCCAAATCCCGCCCGAAGACGAACTCCAGCTCCTGCAACGGGAACAAGTCGCCCACTCCTGTGGATGGGTATTGTTCCTGGAGATATGTCGCGATTTCAAAGGAGTCGCCCACTATGCGCCCGGTGGCTGGGTCAGAGATAATGGGCAGGGTGTGGTAGGGAGATCCGTCGGCGAATTTACGCGAGGAGGGGATACTGAAAGCGCTGCGGACGGAGCTGACGTCGGGTAGGGGTACCCATGTTGTTTTGTAGGGAGTACCTTTGAAGTTTAAGGCGTAGCGAGTTTTCCAAGGGTTTGGTGAACAGGCGTTTTTTGTGACAGGAGGTGCGAGAGCGATATCGTAGAAGGTTATTAAGGCCGTGGTGGGCGATACAGTTGAGGTCGAGGCAGTGGATGTCATAGTAGAATTCCCACGCGGAATTAGATTTTGAGAAATTGAAGGTAAGCTCTGTAAATGAGAATGAAGTTTCAAGTTGTTTTGGGCCGTTAATTGAGTACTGGAAGAGCAGTTCTATATACCGATCTATATGATGCTAGTTGAGTCACGAAGAGTCTTGTATGATGTGGGGCATGCCCCACATGCCGTTATGTAACGGGAGTGTATAGTTAAGTATTACGCATATTGACTCAAGGAAAATACCTATTCGCAAATTTATCTCCAACGCGGTCTACTAGAACCTAGGTGCTGTAAAGAGATAAACTAGATGGTTGCTCATTAAGACCGCACTATCGTCGCTTTGGTTCGGACCCTTGAGGTGGCACCTAAAATTCAAGTCTGTATGCTAGGAAGAAAAGTGTATTTCTATTACGCATACAACCTGCAACTCAAGCCATCATTTTCTATATGCTTTTCATAGAGGGCGAAGGCTTGTGAAAGTGTCTATATGAGTTCCTTCCTCGCATATATAATAGTCTTATGACTTCTACAATATTAGAATTCGGTAAAACCAACTCTAAGTGTAAGCTTTTTTTAGATTAAGGTTAGCCGGCTCAGCCGAATCATAACCTTGGAATTGGCGTTAAGCCACGCGGGTGTGTTACTAGATCTGGTTTTGATGACGGGAATGTGCTTGCTGGTAACCTAGGGTAATGCATGCAGTTTCAAATTGTTACGCAGAAACAAGTGCTATCCATCAGAACGTGATAAAAATTGGACGACTATGAGAAATACCGACCAAATGATTGATCATACAACACAATGAACGATGGGGAACTAGTTAACGCTGTAGCCCCTCAGTTTCCTCGGCTCACATCCTCCCATGATCGAGTCCTCTCGCTCTAATAACTGCCGCTCATTATTACCCCTGCAATAGTTCCCTGGCTTTTCTGTACTGCTTTCAGTCTCTCTTTCTCTCTTTCTTCTTCCTCCACGCGCTCTAACTCCAGCGCTGTTATAAATTGACAGACAAGGGCTGAAGCTGTTAATCGCCCCACTACCCCCAACGCATCCCGCGTTCCAATAAAAAGCAGCGATGAAAACGTCAATGTTCCGAAAAGAACATGCCCAGCACCACCAATATTTGACAGAGAATAAAGGAATCTGGTCCATAAGACCCCGCGGTTAGTCTTGCTCCAAGAACAGCTAGACTCCTCCATCGAATAAGCCGCTACTGCGAATACTATTGGACCCGATGTGGTGCCGACCCAGACAAGCTCCATATATGTAGACGTGCATTTCCAACTGATAATCGTTTGCTGGCCAAGAGTCCAAGCGTTGAGAAAAACATTGACCGCAGCGCCAGCCGCGATCAAATATTTCAGCAAATGGATTGAATATTTTAGCAAACGAAGCCATATCGACGGGTTTTCCGTTGCGTCTTGCTGCGCTGGCGTTTTCGTACCGCGGCAAAAAATCCAATCAAAAAACCACTTCTCCCCAGAAGCAAGGGTGCTCCCTGGGGTACGTTGCCTAGAAACTGTCTTTGCCCACGGCATCCCGAAAGCGATCGCAGGTGCGCCTAGGACACATAATAACCCAAGAATCGGATTCTGATAACATAATTGCGCCTTATTGTGAATGGTTGGGCCTATCTGTCCTAGGACTGTTGGCGCTAGGCCGAGCAGAACCAGCGCAGATGACATATCCGCCTTGTCGATCTCTTTGGTGTTGTTATAAATGCAGCTAACCAGGTTTTTGCATGTCATTGAGTGCTGTGAGCCCAATAACTTGACAGCTTCCGCGTGCTCTTGAAGGCAGGTGGGGGCCTCTCCCTCTTGTGTTAGGGTCCATCGATAGAACGGATACCAATGCTCGAATTGCTTTGCGTTACTGCTGTGGGAAAATAGAGCTATGATACTCAAGAGAACTAGGAAGGGTGTTAGTAGAGTAATTTTGGACTTCACTGTGTGTTATTGGCCCATAATCACCTGGAAGCCACCGCATAGTGTTTGATTACACAGTCAAGGTGATTATAATAAGCCGAGGCGTGACTGCAATCTGCAATTCACAGTAAATGGTAGAACCCACCAAAATTAAGATCAAGTTCAAGGGAGGGTGTGGGTTGGGAGGTTGGGAGGGTGAGAGCGTGAGAATTGGGACATTAAGTGAAAGGCAATTTTGATCGAACTATATCCATTGGTAAGTCTACGGCTGAACACGCTAGTTAATTCAAAAGTGAAAAAGTGATACGTAGATTATGCGCCACAGGCGCTTACTCTCTCTTTCTACTACACCGATCGGCAGCTGCGGAGACTAAGAAAATTCCATTTGTGGGGGCCAAGACGCTCGATGAGACCTGGCCAAAGGAACTGACCAGAGAAGTGGAATGAATACTGAAATCTTCATCTTCTAACTATTGATTGTCCTTGGCTGTCTATGCGTGGGATCTTTAGGGTCCCTCTGGAAAGCCCGGGGCATAATTTCATGCAAACAGCTCTAGGCTAAGGTTGAGAAGGATCAAATAATGTTTTTCATTACTTTTGACATTATCGTGACTGCATCGCATCATTTGTCGATCGGGATAAACCTCAGCATCAGCTTCCGCCCGCGCGGCAGCGCAATAAACGCGTAGTCCTGCTCGATACCCTCGTCGTCTACAATAGACGTCGTGTAATTTGAATATACAGCCGCCATGACCAATTTGATTTCTGCACCATTAGTCTCTTCTCCAAAATCCATACTTCGGAGGCTTACCTTGCAATGCGAAATTACTCCCCAGACACATGCGTCCACCGCTCCCGAAAGGCCAGAACAGCCGCCTCATGTCGTGGATCTTGTCACCTGCCTCTAGCCATCGCTGTGGCAGCCATTCCAGCGGGCGCGGGTAGACCTCACTGATGCGATGCAGCGAGTAGGCGGTTGAACTGACCCTTACGCCGCCCGGGATGTTGTCGTATCCGTGCACGGATGTACCCTTTTCTGTGGCGGGGGTAACACGCGGGAGTTGGGCTGGGGCTGGGGAATGGAGACGAAGGGTCTCGCGGACAATAGCGTCCAGCAAGGGGAGGGCGTCTATGGCAGAAGGAGACGCAAGGGGGTTCTCTCCATCTGCGTCTGAGTACTGGAGGGATGGAGACAAGGTGAGTAGTTCCTTCCGGAGCTCGCCCTGAAGCTCTGGACGCTGGGACAACTCCCACATCATGTACGTAAAGGTGATGCCTGACGTTTCATGGCCTGCAACCAGGTGGTCCAGCAGTTCGGACGCAATTGCTAGGTTCAGCGGACGCGGATCGTGTGCTTTCTGAGTGAGGAGGCTCTGGCGCAGCTGGCTGTAGACGACTGGGCTTGTGCCTGGCAGTTTCTCCTCATCTTTGAAGACGTCCTCTTTCTTAGATGCCTCCGTCCGCTCGCACAACCCCAAGCACCACCCCTCAATAAACCCCATATACCGGTCCTCCCGACTTAGGAACTTGAACTTCTCATATTCCTCCAACCACACCCTCCACTCGGGAATATTCAACACATATTTCGTCCCGTCTCTCAATCCAAACAGGTAAGAGGAGATAAAATCCATCCCAAGGGCCTGGAACAGCGGCAGCACATTCAATACCTCTCCACTCCCTCCCGCCTTTTGGAGAATAGGCATAAACCGTTTCCACAGCACAACCTTTGACATGGCGCGCAGATCATTGGATTCCTGGAGAAACGACTTGGAGTAGATCTTGCTCAGCATGCGCTTCTGATGCGCGTGCGGGGCATTGTGCACCATGCCGACCAGGTTCTCAGTGTTGAAGTTGACAAAGAAATCATTGTAGAAAGAGTGTTTCTCAAAAGCGCCCGTATATATTATTCTCAGACCATGGATAGAATTGATGCTCAGCTCCTTAGGGCCGAGACGGACGATTGGGCCATGCTTTTGGTGCAGAGCGTATATGGCGAGTACTTCTGTGCTTGTGCTGCGCTTGCGGTCAATCCAGTAACTGGAGAGAGGGGATGTGAGGTGGGCATTGGGGATTGAAGCTAGCGGAGAGAGGAAGTAAGGTTTTATAACATGGTTGTATATGAGGTAGGAGGTGATAACGAGGAAGGCGAGGGGCACGAAGGGGATCATGGTGATGGGTGAGGGAAAAGAAGAAGATAAAAATGCTAGTCGATTATTAGATTATTTCGTCCCAATCATCTGTTCCCATGCAAGGAGACTTGTCCCCGCCAAATTGTGTTGCCCATGTGGATAGCAGGGTCTTCGTACGGACTAGTATCGAGAGAGCCAATCATTGATTTCAGGATTAATTGAGCGGAAAGGAACGTACAGAAGAGGCTTTCAAGATTGAATGGCCAGTTGATGTACGCAACTCGGCGCTCCCCCCGAGCGGGGCATGTGTTCGTGATAAACAAACCCCGTTAATTTGGAAGATTTTTCGGTTGGTAGAATTATCTAATGGGATAATATTAAAGGGGTTCTAAATTGGGTATATCATTGCTCTCCGTGGCAATAACAGTGGAGCTAGACCCTGGTTCACACTAACCTGCTGTAACAATGTTCTAGTGCTACAAAGTACGGAATTACACAGTTTCACGGCCTGGAGGCGAGCTCCACTGTCGGTAGCATGGCGAATTCCACAAGGGAGAATATTCTAACACTTTACACCACCCTTCTGTTGTAACGCGACCTCCTACGCACTATTGCAGACTTTTATATTCGTCCCTATTTTTGCTATCTGCATGTAAATATGCGCTGGACCAAAGAACCTTCAACGACCATCATGACTATAGACGACGAAGCCCCATCCAGGGGCCAGGTCGCCCCCAAATGGCGTGGTACCCAGGCCGACCAGGCTGATATGAGTACTCTGGGGAGAGAGCAGGTGTTGCGGGTACGTCCCCTGGAATTGTTGTGACTTATGCATCTAAGCTGACCCTGCAGCGTAACTTCCGATTTATCTCCATTGTAGGATTTGGCTGCACGCTGATCGCTACGTGGGAGGTTGTTTTGACGTATGATATCCACACTTACTCTTTAGTTCGATGACTGACCGTCTAGTTTGCTAACGCAAGGTCTAACCGATGGAGGAACTGCCGGTTTGATCTGGGGGTACCTCATTGTCGCTGCTGGCTTCCTTCTTGTCTTCCTGAGTCTGGCCGAGATGGCATCCATGTGAGTTTAACTATGCAGACTGTATGTAGCCTTTCTGACTCCACAGGGCCCCCACCTCCGGCGGACAGTACCACTGGGTATCGGAGTTTGCTCCTCCTAGCTGCCAGAAATTCCTCAGCTACATCACCGGTAAGTCCTCCTGTCCCCTTTCCGCTCAACCAAACTAATTATGTAGGATGGCTGTGCGCCTTGGGTTGGCAATGTGCCATCGTGTCAATTGCCTATCTGGCTGGAACTATCATTCAAGGCCTGATCGTGCTGAACAATCCGAATTACGACGGCAAGCCGTGGCATGGCACGCTCCTGGTGATCGCTATCACCTTGTTTTCGATCATATTCAATACCTTCCTGGCCAAGCGGCTACCCTTCATCGAGGTATTGATTCTGATCCTGCATGTGTGCGGCCTGTTCGCTATCATGATTCCGCTCTGGGTGCTTGGCCCTCGCCGTAGTGCGAAGCAGGTGTTTACCGAATTCAACAACGGCGGAGACTGGAACAGCGACGGGACTGCCACTCTCGTTGGATTCTCTACCACCATCACTGCGTTAATTGGATATGATTGCGCGGTACACATGTGTACGTCTCTCTCTAAAACCGACGAACTTTACTAATTGTGTGTAGCGGAGGAGATCAAAGATGCGTCTGAGACCCTACCAAAGGCGATGATCACGTCTGTCTGCGTCAATGCCGCCTCCGGTTTCCTGATGCTGGTTACGGTCTGTTTCACGTTAGGCGACATTGACGAAATCCTAGCGAGCCCAACAGGGTACCCATTCATGCAGGTGTTCTACAACGCGACGGAGAGTCTGCCGGGAACAAATACCATGACCGCTATTCTGGTCTTGACCCTGACGGCAAGCACGATTACAGAAGTAGCAACGGCATCGCGCCAGTTGTGGTCTTTTGCGCGTGATCGCGGCCTTCCTTTCTCCGAGTTCTTCGGACATGTACGTCCCTCCCCTCTTCCTCGGGATTTGACAACGCTAACAAGTACCAGGTAAATCCCGGCTGGAACATTCCCTTGAACGCCGTGATGGTCTCTCTGGCAGTTACAATTCTCTTGTCGCTCATCAACATCGGCTCTACCACCGCCCTTCTCGCCATCGTGACCCTAACCATTGGCGCAATGATGTCCTCGTACATTATCACGATTGGCTGCGTCCTCCTCAAGCGTATCAGAGGGCAGCCTCTCCCACCACACAGATGGACGCTCGGCCGGTTCGGCATGGCAATCAACATTGGGGCGCTGTGCTTCCTGTGCCCGGTCTTTGTGTTCGCCTTCTTCCCGCTCACTTCGACAGTGGAACCAGACACCATGAACTGGTCCGCAGTAATGTACGGGGGAATTATGATGATCGCGGTTGTGTATTACGTGTTGCGGGGACGGCACCATTATATCCCGCCTGTGGCGCTGGTGAAGCGGGAGATGTAATCTCTATCTACTTGTAGAATTGTCAACATATGTCGGAGGGAGATAACTCAGGTGGTTAATAGTTATAACGAGTGACCTGCTCGGACGATAATAATGCAGAGTGTTCGGTGCGTGGTACATTCGAGGGCATTCGGTAGTGCTTGGCAAGAATAAGCCACAACGGCTAGGCAACGGAACATCTGGACTGATTGGTGGAAGTTTCTAGCGTCGAATTTCATTGAAATTTTCTCTGGATACATTCAGGGGGGAAAACCTGACTTAGGGGCTAATAGTCCATACGGAGGACGGAGTCCGGAGTCAAAAGAGAAAGAAAAGCTTGGCAGTTCATATGCCTTATGGATCTGAAACAAATGTCTATCAAAAGTACACATTAGCCATGGCCGGCCCGGACCCATCCCGCTGAGTAAGATCCTTAGAAGCCCTACGTCACTTTCGATTGGCTGAGCAATCTGATTGAATGCTATCCGGTAGGGCCGTGGAAATTCCGGGTGAATCGTTTAATTTATCGGATATTAAGGTGGTAGCTCAGTGGAGAGATTCGAAGGTTTCGGCCCCCTGGCCCCCACCTCGGCGCACCGGGAGGATTGCCCTACGTGTAACTTATCGACGGTCATTCTTGGATATCTCGGATATACACACAGCTTAGAGACCCGAAATACCATCAAGTACAAACTAGGCCAAATCCCCAATGAAGTCCCAATAAGGATGCCTCAAAATGAAGAGCTCTAGCAAAGAATAAAGCGCCGTAGGGGTGAAATCAAACAAGGGTCTGCTTCCTGATTAAGTGACTTAAATTTTGCGAGTCAGTCCGAAATTTTTCCACTTCTATCCGACCTAGAATGTGTATCCCTGCTAGGTTCAAAATGAGTTGCCCGAGCAGTGTGGCCACCATTCATGGAAACGCCATCATTGATTTTCCTCTTATGTTGGAGACCATTCCCACCCTAAAACTTCTGACCCACGTCGCAATCTGATATCCATGCTGCAATGGCGATCAAGGTTCCCACCGGCCAGTCGCCGCCCTTTGAGACGGTAGACGATAAACACCATGCCGGTATCATCATCATCACCGCCGCCATCTGTCTGATGATCTCGCTAGTCTGTCTACTGATACGGGTGTACGTGCGCAAATTTCTCAGCCCACCATGGGGATCAGACGATATCGTCTTGTTGGGAGCGACGGTACGCAATTGAGAAACTGGCCTATTCTGTACATTAGACTAATAGAATAGATCACCGCCGTCGCCGAGTCGATTATCATCTTTCACGCTGCGAGCATCGGCTTTGGGACTGACATCTCGCTACTCACCCAGAATGCGGTTGATAACATACAAAATGTATTCATTTCCCAGCACCCCGCTCAATTGGATAGAAGAGAAGAGAATAATTGACAGCATAGTCCCTCTTCGCCGCCGACATCCTCTATCTACTAACCCTGTACCTCTCGAAATGCTGCGTGATCGCCATCTACTTGCGCTTGACGCCTAGCACGCGCCACAAGAGCATCCTCTGGGTGACCTTCGGGTTTAGCACAGTAGGGGTTATCGTGTCGATGCTGCTTATTGCAGTGAACTGCGAGGCGAATAAGCCATGGGTCGTACCTGGGGAGCAGTGTCATAACCTGGTATGTCTACAATTACAGAATGCCCAACTGCCCACTAAGAACTACTCCAAAGCAAATATACGCAAGTGGAATGCAATATACTAACAATGACAAGTTTCCTCGCTGGCAAGCAATCGCCGCGCTCGACATCTCGACCGAACTCTTGCTCTTCACATTCTCGATTGGCCTGGTCTGGGATCTGCAGATGCCCATCCCACATAAAGCCGTGATCATGGCATCTTTCGCAGCCAGACTACCGTACGTGTCTCTCTTCCACGTGTGAAATATTTATCCCAGCAACCATTACTTGAAACTGACACATATCGAATTCATAGGTTAATAATACTTTCAGCTGTCCACCTCTCCAGACTCAAAGAATACACAACCATCAAAAACCCGACCTTCACCGCAATCAACCACTCAATCTTCACCCAGCTCCACCTCAACTACGCCCTGGTAGCATGCACGGTCTTCTGCCTACGTCCGTTCATGAATGCCCTCACAACTTACTACGGCACAGCCGGCGACTCCTACCTCGGTAGCAGCAGTGGCGGCTATGCGTACGGGTCCGGGAGACAGGGGGATACAGACCCCTTTGCGTCAGGGCGATCGCGTGATTACGAGCTGGGGAATTTGAAGGGACGATCCGGGCACCGGGCTAGTGGTTTGTTCAAGGAGAGACCGGATGTGGGTGATGGGATGGAGAATGGGACGGTTGTTTGTGAGGCTGCGGGGCCGGTGCAGTTGGGGGAGGGGAGGTCTGGAGGGGATATGGGCAGTACCCGTAGTGGGAGTGATGGGAGTACGAGGATGATTATTCGGAAGGAGATGGAGTATTCGGTTTCTGTGGGACATTCGTAGATCTTTTCTTTTGTTTGGATATAACACATTGTCTTTCTACTCTATGACGAGCGGTATAGTACTACAAAAAGTGGAGCCATGATGTGCTATTAGATAAAGTAGGAGTTTCGATCTCAAAAAAAAAAAGAAGAATTTAGACGGCCAAATTTGATATAGCGAACCGCGTTAATTCTATCCCGAATAGTGCTTGTGTACTCGGAGCCTTTTATGCAGCATGGTGAGACTGACATGGTGGTGGTCACATATCTCCAACTGGTATTAGTTTCAAAATCTGTATCAACTGCCAAAGAGAAGAGATTGGCAATACGATTTGACTGTGGAGTGAGCTGGGGGAAGAGAAAGGAAGAGGCGTAACTAGCACGAGGTTTGTGATCCAGACGGGAACGGGACTCAGGCCGCTACCGACATACATTTATAGGTACCTATGGATGTACCTACAACCGGGTGATTATATACGAGCATTTAACCGCTAGGCCAAACCATAACAATCGGAGCATACGGTGGTCATTGAGTGTATGTATTATGGAACCCATTCCTCATAGACGCCCTAGTATCTTGGAAGATCCACATAGAGGGGCTATCCGGCAGGCCATTGTTCAGTGCAAGGCTGGAGGCTAAAACTCTAGAACTAGGCTTTGGCCTGGACCATGCATATTATTTATTAATGTCTTATATCTATGATCTCAGAGTTTGAAAAATATTCAGCGCCTGCCATTTCTTTCCGGCAATGTCTTCCAGCTGAACAGGTAGACCGCAATCCCAGCATGATGGAGGGATACTCCAGGGAAAGAAACCACCCCACGAGAGGAACGGATGGTTATAATCGGAGCAAAAGGTGAGTGGGAGATTATAGGAAGAGTCAGTCTCACCCCTATCACTGTCACTGCAAGATTCCCAATCAGATTCTAGATCGTCATTACTATGGCAATCGTCATATGAGCGCCCATGACTCGATAGCGAAACATGATCGCCTTCAGAATTATCCTCTTTCCTTATAATCTCCTCGATCGGTAAGCTCTGGTTCCTTTCCATTGCTAGGCACCATTGAAACCAGGTTCTAGGGCTACTAAGTGCAAAGTCGGAGACAGTATGCCCGTTTTGATCCTGGAGGTTTGGGTCACAGCCGGCTTTGAGCAGAAGACCAAGACGTGCCTGTAGGCAGCGAAATCCCAGGTCACCATGTACGGTTCCCGGGATCGAATAGGCAATTGCGAGATGTAATGGCCCCTCGCCTAAATGTGTCTTTGCATGTGGATTTGCTCCCCATTGGAGAAGTTCTTTCAGAACTGCAACGCCATTCCATCCCGGAATACAAGCGTTGTATAGTAGGGGAGTGAGACCGTCACTGTTCTCATGCTCGATATCGCAACCCAAGCAGATTAGAAGGTTGACCAAACATGAGATCTCCTCTTCGTCGATGATTGCTGATCCGGGTAAAGTATTGCTGACAGTGAAATGGAGAGGGTTTCCACCAAGAGCGACAGAGTTGATGTCACAGCCTGCTCGAACAAAAAGCCTAAGTAGTTGGTTGAGGACAGGCTTTGGCACATTGTAAGCCATGGCTCGGTACCAGAAAGCATTACGAACGGCGTATATTGCATTGGTGCCATCCCTATATACCCCCGTGGCGTTCAATAAAAGTACGAGTTGAGAATGTTAGAAATAACTTACCAGCAACAGTGACTGGGATCTGCTCCTTCGTTGATCAAGAGCTCACATATTTCTAGTCGTAAATGTCGAGCAGCAACCTGAAATTACTTAGCGTTGTCATTAAGATGAACAGGCAATAAGTAAAACGAACCGACAGCAAGCTCTCGTTATCTGTATTACGTATATCCGGGGTTACCTCTCTACTCCCGAGCAGCTGCCGTAGATGGTCGATATTGTTGGATTCAACACATTCAAAGATTGGGGAATTTGGGTCGACGACAGTATACATCGAGATAGACCGGTGAATTGGGGGCTGTTGGAGCTTCTGATTCAGACGTGCTAGTGAGATAACGAAGCCATTTGTATGAATTGCTGGATTAGGTGTGAGTAGGAGCATAATATCAGATACCGCGGTGTGCCCGGAATCCGGATTTTTGATGCACTGGATCCGGACCGAAACATTACCTGCCGGAGACTCCCGAGCAAGAAACTTGGTGGTAGTTATCTCATTATTTTTCCCTACTGGGCGCGCCTTTTCAGCTTTGTATTGGGAAACAGTCTTCGGATGCTCCTTGCTTGCCATGGTATGTGATGCACCGGATTTGACGGTGCCGCTTTGCATCTTTAGTGTAATCGCGGCCGTTTCATGACAAAGCACAAGCAGGCTCTCCAGTTCTTGTTGAATCCAGTTAGTGTCCTGATTGGACAATTGTGCCTGGCCCGGTTTGTACAATGTTAGAAGACTCAGGGCTTCTTGTATCTTTGGCTTGAGAAGCATCAATGGCAGGGTGGCCCGGTCGAGACTCCCCTCGTTTAATACCCAGTCCGAAGGGGGTCTGAGGCTGGTGGAAGCCTCATGATGAGCATATTTTGGTGGTTGGTGGTGATATTGGATAGATCCTTTCTCGGAGAGAAGATGTTGGTCTTCTTTGACAGCCGCGCGTTTCTTCTCTGTACCAAGATTTAGGGGCGAAAGGGTGTGGCTCAACTCCTGAATAGAGTCATGTACGGCAAGGTCATTGAACCTGGCAAGCAAGTCAGATGATCTGTATTCAGAGTAAATAGTAAGACTGCGATTCTTCTTGCTCACCCGGCAAGTACTTGAAGATTAATGCTCAACTGAGCCTTGTATCTCGAAAGAGTTTTGAATGTAGCTTTCAACTCCCCCGCAAGCACGAGTTTCACTCTGTTACCCATAGACCGTAGTCGCTGTCTCCTGCCAGAATGGGGTGTCTCGGTGTTCCTCTCCACGATCTCTGTTGTAACTTCGTACTCCAGCCGCAATTTCTGGAGAAGTTTGAAGAGATGGCTGATTGCTGAGTTCGATTCGGCGACCATGATCGGGTGTTGTCGCTGGTATCTTTGGCAGTATTGGTGAATGTTAAGAAGGAGAAAGTCGATTTCTTCTAGCTCCATACTCAGTCTTTTGATTTCCTCGGGCGCATGCTTGATTGCAGAGACCACTCGGTACGTCTCTTTCCCGAGACGGCATACCGCATCTAGGAGTCCGATAACAGCGCCGATGTTGGCAGACAAAGACAAAGGGTCCATTGTGTTGAAATCTTGATAACAGTGGGATTCGAAGAATAATTCTTCTGATCGACAAAGGGTTACTAATGTCAGTCTTGGAGCAGATGCGCTAGTGCGCGGGGTTAAGCGACCTGAACAACATCATGTCGCAAAAGGATTTCCCACCTTCTCATGGATCCCCATTACTCTCAAAATTTCCGCTCTACTTCTACAGACGAAAGGAGCAATGCGGACCTTCTCTCGACCTCGCATGCCTACTCCCGTTACGCGGCAGAGTTTCAACTGGATTTGAACGATTCGGATGGACCTAATTATCGGGGTGCAAATGCCCAGTATTCTGGAGCTTTTCTTCCAGCTGCTTCACAAAACATCATTTCTCCTATGACTGAAAGAGACGGAAAAGAGCCGGCACTGTCATTGGAGCAAGCACTAGATATGTCGCCCCACAGCGCTATGTGGCGAGGATATCTACCAAGAATGCCGACAGAGCTGCGAACCGAAATGGAGCGCAAACTGAGAGAAAATCCGATGAGAGACGAAGCCTTTTTCCAAACGAGTTTTGATGAGTTCTCGCGCAAAGTATATGGTCCTCGCGAACAGATTGATCGTCAAAACAATCTGAGACAACCACAATTTCGAAGACAACCTGAACAACAACAACTTCGTGCGGCATCTCAGCATCACTATTATCATGACCGGGTACCTCAACATAACCAAAGTGGCATGGTCCCAGCCAATCAGAATTCCCTCCCTCATCGACAGGCTGCCACCCACAAACAAGCCATGCCCGCCAATCAACAGAGGGTTCAGGCTAGGGCCACCTATGACCAGAATAGCTACTACCATCATCGCAGCTCTGAAAATTGAGACTTCCCGCCTTCTGGTTAGGAGACTGAAAGTTTTGCGTTGCATGATTAGGTCTATAACATGGGTCTACTCACTGCCTCTCGGCGACTTTACGTGCTTCGCCACTATACTGTCAATGCCGGCCTTATGACAGTTATACATTCTGCTGCTCAAAATTTTCATCTAAGTTTTGCCTTATATCTGAAGCCTTCTATCCTCTACGCGTGTTTATTACAACTGCTTGAAAATATAGACAAACATGGCATGTGACAGTTCGGGTGTGCCGGTGTTCAATCACCCAGCTTACCAGAGTGCGACTTGAGTACTGAGCGGACAAGAAGCCCTATTTTGAACTCCCTATGGTTGTACATACTTGCCACTGACATGGTAGGATTGATAAAGATATTAATGTGTAGAGACGAAGTGCGTAATAGGTAAAGATCAATGCTGCTGCATTCCTGGGGTCTACACGTGTGCGCATAGTTAGCCCCCAGTATCATCTACTTGGCAGTCGCTCCACGGTCTGTAGCAGTCCAACGACCGCACCGGATCACACAATGCAAGGAATCATGCTCAATTCTCATCCCCAGTCACCAGGGCCATGGCCCTTTGGCAACACCGGAGAGATCCCGATGTAGAATTTGGAAAATGAAATATCAGGCAGTACGAAAGTAACAATTTATTGTTTGCATTAGCCAGCTGCCGATACTGTTGAGATCTACTCTAGGTCCAATTACAGTTTCCCCCCAAGCATCTGGTGATACCGCTTTGCTCCCATTCTCCGGCAGGTCTTTCCTCGCCAGATGAAGAAAATTCCCGTATAAAACACGACAAATGCAAGCACACCAACTGTCACAAAGGTATTCTGCAGCCTAGAAAGCTCGATCTAAGGTCCAATGCCAAAGGTCATCCCAGCCCCAATGACGTTACGGATACAGACAAGCGCCGTTGTTGCCTCGCCGGCTAGCGACGGATAACTCTCACTCGCATAGCCCAGCGTGACCTCAGCCGCAATAGGGAGCGCACTCCCAATCATGGCCATCCCAACGACAGGTCCCATCCAGTGTAAATGGTGCGCGGCCCCAGCACCGTATAGAACTAACCCACTGCACATTATGGGGCCCGCGATGAGCACAGAGTAGATGCGTGATTCCGCTTCCATGACTCCGTTGTTACGGCGTGCTTTCCACACCATGAACTGATCTGTTCCTGCACCACCGACGTAGAGGGTCAGGCAGGCGCCCACCAAGGGGGCTATATTGGCAAGCCCGATGGCAGCAGAGGAGAAGCCATAGGTGGCGAAAACGGTGGTAGCTTCATAAGCCATGATGGTAAGCCAAGCAATCGCGAACCCATATGTAATCCCACACCACCAGACAATCGGTTCACGGAGCATCTTGAAGGGGCCGAGTACGAGCTGAACGAAGCCGAGGGGGCTGTCGAGGCTAGTGAAGAGATTCATGCGATGGAAACAGGTCTTTGCTTGTTCAGAGGCGTGTACCTCGGTCTCATTGCTAGGACCGGTATTGTGGAGATGGCAGTCAAATCCTGTCTCTTCTAGAAACAGGAAGATGAGGGCAGCGGAAAGCCCAAGGAAGATGGCATACCACCAGTGCACCCCTAGTGAAATGAGTTAACAACAACGGCATCTACCAATGTAAGGGTGGCATGACTTACATCTCCACCCCATGCTATCCGTCACGAATCCAGATGCCACGAGCCCTAGGAATGACCCAACGTTGAGCGCGCATGAGTACAACGACAAGCCGAATCCTCGATGGTGAATAAAAAACTGATCGTCAATCGTGAGCGCAGGGAGTTGTTCAAAGGGTGCCGCTCCAAAGCCCAGAAGTACCCGAGCCGCCATGTAGGCGCCCTTGGACTTTGATCTAGCGGCAAGGATCTCGGCAGCTATGCAGATCAAAGCAGAAATCAGGTATACTGGACGTCTTCCAAGTCGTAGTGCCTATGGTCTGGGGTCAGCTGTCCGATTCACAATATTCACGCATGCGCCAAAATCAGGCTTACTAGAGGATTAAAAACCAAGTTGCCGAGTCCCAAAAGTAGCAGTGCGAGTGCAGCCGCAATGTGAAGGAAATTCACAGTCACGCCTATCTCGTTGATCAGGGGCCCATAAGTTACCGCTGGCGAGAGGGTAGCGCCGCCTAACAGCATGACCCAGAAGCAGACAATAAACATCGACGTGTACTTCCGCATACGACCCCAGTTGAGAGGATCATTGGGAGATTGACTCGGCCGGGGGAGGTTGACAAGCTGTGTAATATCTTGATCCACGAGAAGTCGCGTGCCAGGGATATCTTCTGGAACAGTATTGGTAGCAGGGCCAGCGTCCAAAGCCATGACAGAGTATGATGGAGTTGTGAGACTCATTGTTTTCATATTGACTGTGTGGAGATAGGATGTGGTGGCTATGAGATAGGAAGTATGCTAAGTATTCAGTGCTTGCGAGAACCCAACTCATTTACCCACACCTCAGAAGAAACGATTCCTAGGACCCCGAATACGGTCTACCGACATAATTTGCCGCTCCTACTGCACCCATCGGCGACAGTGCAATTCTATGAACGGCAAATACCCTTACTCCTGCTTACTATTTCGGTACTAGGAAGGTCGACACGGACGTGGGGCCATGGAGAAATCATGTAGCCAAACTGTGATCTAATCTTTGGTATGAACCCCACTTTATGATGGCGTAGGTATATGAATTCGCTCGATCTTGGTCCTGCTACTATTCTAACAAGCAGGCTTCTCAGCAATGCGACATGCACTTCCAACACCTTCTCGGCTTTACGACTATCATGGGTCTGGTTCTCCAGAGCTCAGAAGCTCAAGGGACTTCTGGGACTGGGATCTGTAGATATACCACCGTGGCCCTGTTGTAAGCGACAATGGGTTGGAAATCCTCTGGTGATACTGACTAGGAACTGATGGCCTTTGAGGGGAGGTGGAATAGCGGGGATTGCTGCTGCGATTTGCCCATATCCCCCTTGGTCCATACAAGTCTAACTCGCGCAGCAAGCGTTGAACAATTGATCTATTGCCGACTTTGTCATCGCAGAATACCAGGACAGAATCGGCGGGCAGGTGAACCATACGACATTGGGACGAAAGGCAGACGGCACATCCTACGTGGTTGAACTTGGAGCATACTGGGTACGTTTATTGCGCTATCCCTAGATCTATCTTTGCTGATTCTAAAATAGGTGCAAAGAGTCGGTGCAACAAATGGCTCTGGTGAGAGTTCTGACAGAAATCCGACTATATGAGATGTGTGGTATGAACTCAGTATATTAGAACTCTCTGACTAGCAATACAACAGGATAAACGCGCGAACATAAATAGACAAAATCGCTAGTTAATACTGCACTTCTAATCGGGTTATCTGGGACCAACGTCTGGAGATTCAGGGTAAATTACCCTGTATCCGACCGGGTGGTTTAGTACTGTATCTGACCGGGTATTTGGACTCAGTATTTGACAAATATTATCGAATACTAAGGTCGAATAACTATATGGTTGACACAGGGTAAAATATGCAGAAAATCATTCAACTGACGGTACCAGCCATACCATACAAAAGTACATGTTACAGTTAGTCATCATGGTCCGCACAGATTGTTTAAATTCGTTTGTTTTGTTTTGTTAGAGTTTGTCCAATACCGGAGCCATATACCCCGGTCGGTTACAGTACTAAAACCCCGGATCGGATACAAGGTAAATTTACCTTGGATCTCCATAAACGTCGGTTCCATACAACCGAACAAAGTGCAAGTGATTTTGTCTATTTATACTCGCGCGTTCATCATGTGTTCTGGCTAGTCAGAGAGTTCCAATATACTCAGTTCATACCATACATTTCCATACAGACCGATTTCTGTCAGAGTTCAATACCAGAGGTTACCCATTGTTGTACTGCCAGATTTCCGTCAGTTATGAGCCCGGAATCGCTACAATAGAGATCTATTTTTGAAGATCACCCTGAACCTCGAGGTAGAACCAGGTCGTCGCCGAAACCCCTGAGAAGCATAGAGAAACCGGATCTCTGTGCACAATCACAACATGTCGGAATACGCTCTCCTCGCGCCGTCCTCACGCGTCATCTTGAAGGATGCCCTCACGTGGAAACCATGGATTGCCAGTATCAAAGGTATCGCGGAGCAATTCGGTATATGGGAACTATGTGATCCAAAGAATAAAACACAACCAGAGGTTCCAAAAGAACCAGAAGAGCCATCGATCGAGGATGCTAAGAAGAAGCACCCAGATGATTGGTACGAAACTATCAAGCTTGAGCAAGCTATATGGTTAGCAAAGGCCTCGAAATATGAGAGGAAGATATGAGGACTTAGTTATGTGGCAACTGCTATTCGAAACAGCGTTGACCCGAGACTTCAAGCCTTTATCCCTTCCTATACCACACCGTGGGAATTGCTTCGAAATCTGCGCCAGAAATTTGTACCTGAATGTGATCCTATCTATGCTGCTCAGCTTCGAAAGCGATGGAGAAATCTAGACCAAGGTTTAGATGGTTTAGATCGAAACACTGATATAGACAAATGGCTGTTGAATTGGGAAACCCTTCAAGCACGCTGTGCAGACATAGGGTATATCGATGCCAAAGAAGCAAGCATCCAATTCCTACATGCTATCTCAGCTATGTCACCTGAGTTTTATGAAATATGGACCCTGAGACTAGAAGACAAGAAGGACGTTGACTTTTCGGAGCTCCTTACCAGGTATAAAGTACATTGGTCAATTAGCCATGGCAAATCCGGCGGGGGCGCACCCCAAAGAAGCGTTTCAAAAGCCACTTTCTCAACCAGGCAAGGTCATGAAGAAGCAAAGCCAAAACCAGCAAAGGAGCATGTTCCCATTGAGCAAAGAAGTTGTCCATGTGGATCTAAATCTAGGCATGCACCATGGAAATGCTGGGCTGCCTATGAATCTGATAAACCAGCAGGCTTTAAAACATTCCCACATCTAAAGAAGAGATGGGAAAAAGCCATGAAAGCAGACCCTGCCTGGAGAACCTTTGTGGAAAAGAAGAGATCGGAAATGGGGAAGGAGAAGGAGACACCGCAGGCAGATTCGGCATTTGAAAGTGTTCCCGTTCGAACCCAACGAATGAAGCTTGAGTATGAACCTGAGTCTGAACCAAAGCCGGTCGAAAACAGATGGGTTGTTGCTACAGGTGCACAGGTGCACGTGTGCAACAACAGAAGCTTATTCGTCACCTTCGAAAATGCACGAACCAATGTGAAGGTTGGGGATACGAGAACGGATGTGATCGGAATCGGCACTGTAGTCATCTATGGTGTCAGCCCTGATACTGGAAAGATAAGGAAGTTGATTCTCTACGAGACCAGATACTCTCCCAATTTCCATACCAATCTGATATCCCATGGATTGCTGACGCGGGGAAGAGTCTTTATGAACTTCAGGAAGAATTGGATCGAGACTACCGATGGTAGACCGATCTACAAGATCTATCAAGACCTAAATTTATCCTGGTTCACCGAGCCAGGAGAGGGGTTTCAAGGACCCGAAGAACTAGTCTTTGCGACTAAGAAATCAGCACGAGAACCAGAGTCAGAGCTCCAATTGAGATCTGGCATAGACGCCTAGGCCATATTGGCAAAGAGCGAATCCTCAAGTTGGAAGAAATGACCGAGGGCATTACCATGATTGAAAATGAAGGTTACATTATTGAATATGCACCTCTTGGATACCCAGAGATAAATGGGCCCGCCGAGAGATCTGGGGGGAGGGGTGGTTATGCGTACAGCCAGAGCTTTGATCAATGATACAGATCTCCCCCGGAACCTATGGCCAGAAGCAATGTATACCGCAGCGTATATATTAAATAGACTTCCTAAGGTTAGCAACAACCAATGGATCATACCGTGGAAAGAGCTTATGAAGCATGCCGCGCCTGATAGGATCCAGGACCAAACTATCAACCTGTCAAATCTCAGATTAGTAAAAGGGAAGGAAACAAAAGTGAATAGTTATGCGACGGCATATTGGGACGCTCAACCAAAAGCTAACTCGAAAGGGCAATGCACAGACCCATTGTTTATTTCTTAAAATACTTTCTTTCATATAAAAGATAGTATATATTAATGTAATATATATTTATATAGTGTGACGATCCAGGATTCTACTGCTCTAGATCATTTCCTATTTGGGCTGTTTGTAGGGCTGCTTAGTAAGGGAGTGTGGATTTGCCTTGTTTGCACTGGTGGTGCAGGACCCACAAAAGCACCTTGCCCTACCAATCCTTTCTTGCCTTTCCCTTCCCTCTCTGTACTTAGTATTCTAGTTGAAATACACTCTTTTTCTCGAAGAAACTGGCTGGTACCAGACTACACAACCCCCGTTTTACCCCCTCTTCGTCGCAGACCAGAACTGCGTAACTGCTCGTCCCATCAGCAACCATCCTCACAAGAAAACGGCAGGCACTCACCATAAGTGAACTTTAGCAACGTCTCCGGCTGCTCGGCATACAGGCTGTCGATGCTCTTCCTTGACGTATGATCAACATCGAACCCGAGCAGATCTGCCAGCTGGAGCACTTCCTCCGCGGAGAGCTGGAGAGCGGTATGGGTGCCCCATTTCAGCGCTGTGTACATACACGTCAGCACGAGTTCGGCGGTGAACGGATCACAAGAAAAGTATAAATGTCAGTATTGAAAGAAGGGAGGACAGTAACTTACGCCCAAGGTTGATCCACACCCCACCGGGCTTTAGCAGCCGGTGTATGTTCCTCAGGAAGTCAATCACGTTGTTGGAAATGTCGATGAAGAAGAGCGTGACGACGGCGTCGAACTCACCGTCCTCGGGGAACATCTCCAAGAAGTCGCCCTCGACGAGCTTGACGGCCTTGTTTGGCCAGTGGTCCGGCACTGTTAGGGCGGAGTAACGCGAGGAGGGGTTGGCTTGATGCGTCCATTTGGTCACGAAGGGCTGCAGGGTGTGCTGGTGCAGCGAGCTCGTGTGGTTCGTTAGCAGATGGTAAGCCAGGATGGAGCCGTAGTCCAGCTCATTGGCCGTGACGTCGTATCCTGCACTGATGTGAGACCACGCCTTCAACTCAATGAAGTAGGACGCACCTAGATCAGCGAGATCGCTTGCTAGCCTGCCCATACCGCTTCCGGGTACAAGAACCTTTTTCCCTCTCCCATTCCCGCCAAAATATTGCTCAAGCCCGCCCAGAATAGGCGGAAACACAACCTGCCTCTCCGTTGCGCCCTGCGTGCTCCAGTCTCGCGAAAGATGTCCAAACGCCAGGTCCACAACTCCAAACTCCGCATCTTCATCGTCCTCCAGCGCTCGCGGGCCGGTTTTGTAATCCTCTCTTGCAATCTGCGCGATCTTTTCCGAGAACCGGGCGTTGACTTCGATCCCATTTCTAGCTTTTTCGAAGTGTGCAGGATAGCCGAGCTTGTTGCTTATCGCCTTCTGGGCGGGCGTCTGCTTGGAATACCGCGCATGCTTCCGTTGGAGCACACTATCAGCGAGGAACGGATACTGCTCGAAGGAGTTGATGCAGTGCGCCAGTCCATCGGGAAGGGAAGGGTATCTCTTCCTTCCGCCTTCGGGTGCACGCACGAGTTTGGCGGGCTCGGTGGAAGCTTCGAAGACTTCTTTGAAGATTGGTGCTGGAGGGGCGGCAAGCGGGGATGTGAGCCTGATGTGAAGGGCTTCGGCGCGCTCGGAGAGGGAAGAGAGAAGAAATGCGATGTCGGACAACGAGGCTGAGCTACGGATGGCGAAGTAGAGGGGGAAGACGATGAAGAGGAGGAGAGCAAGGAAACGGGAGAGGTAGATAGAGGTGCGCATAGTTGTGCTTGTGGACGTGGGTGAGGAGGGTTGGTTACAAGAGGACCGCGGAAGCGTGGGAAAGGCACCACGGGTGGATGATACAGCAAGACACTATGTAACTAGGGCAATTTAGGGGCAAATCGGTGGTACTAGAGACGTCTGATTTCAAGAAAAGAGAGAATTCAGGCGCGACCCCCTGAGGGGTTAATCTAAAAGGCGTGGGGTCTGCTCTGCGTCAATAGTAGTGGCCGATAATAAGCACATGCCGATCAGGCGGCTTCTTCCATAATGCACAGTAAGCTGATTATTTAGGCTATTATTTAATACTGCGACTATTGTGACCTGCTCTCTATTCCATTCCTGCCTCAATTATAGCCATGGGCCGTTCAATTTTGTTCTGCGTACTCGCCGTCCTCGCCGTCCTTCCCAGCGCCCACCTCTCATATGCGCAAGAATGGAACGAGGGACAACCACAAAGGTGTAGCAAGCTGCTCACACGCAAAGAATGGCGGACATTGACGAATAGCGAGAAAGCCGAGTGGGTAGGAGCTGTCAAGGTGCGTCCTCCTTCCTCTCCATAGGTAACGCGCTACGTTGCTTATGCCTAGTAGTGTTTGGCAAACATACGACACGAACGGTTATCCTTTACGGAGAATCAGACGGTGCTTGAGGGGAAGAGAAGCCTATACGACGACTTCTCTTACTCGCACGCATTAGTGGAGCAAAGCGCGCATAGGAATGCCTACTTTTTGCCGTGGCGTGCGTTCTGTCCCCCATTGCCTTCCCCAAGCGCATACTTACATGAGCGCAGATCGCTGGTTCACCTACCTATTCGACACCTCCCTCCGCCACACTTGCGGGTACAGTGGGCCAACGCCATACTGGGACTGGTCGCGCGATCACGCAGACCTGTTCGGTTCGCCAGTGTTCGGGGACTCACCGGAGCACGGGCTAGGCGGAACGGGGGACTGCGATTCCTCCCCCGAGGCTGACTGCACCGTCACCACCGGCGCTTTTGCCCCGTCCACTGGGAACTTCGAGCTTTCCTGGCCAATTCCCCACCCGTTGCGGAGGAATTTGACACTCATAACTGGCTGGTACCCCCATGAGCTGCCTCAGAACCGCACCCTCGGCCCAGACTTCGTGCGGAACTCAACGGAGAAAACCACAGGCGACTTCTTCCGGTTCCAGCACGCAATGGCACTACTGCACAACCACGTACACAATTTCGTTGGGGGAGACTTGGCGGGAGACTGCCCAAAGGCCCTGCCGGAGAAGGATTGCCAGGACATGGCATTTAGTTTCACGCCTAATGACCCGCTCTTTTGGCTGCATCATGCGCAACTTGACCGGTTGTGGAGTAAGGTACGCCCCCAAACCTATGATAACTTCCCGCTCCATATGTCTGCTTCAATACCATGCTGCAGTACAACGCTACTGACATGAGCTGTACAGTGGCAACACCACCACCCGTCCAACTTCGTTGCCTTTTCCGGCATGCCCCTAGCCCCGCACAATATGACCGACCCACGCTACAACCTTGGCGCGCACGCAGACTACCAAATGCCCTTCGACGTCCTGAGTGTGCCCGTGGCGCCGAGGCGGGTGTTTGACACGAAGGGTTGGCCGTTGTGCTATCGGTATGCGGACGAGGAGTGATGGGTACTAGACTAGACTGATACCATATCTTGGAGTTCAGTCACATCAGGGTCATTTGCTTCCCCACGGCCACTTGCCTGGCTTCTCGTTCTTGATAAAGGGAAACGAGAAGCGAGGTGCCTTGCTACACTAATTATGCGCACATAGTTACGTGCTCTCCGGCTCTCCCGCACAAAACCCAAAGAATAGTTGTCTAGTTCCATAGAACGTATAATATCTATATTCCGATCCTTATACCCACTATATTGCTAACTAGACTCCTTAATCCTGCTATACATGTCCGGCGTCCAGTTCTTATGCTGGTTTTCCATCCAATCATGCACCTGTCTCCAGTCCCGGCAGGTATGCACAGTTCCTCCACCCGTAGCGACTGTATCCCCATTAGCCAATTTCATGCTTGTGCCGCCCGGCTCTAGGGTTGTGTCAGCGGCACATAGAATGCCCTGCCGTAAGTAATGGAAGCAGTGCTCCGTATGGTCCGACCCGTCGTCCCCGTTGACAAGCGCCGCACGTATGTGGTTGAGGCAGTGCATCTGGTGCCACATTGATACACCAAATGCGAAGTGCTCCTCCCCTAGAAAAGCGAAACCCTTGCCGGGAGGGCGAATGGCGTTCCATTCAGCCGTGGCCGCGAAGCCTTCCATCCCGTAGTGGGATGGGTCGTCCTGGAAGGCGGTTTGGATGGTGCGGACCTTTAGCGGGAGCTCACGAGGTCGGTCACCGGCGAGGTAGGCTGCTGTGCGTTAGTCATGAGTGCGCGGAGAATCTGGGATATGGCGTACTGTATCCCCGCGTTCCGCGTGTTAAGATACGGAGTGAGAAGAAGAGAGCGCCCAAATTCAGGACGAGACACACGCTCAGCACTGCGAGCAGGCCGAGGAAGGGACCGCGTAATTGGGGTGCTAGGGACTTGGGGAACATCTTGGTGTGCTGGTAGGGTGGTGTGTTGAGGCTAGCAGATGGAAACGGGATTTGGTTCAGCATCCGGAGCGGGCTAATATTGTTTAACACATCTATGGCCGTCTCTGCTCTGGCTGGGTGGGCAAGTCACGATAGTGCCGAAGAGCGGGGAAGAAGGAGACGTAAGTCAAGATGCTATATTTGCGAGAGACCTTATTCGAAGGATATCGAAGTGGAGAGTGCCAATGAACAGAGAAACAAATGTAGTTTGTGGCTCCACAAACAATACTACCTCACGAAAATAAACACCGGAGTTAATACCCATGTCCTGTTTTGGATTTCTGGCGAGTCAATGAAGTTGAGGTTTAGTTATTACTAGGACCAAAGAGGTAGGTGGTAGGAGGCGTTATGCTTACCGCATCTCTGCACTAACCCCGGACTCCGGTGGGGGGGCGATCCGAAGCCAGAGTGGGGCCGGCAGAAGTGTAGAAGTGGATCCCACACTAGTATATGCATGATTTACATGGCGTGCGCTACACTCCACTACTTTTAGTAGTGATCGTCGACCAGATCGGGGTATACTTCAGTCCGCAGTTTAATCCCACTCCTAAATGCAGTAATGGTTCTTCGGATTGCGAAATGTATAAATTCCCCAAGGGTATAGCACTAACAACTCATCAACGAGCCACCTCGCCTCACCCAAAGCATCTGCTCATTGCCAAACTCCAACGATGCATTTCACCACCATGCTCAGCCTTGCCGGCCTCGGCCTGAATATCCTCCCTGTCCAGTCCGCAGCGGTTCCCATCGCCGATTTGGATCGCCGCGGAGAGTCAATCAACCATGTCCATGTCGCTGACATGCTCGAGAAGCGCCACAAGTACATTTTGGACGAAGACGAGAACGCACTCGAGAAGCGCCACAAGTACATTTTGGACGAAGACGAGAACGCACTCGAGAAGCGCCACAAGTACATTCTGGATGAAGATGAGAATGCACTCGAGAAGCGCCACAAGTACATTTTGGATGAAGACGAAAGCGCACTCGAGAAGCGCCACAAGTACATTTTGGATGAAGACGAAAGCGCACTCGAGAAGCGTCACAAGTACATTTTGGACGAAGATGAGAACGTGCGCGTCTAGATACTGCTGGGCTGCGGATAACCGAAGTCTTGCATGGAACGAGCTTTACAAACGTCTATAACATATTATATAGGCGAGCGCCGCAACCCACCAACTTTGTGCCCTCTTTGAGGGTATTCCTTTCACCACGTTTGTTACATAGCGCTACGTATTGATCCTGCCTGTCCATTCCTTACTGCGCAGTGTTATTATGTAAGCACAGAGGATACAAGTAGCAGATACACATTGACAATACACACTCCTACACCTCTCTGATTTCAGTTCTATTTGTATGCCTGAGAACATACCGCCTAGAGCACGGCGCGCCAGAGCCTGGTAACTAAGATCTGATATGATTCTATGTTGATTCAGGTAGAGTAAATATTTGACGATTACCTCGTTTTATAGCTAGGTAAGCCTTTTAAGTTGGGGTTAAAATCGCGTCGGGCAGGTACACCAGCGCTGCAGCACGTCAGCGCCTGGTCGGTCATTCATACACGCTATAGACATCAGTAGGACTACAATGATTACTCTGGATATCTGCTTGATTTCAAGCTAATATACTGCCATTGTATTGAGCCATTGCACGTTTAGAAGCGAACCACACATGATGATTGAAGGACATGACAGCGCTCCAGCCTGCATTTACAGGTACTCATCTGGCATCGGGATAATTGTCTCGTTGTTAGCCGCACACATAGCCGGATGATCCTCCGGGAGAGCCTCGATGTCAGCCATCTTGACGTCGGAGCACTAGTTTTGCATCAGCATCAGCTCTAGTCGGTGCAAGTCGGTGCAACTAACATAATGTTCCACATTCCCTGTGTTTGGGTCTCTCGCCTCGAAGTATATGACCCCCATCTCATCGACCTTGGTCTCGAATGGTATCGTCACATTCACACACAGCTGCCCCGAAGGCTGGATGGGGACTTCCTGTAGGATGGTGTAGGGGAAGTCATCTATCGTCCTTGGCACTCTATTTCGGGTATAAAGGGCCGTCACAAGGTCCCCAGAATGGCCGGAGAACGAGAGGAAACTGCGGGAGCTGCGAGAGTATCGTTGGGGGTTATGTACTATCTCCCCTTCTCGGTATCAGCCTACACTACTAATATACCGGATACAGAGAGCAACATACCGCAGAAAGGGTTGTAAGAATCTATCTCTGGCCGGGTCTTGGGGTTTGGACCGCGGGTCATCCATGGGAACTGGACATGGAAGCCGGCGTGTGCGGCGGATGTGAGGTTGATACTGATGCTGAGAGCAGTCAGGAAGATGATTGCGTCGAGGAGGGGGGGGCATGGTGGACATAGATCAGTTGCAGCACGGCGCAGAGAGCGAGGGCAAGAAGAAGTGTGCTCAGACAGTCTCACTCGCTTCGGGCCCTTCCTACCTACCCGAAGGAGCCTTCACCCTCACACCCCTAAAATGGCTGATAGCCGAATTGGATAGCGTCATATGGTACACGTAGGCAGTTGTAGGGGTCGACCCGCCGTGACCTTCTTGGCTTCTTGGCTGCGGTGGCGAACGTATAGGAGTCTGTTTGATTATGCAGAACGGCCGAGTTTCTAATGCATTGTAACTCTGCTAGCTTCAGCGATCGCGGTAAGCACTAGGCGTACTAATCGCTAGCTCGACCGTCGACCAGTCCCGACCTTCTTGGCTTCTTGGCTTCTTGGCTGCGATGACGAACGTATAGGTGTCTGTTTGGTCATGAATAACGGCCGAGTTCCTAATGCACTGTAACTCTGCTAGTTTTATCGCGATGAGCAACAACGCGCACCAGGCGTCATGTAGCCCTACCTTCCGGGCGGCTACCTGGCACGGGGGCCATCGCCTGCTTTACCGTTACTTGCTTTCACATTTGCTTTCACCCACGGCGCGCCCTTTCTCTCCTTTCGCTCGCTCTGCTCTTCTCTTTGACTGCCCCTCGCCATGTCCACTTCCAAAGCAAAGTCCAGCTCTTCCCAATATGCGCCCCTTTCGCTACATGATGATAGCGAAGGCTCCAGCGCATCTCTTGAGAAGCGCTCCTCCGAGGACGACCACTCTGCCCCCTTGTTAGAAGGGTCGGACAACCTCCCCGGCCTCGCGCCATCCAAGCCCTCCCAGCTGCCCAAGCTCATCCTCTACTTCTCCTTCGCCCTAGCGCTGCTATCAGCTGTGAATGTCGCTCTCCTTCCCACTACACTATCAAAGTACCAAGCCTACCCCTTCTCTGACTCGGACCTTGCGGCCCTCCCCTATGGCGATGCCAGGTTGGGACTGGATAGGGCAGCGAAAGTCATCCCTCCTCCCCGGGTCTACCACCACGCTTGGCCGGATAGAATTGCACGGGTGAGCCGGAATTTGAAGAATGCCGTGTGGGGTCAGGGGGCTCAGGTCTATGTTACTGTCGAGGTCCGTATTCCGTACTTGCTTCCCATCCACATATTCTCCATGTCTACCGCTTTGTGTGCAGCTGCTGACACAACAGAAGGACTCGACAATTATGCGCTTCCCCATCCCCTCCAACGGGGCCAACGCCTGCGCACTCTCCTGGCGGCCGCCTCCCGAGTTCTCTGGGCGTGCCAAGGACCTCACAACAAAGGGAGATATAACGGAAATTGAAGTCTGGCAGCTTATCGCACCCTCGGCCACCTCAGCCACCGCCTCTTCCACTATGGACGAACTCGAGTATGATACCTTATCGTATTCGACCCTCCCCGTGCGCGGAGAGCTGCTCGGCGTGCTCGACCTCACAGCCAAGCCGAACAGCACAACACTGGAGTTTGCCTGTCCTAGCGGGGTGGAGAGTCTAGTGGTGGAGATGAGATGCCAGCGCGTGGCGTGTCATGTGAACTTTATGCAGGTTGATATAACGCCCAGGTTTGGGTTTGAGTTGGTTAGAAGGGCGGAGTGAGCCCGGCGAGGGTGGCTATATTGCTTTAATCGACGTCATTGCTCACGTAGAATGGATCCCGTGTATCTCTAGTGGCTCTTCACATCAGAGTAGCCCCAGTACACCTAATCCGGCCTACTGCACTGAGGGTCCACACATGGAATTGAACTTGTCTGTTGGCCACTGGGGCCAATCTGTTAGATAAGGGTTTGATTCTAAGAATTCTATGGGAGAGAAATTCAAGGGCAGGGTCAACCTAAAAAGCGGGGTAGTTGGGTGGTATGGGAATTGACAAGACATGTTCTTTCATGAAGCCTCGGCTCCATTTACCTTACTGAAGATCCCAGATACAGTACTTCCGGAAAGTGTCACCACTGATTGTTTTTCTGTCTCTGGTAAGCGCTAAATCGTCTTTAGAATAACCTAATATCTCCGGTTTAGGTCTTGTACCGTCGAAATACCGGATTATTGTATGATCAAGGTTTATTACCTGCCAGAGTGCCGCAGTGCTCACCATTCCCATGTAACCTAGCCAAATCTACGCATTTTTTCATGATATGATTACTGAAGGACTCCCGAGGTCTGTATTATTCATCTTAACCCCAACTTACCTAAGTAGTTAAGTAGTCAGCAGCAGAGCTTTCACGGTGGTCGAACTTTTCTTTATCTCTCTCAGCAAAAGTTGTCACTGTACTCGTTGGTACCCATACACAAAAGCAGTCAATTATCGTATAGCACAGCCCAGTCCTAGCCATTTCTTTCTGACCCTTGTACACAAATAAACTTCTGCCCTTTCCCAACAATTTCGTTGATTTCATTTTCCTCCTGACAACTCACTACGTGGTTTTTTCCTCATCCTTACTCGACCAGCAGCTACAAGACCATGTCACAAACTCTAGGACATGCGTTCGCATCGCCCAAGCATATCTCCCTCGACTACGGGTGCTCGGATTGGCGGATCAGTAGCCAAAGAGCCGCAGATCTGTACAGTTCTGGTACCAAGCTTTGGATGAGAGAGGATCTCAAAGACATAGAACAACAATTGGGCCAATCCTATACAAAGGACCGATTTTCAGTCCGTCGAATTGATGGAAGCATAATCCAAATTTCTAATCCCTTGTTCCAAGTACAGAATCCTATCTGGTACGTGGGTATGGTATTCTGACCCGATTCCAGCTTGCAAGCTAAGTTTTCCTTAGGAAACCCTATATCAAATACCAAGAATATTGGCAACTTGTGAAAACACAACCCAATGGCCCAATCGAAACCTACCTATGCTCTTACATTGTGGATTGGAGTAATCAGACTGCACGAAACTTTCGAGAGCTTATAGCGCAGCCTATGCAAGTCTTTGACGAGAAAGACCTGTTATGGCAGAATAGTATAACCTGCAAGCAATTGGCAGCCTTGATCCAAGATTTACTTGGCATAAACACTGTGAAGAAAGTTCTCTGCTTCGGGCTCGGTGATTTTTGCCGCTCCGCCCCTGAGTGGCTTAAAAGGCAGCATGACTCTTGGGATGGGACCTCGGATGTGGAAAATGTGATGGGCTGCATGATCCAGCATTCGATGGCTCTCACTATAGCTCAACTTTGTCGTGGCGATGAAACAGTGCCATTACTTGCTCAGGACCCGGATTATACAGAGGTCGCAGAAAGGATCCTGACCAAGAAGGAATTCAAGATTATTGGACCTCACGGTGCAGGAGGATTCGCGGAAATCGACGAGGAATCGATCGTAATATCACCCTTTGCTGCCGCCCCAGTTAAGCAGATTATCGCCGATCTTGCTCGGCCTGTACTGATTATTTCCACCGGCTTTGCCGTCTTCAATGGCAATGAGTAAGTTCGATTTTATCAATCGTCGAATGTGGCTAACCAAGGCATTTCACAGAAAACCATTGGCAGATGCTGAATCTCCGAGAACTAGGCAAATGTGGCTTGATTATGATGTCTATAGCCTTCCAAGCCATTCTGATGATGTTGAAATATGCTGTGCATTGAAAGGATTACATCTGTATCGCAGACGGCAGCAACCTTTGGATTCGCAAGGAGTCTGAGTTCATACAATCTTACATCTAGGAGACAGGTAGCCAAATGTGTAAGATCCACGCAAATTTTGTTTGAATGTTTGTATTTCTAAACATTATAGTCTACGAATTCATACCCTGAATGGCCCAGGTATAACTTATCGGTAAGAACTTGTATTCGTAAATAATGGAATATCACTATTCCGACTTCCTTAGCTCATCTTGGCGTTTGGAAATACAGAGTGTATTGGTGATCTCTGTAACCCCACTTTAACTTTAGGATTTCACATGCGATGCAGTCCGAAACACATAGGGATAAATTACAATGATATCTCAATGTCCTTTATTCCATACTCAATAGCGATAAGGATCTTGAATATCAATTTCAAGGCAATCAAAAAGGTGCAATATCATGTCGAAAATTACATCTAAGCCAGGTATATATTCTCAATGTTATTAACCTGAAAATTGGCAAGATAGCCCCGAGTTATCTTAATCCGAATACTCCGGTAGATGCCTAAAAGAGTGGGGGCTTTACCACAAATAAAAGATGTCACGATATCAACTCCCGGTTACCCCCCATACTAAATTTGCGGTAGGAGTGCTCCCAGGCGACCGTCCAAGTCTGACACCATAAGACTTCAATTGTTACACTAAAGGCTATAGTTCCAAGATCCACCACCTAGCTACGCAAACCCCACCCAGTCGTTGTGTGTCCAACACGCATTGAGCACAACATGTCCACTCAACTAGACGCCGCCTCTATCGCCCGTGTCTCCTTACACGACCCCGCCCACTTCAGCATCCAGCACTCTCAAACCGTTCATCGCCTAGTATTCCTGCAGCACTGGAACATTCCCACCGACTCCAAGGTGCTGGAACTAGGATGCGGGCAAGGGGACTGTACAACTGTCCTTGCCTATGCTGTAGGCGAGCAAGGGAGAGTAGTGGCGGTCGATCCAGCGGAGTTGGATTATGGTGAGTCCTTTAGCTTATCTGACCCTGCTGGCTGTCCTGGGGGTGCGAGTGGAAGACAACCGACTGATGGCTTCTGCAGGTGCCCCGTATACTCTCGACCAAGCACAGAGCCACATCTCGCAAGGCCCGCTGGGTGGGCGGATTACTTGGGTCCAACAACCCCCCCTAGACTACCTCTCCTCCCTCTCCTCCCCCTCGTCCACCTCCTCGCCACCCGCCAGCAAAAGTAGGGCCTTCGACGCAACAGTGCTCGCCCACTCACTATGGTACTTCTCCTCGCCCTCGCTCATCCTTTCCACCTTCCGTGCCATCAAGCAGCACAGCAAGCGTCTCCTTCTTGCTGAGTGGTCGCTAACAGCGACACACCCCTCCGCCCAGCCTCACGTATTAGCTGCACTCACCCAGGCAGCGCTGGAGTGCCGTAAACCCAAGAACAGCGACTCGAACGTCCGCACGGTGCTGGGGCCAAAGCGACTTACCGAGCTGGCCCTAGAGGCCGGGTGGAAGCTGGAGAGTGAGACCCTCGTGCAAGGTGGGGAGGGGCTGTTAGATGGACAATGGGAAGTCTCTGCTTGTCTTTCTTCCTCTTTTGAAAGGGAAGTAGAGGAGCAAGTGAGTGATGAGAGGGAGCGGGCAGTGATTCTTGCGTCACGGGATGCGTGTGAGGCGAGCTTAAAGGGTATCCAGGGGGGTCGGAAAGGAGTTAGGGCCATGGATGTTTGGGTTGCTAATTTCGTCTGATTGGATGGGCTGAGCATGTCCTAGCCTTCTTCTAAGAGCGATCTCTTGATCGAGGACGGGTGTCAAACATCGAGTTTGAACGTTTGAACGATTTAAATCGAGATTTGCCGTGGAAGCTGGCTTGAAAACTATGTCCTGCGGCTTGCGGATGCTGCCTCAGACCGACCTTCATAAGCCAAATACCAATAAAAAAGCTTTGTGAATAGAAGCTGTTCTCGTCGCGAATACATACTGAATGACGGTGTTGAATGCATTGATTTAGATAGTTATGCAATGGAAGGATAGCGAGACTATCAGAGAAGCTCTTCAGTCTCACTTCTTTGAAGTCATTACTCGGTCGGCAGTACTTTTCAGTGTTATTTAGTGGACCCCTGCATTTTCTGATGAATGCGGCGGGTCATAATAGCACCAAATAGAATTTAGCAACTAGATTTGTCAGAAAAATATCAGAGCGAGAGACTCACAGATGACCGATATGAGAATAAGTCTTGCGCTCATGTTACGCATTAATAGGCTGGTCATAGGTAGATATAGAGGTAAGACAATCTTACAAGTCTTTCCTCTTCTCCTCTGTCCTATTAACAACGTAGTATCTAGAAGGCTGACTGACAAAGCTTCGGGTGGGAAATTGTGACCCTTTGATGCCACTAGGTGGAATACTTGTGGTCTCACTCCTCTGGTGGGAGTTAATTCAACCGGATAGCAGCTTGATCACAAGCTTAGCGTGTATTCTACTTATTAAATGGCAGATAAGAACCAGCGCTCGCTCGAGCAACCCAAAGCTATTCTGCACATTCACGATCATCACTTCTTCTACCAACAAGAAACACTAAATAAACCGTAAAAGATCCAACTCTAGAGAACGGTAGCTGGCCGTTCAACATCATCTCGCTCTCCTCTTGTATTCTGTCAGAACAAAACATTTGGGCGCTTTCAGGTCACTCACTTGTCTTGATTGCGGGTCCAAAATGTTGACAAGTCTCCAACTGGCAAAAAGGGTGGGAACGCTACGGACTCAAACAATTGAATAATCAACAGGTAGAATCCGAGTAAGCTGGCAACAAATAGCGACGCTCCGGCACCCTGAAAATGGATCGATAGTCAGCATAAGTCAAAATAGCAGCGAACTCAAAAGACACGGAATAGGACTCACTTTTACACATCGACCCCCAATAGCTGCATTGCCTTGGCCTAACTGCCAATAGGCCGAAGACAGAAGGAGGAAAACCAAGAGCAGAAACAGGAAAATCGCTGTGTATACCACATTGATGCGTGTTGAACAAATCAGGAAGATTAACATCAAAACAGCCATTGTTATGAATAGAAATGCTGGTATCGTCAGAGCCGCTATCATATCCTAGAGTCTTTGACTACACATACCATATGTATTCATAAAGGCTTCACTGGCTAGCCCAGCAGCTGTATCGGTACCTGAAGAGGAATATGGGGCTATAAAACGTAAGTAAACTGACAAGTCGATTGGGATCAATGACATATTCGATAGGACAAACTAACCGGCTGCATTAAAAGCAGGAATCATTGTAGCTGCAAACGCGAACCAAAACCCGCCTTGGTAAATCATCAGTAACATGAAGGAGTGATTGGGGCTTCTCTCATAGAATAAAAGGACCTACCAATAGTGCCAAAAACGACACAGGGAAAAGTATTTCCGATGATGAACTCTAGGATACTTGTGATGAGCAGCAAAAGACCACCAAGAAAGACGATAGGTCCACTGTTCAGTTCATTAGATCAGGCTTCTCTCGTCGATTTGTTTGATCTCTCACATGAAAGCAATTCCATTTCCACTAGCTCCCCTCCAGGCCATTAAGCAGCATGAAAGGGGGTGGTGGTAATGACAAAACCTCCTAGTGCTCTAGATGTTGAACGATGAAGTTAGATCAGAATACCCTGCGTAGAAGATGATATTCGAAGACTTACAATGGTGTCGGATTTCCAACCTTCTTAGCTAGTGGGGATTGACGAACCGTCATAGGAGTCAGATAAAGCCTTTCAAACTGTTCAGAAGACAGTGTCACCGATGTCGGGACTGTAGTGAGACCATTCAGTGTGTTCTCCTTATTTTGGAAAGTCGCCTTTGTCTCGCCATTTTGGCTAACGTCACTGTCCATTCTGCTTTTGCTAAGATGAGTCTCCCTAGTATCGAAAAGCAGAAGAATGTACTATGGCATGGAATGAGACTGTCGGCTCCGAGAAACGAGTCTTATGGGTCTTCAACACGCGGGGACTGTAGACTTTTAATCTTCCCCCACATTTGGTGGCTGACATGAACTATGGGGTGATTGATTTTTGCTCATTTCACTACAGGAAGGAATAAAATTATTGTAATAATCCTTTCCACCGCGTCCAATCACACACATCGGTGGGAAATAGTGATTTACAGCAAGAAGGGATGAGTCCAGAACGCGCAATGAGCTCAATAATGGGAGAAAATAAGGATTAGATTCAATGATTGGCTAACCAGATATTGACAATGCAGCATATTGGTGTTCCGTGTCCTATATCCACCAGACTTTAACCATAATCATCGTCACTTTTACTAGATTGCATTTCTCCCCGCTTTGTTAGTTGCCATAGAAGCTCTCGGGTCGGAGATCGATGGCAAAGATATGAGAAAGAGTTTGATAGTCTGCATCTATTTTCTGTAAGATGCAGATCATATGGTTCGGGCCATGCGGTTCCGAAATTTCATGCGGAGCCGCACAGGTGAAATTCAAAGCTGATCTCCGCATTTCAGGTTGTACCCCGCATTATTTTGGAACGGCCCAGTCATTTGGATCTGGGGAAGCTAATTGTAAGGATGGCCATACATGCGGAGCCGGTCAGATTGTGGTCCCAAGTTTAACATGGTATTAGATGAACACATTGGTTATGAACACCTTGGTGGCTATGTATATCTTGTTGGGTCTCACCAGGATTTTTGAGGACCCTTGGCGCTACTGACTTTGATAACAATCCCTTTCATCTAGGGATATATAAACCTGGGTGCCAAGTCGGTTGCGAAAATAAACGTGACACTATCTTTCCTCCCACCCTTGAAGATACCACACTACGCAAATTCATGACTTGTTTGAACATGGCATCCTGCACTGAATTTGATGTCCTCCGCCCCCGCAAAAAGGCCAGAAGATCCTGCTTATATTGTCAAAAGGCCCATAAAACATGCGGTAAGCCCACAGGCCCCGCCCTTTGGTGTCGAGCAAGTCTATGTTGAGAACAATACACTGACAAAAGGCGGTAGGGAATGAACGCCCTTGTGGGCAATGCGTGAAGCGCAAAGTGCCATCGCAATGTGTCGATGGACACCGCAAACCGCCTAAATACCTCAATGAGAATACGAAGAAAAGAGGCAAGGCTGCCTTAGATCGCGGTTTTACTTCTATGCAGCAATCCCAGTATCAACAAGAGATTATTCTAGAAACTACAAGATATGAGTCAGTTTGGTTCCCCTCCAGGGTTATTGCTTCCGTATGCTAATATTGATGCAGTAGTGAGAGCGCTCAACAAGAATACAACGACGAGGAACAAATCCGAGACTACAGGCGAGACCCATTTGAGGAATTCTTTGATGAGCTCATTGATTCAAACTTTTTCTATACTCAACGCCCAAGTTTCAAATTCGGAAATCAAGGTTCTGGGGGTACTATTGTTAAAGGAAATGGGGATTTCACCCCGTTCTTCTCAAATGCTGAATACTCAACCTGGTCAGAGAGATCTTCTAGCGTATCCGAAGATAGTGAAGCAGAGGCCTCATACCAAGCTCTGGATGACGGTGTCCGGGCCAGCTTGGCAAAGCTACATAAGAACACGAGAGAGGAACTATATTCCGGATTTGCTATCAGCAGTGGTTGGTCAAGTACATTCTTTCCTCACGGAATGGAAGAATAGCAGAATTGCTGAATACGGCAACCAAATAGAGCGCAAAGTGCAGCTTTTTGACAACATTATAACTATGTATAAGACAAAGGGCCAGAGAAAACGAGATGAATCTTATGTGTTTCATTTTCGCGGATTTGCCCTTTCTAATCCTCTTTTCAATTGGTACGAATAGGACGTTTATGCTACCTATAATATAATTGTACCAATATTGCCGATATTGTGTGAGAAAAAAATATAGCGGATTAGAATAGAAGGCGTTGGTTGAGCTTAGTCAGCCGATTTGGGTTGTGTTTGTGATGCCTTGGGGGCCAACCGCCAATCCTCACCTCTAATTATTTCAACCCCTCTACGATAGTTTCTCCACGAACAACTCCCATCCTTTCCATCGTAAGTTTTCGGCCTGCCCCATACCCCAGCTGCATTTATGGGCCCATGTTTGCCCCACAACCAGACAAGAGAGCATTTTAGTGAGAACGTTGCGTCCAATCAGATGAGTTACCCGTGCGGCTCCGCATGGCGGGCCGTGCGCGATCCCCGCAACCCTTCCCCGCATGAACTTCGCGTCTCAACTTTGCAAGTCTATAGGTGCATGACAGTCTCTAGATCCCACACATCCACAATCAATCTACCTATTGTGCCTCTGTATCATCCAAGAAGGATTCCGGTGACCCGAACTAATTCCTCTAGATGACAGGCAATATGAGAATTGAAGCGACAGCCCCCACCTCGCCTTTTTCTATCCCAGACATCCCCACCCGACAAGTTTAGCTATAAAGCTCCAATTCGCGCTCAGCAAGAGACTATCAAATCATCAACAAATTCTTCTCCATCCACTACACATTATAACGACTCATCAACATGTCCATCCCCGAGACTCAATGGGCGCAGGTGGCCGAGAAGATCGGAGGGCCACTCGTGCTCAAGCAGATCCCCGTTCCCAAGCCAGGTCCTGATCAGATTCTTGTCAAAATTCGTTACTCGGGCGTTTGTCACACCGATTACCATGCGATGATGGGTCACTGGCCAATCCCAGTCAAGATGCCTCTCGTCGGTGGACACGAAGGAGCGGGTGTGGTCGTGGCGAAGGGCGATCTTGTCAACACCTTTGAGATCGGTGACCACGCTGGAATTAAGTGGCTCAACGGCTCGTGCGGGGAATGTGAATTCTGCAGACAGTCCGATACTCCTCTGTGCGCCAATGCACAACTTTCTGGCTATACTGTCGATGGTACTTTCCAGCAATATACCGTCGGAAAGGCCACCCATGCCTCTAAGATTCCAAAGGGTGTTCCTCTCGATGCCGCAGCTCCAGTACTCTGCGCTGGTATCACAGTTTATAAGGGCTTGAAGGAATCCGGCATTCGTCCGGGCCAGACAGTTGCTATCGTTGGAGCTGGCGGTGGCCTTGGCTCCCTTGCACAGCAGTACGCCAAGGCCATGGGTCTCAGAGTAGTCGCTATTGATGGAGGCGACGAGAAGAGAGAGATGTGCGAGCAGCTTGGCACTGAGGTATGATTGGGAAATCTCTATATCCTAACATTTCCCTACATCAAACAGAAACTAATAAAGGCAACAACAGACTTACGTTGATTTCACCAAGTCCAAAGACCTTGTTGCCGATGTGAAGGCAGCAACCCCCGATGGCCTTGGTGCTCACGCCGTTATTTTGTTAGCTGTTTCAGAGAAGCCATTCCAACAAGCCTCCGAATACGTCCGCTCCCGAGGCACAATTGTTGCAATTGGATTGCCTCCGGATGCATACCTGAAGGCCCCAGTAATTAATACTGTCGTTCGGATGATCACTATCAAGGGAAGTTACGTTGGAAATCAACAGGATGGTGTCGAAGCTCTCGACTTCTTCGCCCGAGGGTTGATCAAGGCGCCATTCAAGCTAGCACCGCTGGAGGACCTCCCCAAGATCTTCGAGCTTATGGGTTCGTCACACGCACTCTCTCTCCAACTTACATACTAGAGTCTAAACTAACTTGAAATAGAACAAGGCAAGATTGCCGGTCGCTATGTGCTTGAGTTGCCAGAGTAAACGGCGGCAGGACATCAGTGTGGACCATGCTATGAGGACAGGTTATGGATTATGAGCATGTTGTATATAAGGCGGAGACTTGTGTGCGAGTTATGTGATATATGAAATGAGATACTGAATTTGACTGAACTTTAATAATTGACACACAAGAAAAGAAGCCTGTGACACAGTCTCTCTCTGTCGTACTATTTAAGATAGCATTGATGTTGATTTTGGGTTTTTAGAGCCAATCTCGGCATTTCGCTAGTCTCCGCAACAACCAGAGAGTACGAGCTTGTCACTGTGTTAGTCACCAAACTCTAACCTCCGAATCACGGACCCTGTAATGTACGTTGGGGCCAACTTCTCAGTCTATAGGAAACAGCTAGATTGGAGATGATGGTAGATATTGCATGATCTCAAATACACATTCACCGTCTAGCCAAATAAGATATTTCACTGTGTCTTTGTCTAGGCTAGAATGGTTCATATGAGATAATCTAATAAAATGTAAATATGAATGAAAGAACATTGGATAATACACATTTCCTGTGGTAGCTAGTCTCACATATTCAGTACCATCGTAGGACACTTTTGGTTCGTTTCCCGTGTTTAGCTTCTGACTAATGCTGATCTCCGGACGAACGGAAGTGTGAATCAAAGTAAAAACCCGGGGTAAAGGAGTGGGTAACCCAGACAGCGAGAAACATCGGGCCGGTCTTTATCGATCTCAGTGCTTCCCCCGCTATGTCCCCTCCGCCCCCCCGCCCAGTTCTCCACACCTGGTTCCTTCCCATTAACTATATAAGGGTGCCTATTTCGTACCATAGCCTCACGTATCTCACATCTAAATCATATCAACCGACTCTTATTCTTCAACCATGTCACTTTTCCAAACCATTGAGACCCCTGTGCTCTCATATGAGCAGCCTTTGGGACTGTAAGTTGGGCCTACAAAAGAACTTCATGCAACTAGCCAATAAGCTGACAATCATAAGATTTATCAACAATGAATTCGTCAAAGGTGTAGAAGGCAAAACCTTCGAGACAATCAACCCTCACGACGAGAAGCCAATTGTGGCCGTACACGAAGGCACAGCAGACGATATCGACATTGCTGTGAAGGCTGCTCGCACTGCACTGAACGGAGATTGGAAAAAGGTCACTCCGTCTGAGCGTGGCCGTCTCCTTACTCGCCTAGCGGACTTCCTAGAACGCGACATCGACATATTGGCGGCGATTGAAGCTCTTGATAATGGTAAAGGTGTGACAATGGCCAGAGGCGACGTTACCGCCTCTGCGGGGTGCCTACGCTACTATGGTGGCTGGGCCGACAAGATCTACGGTCAAACAATCGACACTGATCCCAATAGCTTGACATATACCCGCCACGAGCCGGTGGGCGTCTGTGGCCAAATTATTCCATGGAATTTCCCACTCATGATGTTTGCTTGGAAGATTGGCCCTGCTCTGGCTACGGGAAATACAGTTGTTATGAAGACGGCTGAACAAACGCCCCTTTCTGGACTCTATGTGGCTAATCTCATTAAAGAAGCAGGCTTTCCCCCTGGAGTGGTGAATGTTATTTCAGGATTCGGAAGAACTGCGGGTGCGGCCATTTCCGCTCATATGGATATTGACAAGGTCGCTTTCACTGGGTCCACTTTGGTCGGACGCCAGATCATGAAAGCAGCGGCCGATAGCAACTTGAAGAAAGTGACTTTGGAACTGGGTGGCAAGTCGCCGAACATCATTCTCCCGGATGCAAACCTGGAGGACGCAGTCGAATGGGTCAACCTGGGCATTTTCTTCAATCATGGACAGTGCTGCTGTGCAGGCTCTCGCATTATTGTTCACGAAGCTGTTTATGACAAATTCCTAGAGCTTTTCAAGAAGCGAGCAGAGCAAAATAAGGTCGGAGACCCATTTCACTCCGAGACCTTCCAGGGACCGCAGGTATCCCAACTCCAATACGACCGGATTATGGGCTTTATTGAGGGCGCAAAGGGGGCAGGCGCCACGGTGGTCACGGGTGGCGATCGCCATGGTAGCCAAGGATACTATATCCAACCGACGATCTTTGCTGATGTCCACGAGGACATGACAATTGTGAAAGACGAGATCTTTGGACCGGTGTGCACGGTGCAGAAGGTCCACAGCGAAGAGGAGGCTATTCGGGCTGCTAATGACACAAATTACGGTAAGTACTACGCGATATTTTTACATTCAATTTGCTTCCCAATGTCTAATTTGATAAAAACAGGCTTGGCCGCAGCTGTCCACACCATGAATATCAACACTGCCATAAGAGTGTCCAACGTCCTCAAAGCAGGGTGAGTCAATTGAATAGCCACAAAGTGGGTCCCATAGATTTGCTGACGTATCATTTGCAACAGAACGGTGTGGGTTAACAACTATAACACCCTTCACTACCAGATGCCCTTTGGTGGTTTCAAGGAATCCGGAATAGGCCGAGAGCTTGGATCGTACGCCTTGGAGAACTACACCGAAGTGAAGACAGTCCGCGTGCACCTTGGGCAGTCATAAGCTTCAGATCGGGAGAATTTCAACTGTTTACGTTTGCAATTTGTACATACCCTACGAAATCAACTTTACATATTAAGTGCACTCAATGCGAAAATCTCAATTCCTAGGTAATTTTCTCAATGACTAGCCCAAGGGTCGTCATGGGCAGTCAGCCGACTACATGAATCAGTTCGAGGGGTGGTTCATTAGATCAAACATAAGGATAAACTAAACGGCAGTCTTTCATGACTGAAATTTGTATAACTTCGTTCCCCAGCACCTCCAATTTTTTGTCGATCATATTGAAGACCAATCTGCATTGCATTAGCTGCCGCGTAACGTTTGCAAGCCGGTGACCACATACGGGGGCTTTAGACGATTGGCTAGACAATGCTCCGCTTCGTTTCGGGATTCAGGGCGAAAAATGCGCCACGTTCTAGGCTGCTGTGTAAGAACAATATAACCCAGTACAAGGTCTGGAGTTTTCTACATGTTAGACCTATGTTGTAGTTCTATATCTGGTATCTGCTTCAAGGAGATCATTAAGCATAGTTGACGCATAGTTGAAGTAGAGTATATATTTCCACTGGGCCGATAACTCGTGACCCAGTTAGCTTCTCCACTCTTCTACCCCACTTAAACTTACTCCGCAAAGTTCACGTGTTCCCCCAAGAATTATCTTTGAAACTTGCTTTTCTACAGTATGCATACCTGCCTTTGACCATGCAATAGCTTAACATGGACTCCCGTCGACGTCAGCTTCATAGCTGTGATCCCTGTCGCAAGGGCAAAAGAGGCTGCGACGCACCTGTTTGTGAACATGTCTCTGTGTCATTCACAGATGCTGACTTTGAGTAGAAAGAACGACAAAAGAATGCATTCAGTTCCTGTTCAAACTGCACACGATGGAAGAAGGAGTGCACATTCAATTGGATTTCTTCAAAAGACCTGGACGCAGGATCGACAGGAAGTCGAAAGCGGATAAAGTCCAACACGGGCACAGCCATCATAGGCTCAATTGACGAAGTTCATGATGAGATACTACGCTCTGCACAAACGCATCCTGCCGATTTCGGAGAATTACCAGAATTGCTTGGCTCCCTTGAACCCTCAGGTTACGCTTCATCTTCGTCCTCCTCGCACACGGAAAATCACTTTCTCGAGTCATCCCGAGTACACAATTTAACTGATGCCCAGGGTCAATTGTCTCCTTGGGAGATGAATATCCCGTACGATTTACAAATTAACAACTCAAACCCATATGCATCTCCGGAGTCCTCTGTGGGATCCGACGCCCAGGCTGGACTTTTTGTTGTGCCACCAAATTCTGTCGGGAGGCCGTACAGCTTGTTACCACCACGGGAATATGGACTCACCCCTCCTCTCGCATCAACGGGTTCACCGTGGAAACAGAGTCGACATAAACATCCATCTGAATCTGGGTCTGACCTAAACTCAAACCAAGAGCCACAACTGAACATTTGCATTGCTTCCGAAAATGCAGCTAAGCAAAACGCTCGTGCAACGATGTCACGCAACTTGATCCGCATTTATCACGATAGCATGGAGAATGCTTTGTCATGCTGGTTGACTGAGCACAACTGCCCTTACAGCGACACAATCAGTCAATTGTTTCCTCATCGAGAGATGCAAGAATGGGGTCCGAGCTGGTCAAACAGAATGTGTATTCGGGTTTGTCGGCTAGATCGTGTATCAACCTCAATACGCGGTAGAGCTTTAAGTGCAGAAGAGGATACGAAGGCGGCTCGAGCGCTTCATCTGGCGATTATGTCGTTCGCATCGCAGTGGACTCAACATGCACAGAAGGGCACTGGTGCGTCGGTTCCCTCGGCAATCGACTATGATGAGAGATCTATCCGAGAGAAAGTTTGGAATGAGGCACGACACGCTTTGGAATATTCGAGCACCATCCCGTCCTTCCGTGTCGCGTTTGCAAACATAATTTTCTCTTTGACGCAAAGTCTGCTAGACAGAGGACAGGAAGTAAGCTTGGGTGAGCTTTTGGACAATGATCGCGCACCTATATATCTAGAAACTGCCAATCGTCAAATCTTCACTTTCCGACACAAGTTCACAAGATTGCAACGAGAGGCTGCCATTAAAATGAGAGAGCTTGGGGGGTCTCGATCGACCCGACAACGGCAAACGCTCCAGGGATTCAACAACCTTCAGAGCCTCGGCAAATCGATCCACTTCTGGCTAGCCAAGAACACCGCACTACGATAGATCTCATGTTTTGGCTAGGTGTCATGTTTGATACTCTGAGTGCTGCAATGTACCAGCGTCCTCTAGTAGTGTCGGACGAGGATAGTGAAATTTCATCGGCATCACGGGCAATAGCTGAGCCCGAAGATCAGACAGGTCTTGATCACTGGAACATTCCAAACCGCGAGATACGTCGCAAACAAGATGTGTGGGGAGATTTATTTCTTCGTTCTTCAATGGAACGCCAGGGATCGAGCCAGGTCCAGCCGAGATGGCCATGCTCCTACGAAGAAGCTGCATCGATACTTTCGGAGGCGACTCCTGTCAAAGTACTTCTCTACCGCCGAGTGACACAGCTCCAGACACTGGTTTACCGAGGCGCAAGTCCTGATGAAATTGAAAATAGCATCCAGAAAGCCCTCTTAGTCTGCCAACGCTGGGATTCCACATACCAGAGTTTCATGGTCGATTGCGTCACCAATCATGAGCTCCTTCCTTCTCGCATACAGTCGTGGTATGTCATCCTCGACGGCCACTGGCACCTTGCTGCGATGCTTTTGGCGGACGTCCTAGAGAGCATTGACAAATGCAGGCTCGGTTCTGATGTTGCACGCGAGGCACGCCAGGCTACACACTTGGTCGCTACGGTTAGGACGAATAATGCGTTGGCAGTTGCCGGACTTGCCCGAGCTTCAATACAAGGGCAGGACTCGTTCGTGGAGCGTCATTTCCATGATTCACTCAGTGAAGTGGCCTTCCTAGTCGAACCGTGGACAGCCGTGCTTGTCCATTCTTTTGCCAAAGCGGGATATATCTTGCTAGAAGATTTGGATATTCCCACTGATCACAATGTGTATACTGAGTGTTTACGACAGAATTGTGATTTCTTGATCCGTGCGCTTCAATATCTCGGAAGAAAGTCTGATATGGCCTTTTTGGTGGCTCGGAATCTGTCAAAATGTTTAAAATCAAAGGTTAACTGAACATCATGAAAAGATCGACTGGGCAGATATGATTCTTGGCTCTTAACGATAGGATAACAGGTATTACGGAGCAGCCAAGGAGAATTTGTAACATCAGGAAGAAAGCAAAAGGGGTGAATGACTTTCTCGGAAACTAAGCACTCGACGCTGTTTATATTTCACACCCGTTTCCTTTATGAGTTGTGATATCTCTTGTCAGTTGATTTCATCGAAACCACAAAGTATGGGTTAATGGAGCCTTTGAGTCAATATCCCCTACACCAAAAGAGGATTCATACAAAGAAACAACAACCCAATTATGGCGACCTAAAGAACTTTGCATTTAGAAATACCATGCCACCAATTACCCACTTTTGCAACATCTAGATAGTCATAGGCTTGTAGTGGACATAAATATGAATTTTATACTTCAATTTTATAAAGGATGATTAATTTTAAGATTAATATGAGGGCCGAGTGGGTGGGTAATAGCTTGAAAGTTTAAATATATAATAGTTTACTCTACAGAGACTCGAGCTGGGTGTCCGGCTAAAAGAGGCTGTTCTCGTTTCCTCGTGAGATGTTCCATAGAAAAGCCGGTGGCACATATTAGTGTTATGCTGCCTTTTATAAGCCACCCTCTATGGCATTTTAGCCAGTAGATAATGCTTTGGGGAGAAATTAAAAAAGTTCAATAATTTAAAGTTAAGATATGCTCGGATGAGAAAAGAAACGTGGACTTCCCCAATCTAAATGAAACACTGTGGAATTAATCCACCACTCTACTATTTCTCCTGGGTTTCTCCGATGTGTTTCGTACATGGGCTTGCTGACGATCGCCTTCCTAAAGCAACCTTAGAACGGTAAACTGATCGGCGCATCTCCACCGGGGCTTCCCATGCTTCCGAAACCACACCCACTCTCATTTCGGAGACTATTCGAGTACAGCTAAGGGGTATTGAACCAAGCACATCTCATGGGCTAAAATTGCAGTTATATAAGTATGTAAACATCTGCTCTCTGTTCCATTCCTGTTCCATTCCTGTTCCATCCCTCTCTTACTCTCCTTTATTTTTCTTTATACTTTCGTTTGCTTTAGGTTATCGTCACTCTTTATATATACTACCTTCAACTTCTAAAATGAAGTACGCATTTGTTCTCACGGCTATTGCCGCTATTGCCTCCAAGGTCGCCGCTGTTGGTGTCTCAGGCACTCCTGAGGGTTTCGCTTCTTCCGCCACTGGTGGCGGTGATGCCACCCCTGTTTACCCTACCTCCACCGATGAGCTGGTCTCTTACCTCGGTGATGACAAGGCCCGTGTGATTGTTCTGAGCAAGACGTAAGTAGAGAGCTTCTGCCGTGGGTGGACGACGACTGATGGGGGAATGCTAGTTTCGACTTCACCGGTACCGAGGGCACTACCAAGACCTCTGGTTGTACTCCCTGGGGCACTGCCTCCAACTGCCAAGTTGCCATCAACAAGGACGACTGGTGCACCAACTACGAGCCTGATGCCGCTACCACTACCGTCACCTAGTGAGCATTCCATCACCTAGACTATTATAGAAATCCCTTCGATGCTAACATATCTCCAGCGACAATGCCGGTATGCTCGGTATCACCGTTGGCTCTAACAAATCCTTGATTGGTGAGGGCACCAGCGGTGTGATCAAGGGCCGTGGTCTGCGCATAGTCAACGGTGTGGAGAACGTCATCATCCAGTACGTTGACCCCCTGTCGCGGTTTTAAGTGCAAAAGCTTCGTTGGGATTTACGCTGACTGTTTTATCATAGGAACATTGCTGTCACAGACATCAATCCTCAGTATGTCTGGGGTGGTGACGCCATCACGCTCAATCAAGCTGACCTGGTCTGGCTCGACCACATCACCGTAAGTTGCTCCGACAAGCCTTCCCACCAATTCATATAGACTGACTTGCCATCCAGACTGCTCGCATTGGTCGTCAGCACTACGTCCTGGGTACTGAAGCTGACAACCGCGTTTCTATCACCAACAACTACATTGATGGTGAATCCGATTGGTCTGCCACCTGTGACGGTCACCACTACTGGAATGTGTACCTGGATGGCTCCAGTGACAAGGTTACCTTCAAGGGCAACTACCTGTACAAGACCAGTGGCCGTGCCCCTAAGGTTCAGGACAACACCTACCTTCATGCTGTCAACAACTACTGGGACGACAACTCTGGCCACGCCTTCGAGATTGGCTCTGGTGGCTACGTTCTTGCGGAGGGTAACTACTTCTCTAACGTCAACACCGTTCTCGAGGAATCCTCCTTCGAGGGTGCCCTCTTTGCCTCCGACAGCGCCTCTGGCACCTGTGAGTCCTCTATTGGTCGCTCCTGTGTCGGCAACGTCAACGGCGGCACGCTGTCTGGCTCCTCCGCCACCGTTCTGGAGAACTTGAAGGGCGAGACTCTCGCTACTGCCTCGGGTGCTAGCACTGACCCGGCTGGCAGCGCCGGTCAGGGTAATCTGTAGATAATATCGTGCGGTTTGGTTGGAGGTTTCCTCGAGACTTCTTACGAGAAACGGCAACTACCTTTTACTGCTAGGGGAAAGGGATTGGCCCATGGGTGATCGTTCTCGGTCACCGCCTCCGTCGGGGCTTGTCCCTAGACCCATTTGTACTTGTAGTTTTTTAGTTATCTATCCAACCCATCTTGCAGATTGCTTTCCATCCTCAAAGTCTTTACTTTCATCAAATTTTCGGTCGGAGAGACGCTCCTGAGCATCTGATTCCACCCCGAGGGACACTGGTAGAGTCTATTAGACGGATGAGGCCTGCAGGGTGCGGGTCCTTGGTCTATCACCCGCCCACAAGGCTGAAACCTTACTTTTTTTCTGGTCGTTCTTCTTTCTTCCTTTATCAACTCTCCTCTTGTCCTGTATCTTCCACTTCCATCACTCCTGTTTTCTACACCACACTTAACATCGATACCAGCCACTCTGCAACATGAGCGGTATTGCCGAGCGTATGGAAGTCGTGCCTGGTGCCGAGAAGTCCACAGACGAAGCAATGATCGCCACAGAGATATTCCCAAAGGAGCGTCATAAGCTGCTTCGCCAGCTCGGATCGTCGGTCCGGAAGTTCCTCGATAAGAGGATCGACGAACAACAGCTGAAGACCGCAACTGACAAAGTCGAGGGCCAGATGAAACGCTACGACAGTGTCCCAGTCTCAGACTTGACCTTGAAGGAGGTTGAACGGTCTCTTCGGCTCGAATACGATGCCCATGACCTAGAGATGAAGAATGTTCAGCCGCTCGCCCTAACCCCCCCACCTCGGTATGTGATGTCAGACACAGAGTAGAAGGGATATACAGCTAATCCATTATAGTCACCACATTAGCTCTTATTGAACAGGTATTTGGTTTCTCGCGACCCACCGAAGCTAGTACTCGATGGTTTATTGACTCTGTCACCCTCAACGCGTACACGACTGCCACTTCGAATCTCACAAATGCGCAGCCCTTGAATGTTCAATGCAAGAGGACCTATTCTTTCGGCCCGGTCACTCTCAATCATAAGCGGGTTGTTTTCTCAGGAAGAATAGACTACACTGTCTGGTATGGTGAGAGCGAGGCCTTGTGCCTCAACGTCCTCATCGTTGAGGCTGATCCAATCCCCCAACTCCTGGGATATATGGGTATGTATCTTGCTATATGAGTCGTACTTCTTTTAGGAAAGCTAATTGGTATCAAAGGGTGTATCCACCAGGGACGCAAGAATGACCAGAAGCGCAACTGGGGTGTGTACGGGATGGCGTACACTGGATCAGTTTGGCATTTTTTGAAAATTAGTCACGATTCGAAGGTGAGCTAGCTTATATAAGCCAAGAACACAACGCCAGGAACTCAGAATTCTAACATCTACTAGTGGTCACAATTTGCTGTTGTCGGTCGTCGGGCAGCTCTGGAGCAGCCGTTTGGGTTGATGGTGTGGATGCTCCGGAAGGCAGCTGTCATCTCCCCAGCCCATTCAAAGGAGACCTCGGCAGAAACCTACAGTGGGGTGGGGTCCGAAGAGATGGATATTGATCCCATCCCTTGAGATGGGTCTATCATCCTCACCAGGCATCATGAATCACTACTGACAATCACACATTCCCTCTGCCTCCGAAACTCCTATTGCTACGAAGTCCTCAAACCTCTCTGGTCGATTACAATGCGTGACTGGATAGTATCAATGGGGGAACATTGGCCCACGAGGTCACTTGGAAGCACTGCTTGCCAAGAAACTTTTAGTTATGGTTTCCCCTACTCAATTGGTATCTCTCTCATAGCTAGCTCCCTCTCCTCTTAACCAAATATCAATATAATACTGATTGACGAGACAGCTTCTTTCGCCTGAGATTCTTCAGCTATTACGGCTGAAGAAAAACCATCATCAATGTTTATTTTGCTTCATATGCAGAAGAGAAGAACCATAGAGCAGCAAACGGAAAAGGCACACCTCCTAGGACTCTGTTTTTGTCCACAGTGTGCTGACACTTTATGTAGGAGTAATCCGTATTGTGAAATGTATGGGTCCAATCGATGGTATTCAACTCTCTGTGTGTCTGTATCCACTATTCTGGCAATATAGTTAACCAGTTAACTAAGGAAAGAACAGGCAAGGTCAATGCGTAGTGGAAGACAAGGTCCCCCACTACAATATACATACTTTTCTACCGAAGCCCTTAATAGAGATCTGAAATCATGGTTTACTTCTTTCTCCCTTCCCCGTTGATGGGTCTTATCACAGTGAAAACTAATCTTTTGATACCAATAACTAACCAACTATAATTTAGATTAATATACTAACTAGGTGATTAGTAACTACTTCTTCAAAATCTGCCTAACATACCTCGTTGAAAGAAACTTGAAACGAAAAATGAAAAATGAAAAAGATCGTAGCCAGAACACTTCACAATCTCAGTGTGGGCTGACAATTTCAGTGTCAACACCATGAGGAAACTGGCAACCCCATACCGTACAGTTCCTGTGGAAACACCGGTGGCCATTGACACAATTCTCATCATCGCACTGTAGGCCTTTTGGGCAGGCACTAAAACGAGCGATCCACATCAGATCGACTACATCTTGCCCAACGAGTCTCGGCCCATGTTTATAGTTACAAGACCCTCCATATAAACACGATCCTACTATATGAAATTGGTTGCACAATTTCTGCTGTTTGAGAACATCAATTTTGTTTCTTTGTCCCCCCAACTACGAAAGGGCATAGCGCTCAGGGTCAATGGGATCGTGGTAAGGAGGTGGGCTTTATAAGCACGCTCTGTGCATTCTACGAGCGTGATGAGCTCTAGGAAAAAGCACCGATGTTTAAAGCGGCGATACGCTTTAGGTGGGAGGCAGCTTCTGGCCACATTCTCGAGTTATTTAACCTCCCTGTCCTGGTAAGGAGATTTTTATCATGTGGAACAGGTTTTTATAGCTTGAACAGAAGCTAGAGACAATGCTAATGCCCGACTTAAAGACACGTTAGCGGAAATGTATAACTCCCTTTCTGATTACTTTGATATTCGTTACTTAAGAGAGCAGGGGCCACCTTTCTAGCGACCACTACATTATTTAGTCGCGGCCTTGTTAGAAGCTGATAAACCAGAGCATGGGATAAGTGCTATAATTTCAGCCATTGAGGATTTCATGAGCACTATTCGGATGTTTCACCAGTAACGTCTATTTAAGGACTAAGAAATTCGTGGTAGAGGCCGCGAGTGGCGAAAGTTCATCGGTCGACGGGCTCGCAGGTCCCTCTCGCCGCGGAAGAGAACACGCCACTCAACATCCGTCTGTCTCTTGCTAAGTTTGCCCGGGGAATGTTCTTGCTACCCTTGCTACTGAAGGGCTGAGAAGAAGGCCACAGAACTGAATGAGATAGAGGAAGAATATCACATTATTATTATTATTTCCTAAGCTCTTAGAAATTTTTATTTTAGCCCACTGGTATTGGATAACTATCAAGGTCTATGCCAAAACCCCCCAAATAACTATCCAGCGGTGGGAGTGGAACTCAAAGCCCTCTAAACCTATTAGAAAAACATACCTCACCATAACAAAATCGAGATTCGATGATAAAGTCTGCTTTAATCCCGACCAACCCACACCACAGCTCCTCATGCCCTTGTCACCTTCTATTCCGACGGCCAGCGAAGAATCATAGAGAATGTGACATAGTGTTTGAAACACAAGACCTCGTCGAGTTTGCAACCTTGGTGTGGGACATGCAATTCCAGAATGAGCAAGAATGAAGTGCGCTTTTTTCTGTTTACAAGTTGGTTTTCCTTTCTCTGTTGTCTCTCTCAACTTTGGAACCTGCCGCCAGAATTTCTGCTACAGGTTATCTAATGAAAGACATATACTTTTGACAATGAAACATTTATGACGTAAAGGTGAAGTAAAGGTCAAGTAAAGGTGAGAGAAAAGTGAGAGAAAAGTGAGAGAAACTTCGCTAGGCTAATTTTGTCTCGGAATGGATTGATGATTTACAATATATCGTATGAAGAGGTGTAAAACGGGTGGTATTATAGCTTAAAGTCTGTAAGCTATTAGGGTTATCTGGTTAAAGACTGTGCTGTGGGTCTGATAGTCTTATGTCCAGACCAGATTCTTCGAGAAGAGGACTTATCGCACTAGACAAAGTCTCTAACAGGGTGCTTACAAACACGGACCCGCAAGTTCGCTCAATGCTCTGGGATGCACCCCAGGCATTCGAAGTTCCGGCGGCTGGATCGTTTTCCCCGTCAGCAGCTGTCATAGCGGCGTTTCACCCCCCAGAATAACAAGCGGTGCTAAGGAGAGTCTCACGCACACCTTGCTCAAGCATGCCCTTGAGATTGACTATGCTGAGACTGTGAAAGCCATGTTGGCCTGGCCTTTTGCTGGATCTACCCAGTAGTGGGCATCGCGGCGAAGTTTGTCAGGAGTCTCTGACGATGTGACTTCTAGAACTACCGAGGGTCTCTTAGGAGCTCTGCGGGGAGGTCTTCGTGGACCCCACCATGCCTCTTTCCTGGAGGGCTGATATGAGCATATGGTCAAAACCTGCTGCGGCTTGCTCGTGCGCCGATACAGGCATCTTCACGACAAGGAGGTGATTTTTTTGGATTGAAGAATATAATGTCGCGAAAAGGAAGATCTGCTGATAAATCAAGGAAGTCGTGTGCAAAAGTCACAAGGTGAACGATGAAGATAATGTGATCGCTCTGCGTACCTTCCGTCTGTGGCAGTCTAATTGGACTTTCCTGGCGTCCTTCGTAATTCCCCTGTGCAGCGGGGAAAGACCTATAGAGACGACTACGCTCAAGTGAGATAGGCCGGTAAAATTCGTCCATACTGCCGTAGTAATGTATATTAACCGAAGAAGGTAATTTTCGATATCCCGAGGGTCATGTTGGCTAGCGCTGTCATGAAATCAAAGCTTAAAGATAGTGTGGTGTAGAGGATTGTAAGACTTTTTCCGGATGTTCACATTAGAAGTGGCTCAGCAAACCACCTCATTATGGCTGTCACGGCAGCCTAATATGGCATATCGCACCGCCCACTTTACCGCCTTTGTATTCTTAAAGTAAATTGTCGGATAGCTATTATTCTGACCTCGCCAAGAAGAATGTAAGCTGTTCTCTGGTTTGGAAAGTAGATCAGCGGAAAACCTATGTTAGTAAGTTTAGAGGGGTGTTTGCAAGTCCCTATAGTTTGGTGCCGGGCAATTCTCGATCCGAATAATCACAGTTCACTCGTTTCGGATGCATGCTAAGGAGGTAATTTCAATTTGGAAATGACACCTTGAAACCAGGCGATTCTACATTCTCTGCAAAATGGCAGCTTGAGCCATCGAAGTAACGGGGTCCAACATCGTAGGGTCCGCAATATGGATCTATTTCAGCTCTAGATTGATGTAGATTTGTACAATTCAAGTGTTTAAACTTTTGCTAACTCGTAGGGGGCCATATTGCCACCCAATTAGACACTAGTATGTTGGGTTATGAACGAGCCCCTCATAGATCGCATCTAGGCTCCACGAAGATCCTGTAAGATCGAAAATATGTATCCGGTGCTTCTAGTCTTTGATCACACTAATCATATTTCCTCTTTCCGGATATTAAGATGGATCCGGATCCGGATTCGTGGTGGTCTCTACTAGAAGATGTGAACTGGGAGGGTATGATGAACGTGGGCGACACAAAGCTTAAGTAGGTTAGAGGCAAAGGAGAAAAGGACTAGAAAAAAAGAGAATTGATCCTCTCATTCCTTTCTTTAATGCTATGTTCTCTTATTTTTTTTTCCTCTTGTGTTGTGATTTATATAGCGCATATATCCAGCCCTAGGGGGATTTTAGATCAAACCGCCTCTAAGCAGGTGGAAATGGATTATTTCCTATGTACAAGAGTCCTGCTTACTATGTACGTAGGCACCTCAAATGCTGTATGGAGGTCCTCGTATTCCACCCTCATAATAAGCAGGACCAAGCTCTCCGATCCCATTGATGAAATTCTCTTTCCAAGCACCCTCCACCCAGGCCCCATCAAAGTTGTCTTCTACTCCATCATCCTCCACCCGCCACTGCCTCACCACATTCCCACAATCATCCCAGAATACATGCAACAGACCCCCACCATCGAGCGCAACCTCATCTTCCACAAAGGCATGAGTAACAACACAAGAAGCATGATACAGGCCATACTTTAGAAGGGGGTTCACCGCACGGGTCGCCCTCATCTGTGCCAGAATCTCTTTGGACTCCTCAGAATAGTCCTCTTCACCAGATCCCGTGTCATCTTCCACATAACTCAGTACCTCTCTCAAAGTCGACTCTCGCAATTGAATGTGTCCCGTGGAACCCTCATTCGTGACACGCTCAGGGAACACTTCCAACGCAGCTGTCACGTCTAAGCCACGCCCGAAAATCTCTTCATCGTCGAGGACGACCCCCTCGGGACCGACATAGGCTACGTCTTCATTGTAAGACCATAGAGCCTTATGCGCCTCTTCCTTATCTTTTTTGTAGCAGAGACGGATCCAGAGGCCTTCCTCTAGACAGGTGGTATAGCCAGCGTAAGGCCGTAAGGCCTCCGGGCGTACTGGGAAGAGGATCTCGGCTATTTGGGCCTCAGTGGGTGTAGGTGGTGTTTCTGTGCGGGCGTTGTAGGGCTATTGAATCAATTATTGTTAGTTTGGGGCTGTGAAGGAACGCATCATTTCAATTGAAATGGATTGATCAGTGTAGGGCAGTATTTACCTCTCTGCCCTCCAACCCCAATGCGAGGAATTGGCGTACCAGCCGTCGGCGGCGGTCTGATGGAGACTCGGTGGGCTGTGCGGGGTTCGGGGTTTCCCATTCCGAGAGAAGGTAGATATCTAATGAGAGGGCACCCCAAGGGACCGGCTCAGGTGAATTGTTTTCAATTATTCGGAGAGGCATTGTTGTTCTACGTCAGGGTGGGTACTAATAACCCCAACAACAGCATTCTTTCTCTTGGGCAAAAACTTAGTAAAGAGAAGCAGATAGGGGAATGGAGAGTACTACATTGCGATCAGGGTCAGGGCACATGGGCACCCCGGTTTGCTTACTCAGCTTTAGTTCGCCCCCGCTGGATCCAGGGGTGGAGTGGAGCCGGAGCCCCCGTGGGTCTGGTGCGTGTTAGCGCTCGGAGGGACATCATGCCTTAGTGCCTGATTATGTCCCATTTCAGGCCAACCGTCATACGCCTCTGCAGTGCTAGCTCAATGAAACTCAATACGCTAGTTCTACCTGTGACCAATGAATACAAGAGCAGATGGAATCAAGGCATTTCACAGTGAGCGCTATACACCGTCTTACATATAGGCTGTCTCCACTACGGAACGTGACATCGCTTGGACTTGGGCTTACCCTCCTGTTTTCTCTCTCTCCACATATTTTATTTTTGCTAATATCACCGTCATTTTCGTTACTTTTTCTTATTTTTTCAAAAAAAACCCCGTTTCATTTATGACCTATAGCTAGGTAGAGCATCATGTCCAAACCTGGCCGCCTCGCTTCCATTCTACGTCCATTCGGTCTGATCTGGTTCTCTATCTGCTGTAAGACTTTCCCACAGATATTTCACCAACTCTACTAATCATCTCCTTCAGTACACTGGGAAGCCTTGACACAAGCCGTTCGTCGAGATGGTCTCGCAGCACTTGGTCGCCTACAACAGATTCAAGATGCCGCTTCAGCAAAGTTGCTCAGTATAACCTGTAATTCACCCCGCTCCCCATATATCCCTGCCTAGAACTATGTACTGAGTAGACTGACCATCATGAATAGCCAGTGGTTTTATCGCTTACGAAGATACAACTATTGTTCCCTCGCTCGTACAAGCTGCTAGCGGCGTTGTTCTGGAACTAGGCCCCGGACCAGGAAATCAGATCCATCGTTTTGATGTCTCTCGTGTCGACCATATCTATGGCGTTGAGCCCAATCCCCAGTTCAAAGACACCATCGATGCTCTCTTGGACAAACATGGTCTACAGGATAGATATAAGCTCATAGCCTGTGGCATTGAAGATAGCGACGTTTTGAGAGAAGAGGGAATCACAGAGGGCAGCCTGGATACTGTGTTATGTATTCAGGTCCTATGTGCCGTAAAGGATCCGAAGAGCGTCATGAAGGAGGTGTGGAAACTCCTCAAACCAGGAGGCAAGTTTATATTCTGGGAACATGGGTGGAGCAGAAACCGCTTGACGACTGTAGCGCAAGGTATGCTTGTCTCGAGTGGAATAACCGATCCGATATGCAAGCCTGCTAACATGAGAAAACTCTAGCTTGTTGGAATCCTGCCTGGAGCACATTCGTTGGTTGTGATTTAACTCGGAATGTGTTGGCGGACATTCTCAACAGTGGGGAATGGGAAAATCCACATGAGATTGAAGAACCTAATGAGCCGTTCAGTTTACTGCCTAGAATTCAGGGTGTGCTTGTCAAGAAGACAGCATAATTGGACCTCGATGATGGCAAATCCACCCATTCTTGACGCTATGTCGAGTTGGACAATCAACATCAAAACAGCATGACGAATACATATGGTATATAGAAGAAGGCAATATTGGAATAGTATGATTCAAACAGACCCACGGCATCTGACTAGGTTGATCAATTAAGATCCTCCAGCATCTTCGAACAGGGGATCCTCTCTCTGTTATGGATGCGAATGCCCTCATATAATCGCGTGATATTGCAGAGGTAGAGAAGAGAAGCGGAGGTGGGTCCGGGATGCCAAGAAACAGCATGATGAAATGTTGCGCAATAACGAGATTACGGCCGCGGAAAAGTAGAGAAGTGAGACAGAGCTTAGATGGGAGACTAGGGTAGACGGACAGCCACCGTATTGCGAAGACAGGAAGCTGAGGGTGCTGTAAATAGCTTCATTGTGGACAGGAGTAGAATTTATGAGCATTGGACTTGGGAAGACTCAAACCAAAAAGCCCCAAGCGCCCTGTTTTCCTTAGGACAGTTGACCGTGCCATGGGTTATTCCTCTACAACGCCGGTGCGAATACGGCATATGTTGCTCATGGCTTGGGGTGGCTATTGCATAAGCGGCCTGGAACAGTCGACAGAGGTGGAAGACAAAGTCCGACGATCCAAAAACGAAATAATCTCGCTCTTAGGTTAACGAAGTGATCAATCAACTTTTAAATCCCAGAGACCGTATGCTTTGCACGTACGCAAAGGGGCATCCTTACTGATAACAATCGGAGTATCGGACATAAATGACGGGTTGTTTGGGTTTATGACAAAGGTCGAGGTATCGCGCGGATGAGCAAGAGAGGGTTGAAGGGCAAAAAAAGACGATGAGTCTTTTGCAGAGAATGATCGGCACACGAAATGACAGACCAGAGACCGGATTATAAATATCCGATTGAGTTTCCAGTAATGTCTTATTAATAAGCAGCATAATTACTTATCTGGAACCTCAAAGTTTATTTTCCACGTGAACGGTTAGCGACGGCTACGACGGTGTATAGCGCTCGAGGCCAAAATAAGGCATTCAGGCATTTAATTCAGGCATTCGGCATTGATCGCTAGTTATACACCGTCGTACCACGCCCTATGCGCGCTACGCAACCCACTTTGTACCGAATGTTCCAGTCCTCGATTTCCTTGTCAGGATTATGGTTCACGCGCGCTTAGTTCCGGAATTCAGGAATAGTTGTGGTTTTCCTGTTGGTAATCATCGAGTATGACTCATTACAAAGACAACTAAACAGAATTCCTATTTAACTAACATCACAGATGCCACCGAATCTTTCAGATCCAAGTCTCTTTCAACCATCACCCACAATGGCCACTGATCTCAACTTTGTCACCCTCGATGTCTTCACCACTACGCCGTTCAAGGGCAACCCCCTCGGCATTGTCCACCTGCCTCCGGGACACCGGCTCTCTCAGACTCAGAAACAGACCATTGCCAGAGAATTCAACCTCTCCGAGACAGTCTTCATACACGATGTCGACTCTAACAACAACCCCGACCCGCACAGCCGCCACATCGACATTTTCATGACGTCGAGGGAGCTCCCATTTGCGGGCCATCCCACAATCGGCACGGCAAACTACCTTCAGGCCCAGGGCATCAGCAAACTCATTACCAAGGCCGGCCCGATTCCTATCCACTTCAGCTCGGAAAAAGGGATCGTTAGTGCCGCTATTCCGCACGACACTCATCTCAACTCGAGGGTCCTTGGCGACATTGAATTGACCCTCCGTGCGGGCTGCCTGCACTCCACCCCTGAAATCCGCTCGGCAGAACTCAAAGCCCCACTCTTCAGTATCGTCAATGGCATGACATTTGCCCTTATCCACCTCCCATGTCTGGACCTCTTGTCCCAGGTCTCCCCGGGCGCATTCCCCTGCGCGCCACGGGATGTTATCGACGCAGGGTGGAGCGAGACATTCCTCGCACGGTACTACTACGTTCTTACAGGGACGAGTGTGTCCAGCTCTGGTGTGAGGACGGTTAAGTTAAGGACGAGAATGATGGAAGACGAGATGGAAGATCCGGCTACAGGGTCAGCGGCGTGTGCATTGACGAGTTATCTTGCCCTTATGGAGTACAGCGAGACAGAGGTTTGGTTTGAAATCACACAGGGCGTTGAGATGGGGCGGCAAAGTGACATTGCGGTTGAGGTTAGGATCGACGTTGGAGAGGATGGGGAGAGGAAGGTGAAGGAGGTACAGCTGGGTGGAAAGGCAAGACAAATTATGAAGGGCACTGTTGTCGTACCCCCCGTTTAGAGGGGTGAATTAAATTCGAAGTCTTGATCCTTGGCCTATAGTTGCTGTGCACACTCCTAACATCGCATCAGTAGATGTATGTGCATTGTGTGAACCTCGTAAGATAAGCGCAGCGATCCTTGGTCCTCTCCGGATTCATGTCAATGAAGAGGGGAATACCAAGTGAAATAGATCTTTAATTTGGATACAGCAATATTCCATGAAAGGTTATCAGAAGGATCTTCGAGAATATAGTGAGTAATTCATCTCAACTTGCCTCTATATCCCTACTTTCCTTCAGTCTCTGTGCGCATAGCCCGTGAACTCATGTACCAGCCCTGTTCGATGCTGAGAATCATATGAGATCTGAAAAATACAAATCAGACGATATTAAGTACATCCAGATTGACTTTTTAGACTCTGTTGTGTCCTACATATCAATAAACTTCCCTCCCCAAAACCCGTTCCTTTCTGAGAAATATGGGATGCGTCAGGGCCCGTGGGGTATTGCATGGATTGGAAGGCCGGAGGCAAAAGACAAGGTCATATTTCTAAGTAGTATTTCAGATGGGTGTATTCCTACATCTGCCAGTCACTTCTTTCGGGTGTTTCTGAGGGATCTCAAGAACCAATGGGTCATTGTTTGCTCGATTGCCAGCGTCAGAATTGAGGAAATAGTGAGTTACTACCATCCAGAGGGCACAACGAAAATTTCTGACTGTCTTGGGATAAACCAGCAAAAAGAACAATTGGAGAAAAGGGGCCGAAAGTCTACATTGATTGATCAACTTGCCGACAATGCATCGATTTGAATTAATGTCCGGAATTGCTTGCGGTCACATATCAATAGACTAAGCCACCAGATCAAACCAATCGATTTTTCACAGAAGATGCCCGAACAGAGCTCACTTCTCTTATTGATGAAATTGGGAATGAAGCAACCGGAAGACTAGATGATATGGAACGTGCAGTTCGTGAATTGCTGCAGATGGTACGTATCCTCACGAAACACGATATTTTTGATTTTTCACACTTAGATTATAGGAACTTACTTGGGTTTTAAAGAATGAGGCAGCGAGTATCAAACGTCTTACTTGGTAGGCTTAGCTTAAGGGAAGTTGCCTATTCGTCCGTTACCCAATGAAAGCACCCTTCTTATCGGTTTCGGGAACAACGGTGAATATGCCGGGGCTCGTGTCAGAGACCTCAGAAGGAAATATTCCTTCTACTCACTCCACTATTGTTTTGTCGGACGATTCACCAAAGCACTGTCCTTCATTGACAATCAGCCGACTTTCAAGCACTGCGTCCCCATCGGATCATTCTAACAATACTGTTCACCTGCGCGAGGGGGAACTGGTCAATGATTTTGTCAAACCCAACAGTCCTTTTCATATTATTAGCACAGAGTCTCTTGAAGTACACCTCGGCCTTGAGGATGATGTAGCTGCCTTGAAAAAGAAAGAATCACTGGGGTATGGTATTAAAAGGTTTGCATCCAATCACAATAATGGCTTGAGTGAGACATGTCCTGTTATTGATATGCGGCAGCTTGAGGGTGGAGTTTTATTTCCGTTGTCTGAAGACAATGCATTTTGTCTTGTCGCTGGGGATGTGGTGTTGAAGATCAGTATTCATGGATATTCTGTGGATGAATAAAACGCAGCTCGTGAACAAGCAAGATTAGGTCTATCTATAGTGGGAATGAGGGATCATTCATCATGACGTGAGTTACTTTCAACGATTATTCATGCTGCCATAGAATAGCTGCCATAGAATAGCTACCATAGAATAGCTACCATAGAATAGCTACCATAGATCACTACGACCGCACGTAGGTCAATCAATCATTTTCATCGCCATCCCTCAAATTCTGCAAAGACCTCTGCCACCGATGACCTTGAAAAAGATTCCGGTGACGCTTTCGGTTGGCCTCTTCTTCGGCATACTGAAGAGGTGTTTTGCCCTTGAAATCCTTGCTGTGGAGGTTGAGATAGGCCCTTTTTCTAAGGAATCGTGTAAGAAATTTGTTGAATGCGCCGTGGATCGCGCCATGATGTTCAATACCCATGCCATAAGCATCCTTCGTCGTTATGTCCACATAATCCATCAGATCCTCAAGTATATGAACGTTGTCATCGCTCCACTGTCGCATCAAGAGATGTAGAAGATTTCGTTGCTTCTGGTCCGTCCAGCGTATGCCTTCCGTTCTTGAACGCTCACGAAGAAGTTTGAAGACGTCATACTTGATTTGCAAATGGAAAGACCTTAGATATTGACTGAGTGCTGAGTTACCCTCTGTATCAAGTTTATCCACGTCACAGCCAAGCTTCATGAGAAGACTGATCATCTCAGTAGAGCACATTAATGATTCAGCGTGGTAATGTAGCATGCTCTTCCCTAGATCATCATATTGGACGCAGATTCTTGAGAGTTGCTCGTGGCAGTTTTCGTACATGAGTCGTATGACGTCTGAATGATTGTGGCAAACAGCATAGTGGACCGGACTCAAGTTATACACATCGAGTAATGTAATGTCACCTCCTTTTTCCACAAGTATGCGAACAGCATCCAGATTTCCTGCCTTGCTGGCTAGGTGAAGGCAAGATTGACGCTTCGAATTCAACCTAGACACATGCGCACCATGGTCGAGAAGGGCCGATAGGACGGTGAAGGCAAGGTGTGCACTTCCAGTTTCGAATGGGATCACATGCAGTGGAAATTCCCCGTTATTATTTGCAATGTTGACATCAATATCTGGGCTTTTCAAAAGCTGCTGGACCGTACTTTCCCTCGCTTGATCAATCACTTCCCATACTTCGTTCGCTTCTTCTTCTTCTTCATAATCGGTGATAATGTCGGATAACGTCTCCACCGCATACTCTCCAGTCACCCAGGGGTCATCATACTTGTGTCCTCCTATCTGGCATCGAATTGCCAAATGTAAAGGCGTGTCACCATCTTCGTCTATAGCATTGGGATCAGCGCCGTGGTTAAGTAGAAACATGGTCATTCCCACTATCCCGTTCAGAGCTGTAAAGTGAAGTGCAGTCAATCCGACAGAAGATTCTCCTCTAATCGATCTCTCGAAACTTTCATCAAGCCCATAAGTCTCGAGAACATTTTCCATCCGTCTGGTCCAACATCGCCTATGCAGTCCAAAGTTCACCTCGAATCCGGTGTCAAGGAAGAGTAGAGCAAGATCCTCAGACCGACTTACTAAAGCATACAAAAAGGGTGTCATGTTCTTAACATCACAGAGGCCTGTAGACGTTCCCTGGGAAATAAAATAACCCAGCAGTGCAAATCTATCTTTATGCCTAGGGCCCCGAGAGATAAGGTGCAGTGGATTTTTATGCATATTGTTGAAAACATTCACTTGTGCTCCTGCTTGAACAAGTGAATGAATCACCCCGGCGTGCAAATTCTCCACTGCACACAGTAGTGGCGATCGCCCATGACGGTCTTTTGCTTCAATCATTTCAGAATTTTGGAGGAGCCGTTGGACAAGTGCCTCGTTACCAATTTCTGCAGCAAAATGAATAGCGCACTTGGACTCTTTATCACACAAATCAGTTGATGCCCCTTGTTGTAACAGCAAGTCCACAGAGCGAGTATGCTGTTTCACAATTGCCCAGTAAAGGGGAGTTCTTCCGATATCGTCCTGTAAATCTATCGTGTTTACTGCTTCTCTCCAATCTTCACAGGGTGTAACTTGATCTTCGATAGCTTCAAATGCAGGGTTGAGTTCTGTCTTGCTCTTGAACGGCAGCGATAGGCTCAGGGCAGAGGCGTGGCCTAGGATGGAGGAGATAAGTTTGGCCGTTTTCCATATTAGTATCTTGCGGATAATTGAAAATGCTTTCAGAAAGTTCGTACGTCTTTCAAGAAGTAGCTTGATGATGTTTTCGTGTCCATTGGCTGCAGCCCTGGAAAGCGGAGTTCGACCGAAGTTGTCTCTTGACCTAAGGTAGGCGCCGTTCTCAAGGAGCAGCTCCACGATGGCCAGGTGTCCGTTCTCTGCTGCCCAAGATAGCGGCGTCCGACCATCACTATCCCTGATATCCCAGCAACCCTGACTTTCGAGAACTTGAGTTGCTGCCTCTTTGATTCCAAAGTAAGCGGCAAGGTGTAGGGCTGTCATCTGCCTTATGCCTTGACTATAGCCCGGGTACCACTTTGGTTTAGAGACTGTCAGAGCCTGACTCAAGGCGCAGACTTTTGCGTTGCTTTTCAGAAGACTTTGGGTGATGCTTGCTGTTTCAATCCCAGCTGCACGGGCATGGTGCCCCCAATTCCGCGCTGCATAGTCGTAGAGAGGATTTTGCTGAATTCGAATCTCAAAATCCTCATCATTCACGCAAAACCCAGTTTCAAAGAGGTCGAATGAGAGATATGTGACACAGACAATCGTCAAGCGGGACTCCGCGGAGGGGAACCAATAGTTCTGGTTCCTCTCAAAATATTCCTGCGCGGTGTGGTGGACTAAACGCATGATCTTGCTTTCTTCGTCAACCACGACTAACCCAGCGCATACAGAGACCATGGTTTTAACTTGCGGGATATTGTCTTTGTCCATACACAGTGTCCCTGGTTCCACTGCAAGCGCCTCCTGAAGCTCCCAAGAACTAAGTTGCCTCTTAGAGCAAGTGATCCACATCAAGACATCCATTGCAAGTTTTGATGCATCAGGATTCTGGCCTTCGATTCGGCATTGAGCATCCTTATACGCTTTTTCATATGCTTCAGGTCCCTTTGAAATTCTTGACAATGTCTCCTTGATCTGCTTCAGTGTTATCTTTGTTTTTATAGAATCAAAGAGAAGATGTGCAAGCAAGAACCTAGGCAGGTGGTTAGTTTCCCTAGTCTCATTGAATCATTATAATGGGAGATGACTTACATTCCATCTGCAAGTTCTGTGATTCTTCTCTTGATTTCTTCCTTATGTGTGTTCAAGAGCTCTGATCCAGCCTGTGAAATGCGCCCTTCTAAATATTTTTCCACGTCACTTTCATGCGCACGAATTTCCAACTTATCGCCGCTGAACCTCTCCATAATTTCTGGTACTGGCCTAGAAGTGGCTAAAATATTCACAGAACAAACTTTTTGTAGGTCAAAAATTCGGGATAAGAAGACGTTTCGGCTGTCATCCGAAGTCTTGCATTCGTCAAGCGCGTCAATGACCACGAATACTTTCGCATATAATGAGGCCACGAATTGTAAACTTCTGAACAGTTCATTCAATGATGGTCGTGTCCGTCTATCTTTATGTTGTTCGTAGAGCATTTTTACACTTGTCGGTAGTGGAGACCGGCAGTGCGATAGTTGTTTGAGAATACTCGCTAATAAATTTTCAGCCTTCTGATCATCCTTCCGCCGGAAGTCGCAGTAAATATATGCCAGGCCAAGAGTATGATTGTTCAAGCATTGCGTGGCGAGGTCGTCAATAACTACTGCAGTTAGGATCGTCTTCCCAGCTCCGGGAATGCCTGAGCATAACAGCGTTTTCTCGTTCGTTTCTCGCCAATCTTTGTACTCAGCGGACTCGATGAGCCATTTGCTAGTTCCTGGTTGCCTCAATCTAAGAAGATCACTCTGTTGGGGGCCGTAATCAAAGTGGGTTAACCAGTCGAGTGCTTCAAGCTCTTTGTTTCTGTTGAATTTTGAACTTATTATTCCAACGTTAACTTCGACCCTGGAGATAGTTGCATGGACTATATACTCTGTCAGTATGGATATTATTCATTGAGATTAGAGTTAGTAGATAGACTTACTGCCAAGAAGAACTTCATTAATCCTCTTCTCGTTTTCAACCCTGTTAGGAGTGAGTCGATAAAGAAGATCTCGCGCATATGCAGCTGCTACCATAGCTGCATAACCTTGCCAATCCTTATTCTTGTGGGAGTCAGCGTAGTCGCAAATACCGCGAATGACAAGGCAAGGGAAATGGTTCATCAGCCCCGCTGCTTCCATCTCGAAACACAGAACACCACTTTCCGCCGTAAGCCGATCCCGAACCAAAGCATCCTTCATTAACTGATTTGCTGAAGCAATCAAGCCATAGTGAATTGCCGGGTTATCTTCATCCGCTGTACGTTTGTGTCGCATTATCAGGCGAGATAGGTCATCTCCGCAGGCTACTGCACAGCCAGTTTCGTTGTCCAGAGGGTGGATAAAGTCGCTTCGGTAGAGCCTGTCGCTTCCCGATTCCGGCCGCTTATACTTCTTTCGTAGCCGTGGATTTCTCTCCAAAACCCTATTGACAGCCTTTTCTAGCTGATGACTTTCGCACTCATACTGGCTTTTGAGTCCGCTGACAGCCGCCCGGAGGGCACTTGGTGGCTGGTTTAGGACTCCTGTGGCTTGGAAAGGTTGGCCTTGTATGGTTTTGCCAAAATCGTACTGGAATATGCCACTGTTCCCATTGCGAGGTGTACTGACCACTATATCTCCTAGACGAATGTCGTGTTTTGAACTTGGTACACCGCCGCCGATGCCTATCAACAGGCCAATCCTAATATTAGGAAAGCTATGCAACATGTCTCTCGCTACATTTGCTGCGGAAGATATGCCGTATTCCCCATCGGGTAAGACGGCAATGACGACCTGATGCTTTCCAATCCTGCCACATGCGTAGTCGTTATTGTCTGCAGATGATAGAAAGTCTGGCGCCTGGTGCTTCTCATCAAGAAAAGCTTGCGCCGCAGTATACTCTGTACTTATCGCGCAAATCCAACCGATGGTATATTCCTTAGGGTCGGACATGATGACTCGTGGAGAACACTAGAGAAGAAAAAGATCCGAGGCAATTGAGAACTCGGGTGTTCGAAAATATGGGACGTTTTCTGTACAGCAGAGATCTAAGTCGCGGAGACAACACGCGTAATAATGAACCACAGTCAGAAAGAGCAATTTTGGGAGAAGGAAGAGAAATCTGAAGCTGGAAGGTAGTCAGCAGGAAATCTCAGCCTCATGAACCGAGCGGCAAAAGGAAAAATACTATTGGCTGGAGCAGTCTCATCCTCGCGCCCGATGGAGAAAAACACTGGGATCTACTATAATACTGCCAAGAACACGGGTCAGGGGTTGGCTAACTATAAAAGGGATAGCGAAATGCAAAACAGATTTCAAGAAAGAATTAAAGAGAGTATAAAGATGAACTGATTTCGAGCGTGTCTGTACGTTATTCGGGACGGCGATAACTCTCACCTCCCCGTGGTGACGGCTGGGAACCTGTGAATGCCTTGTCTGGAATGTATTTGCAGAGCTAAGAAGAGTCACTAGCGGCTAGCACTGTCCGCTGGCTAGGGCTACGACTGGAGCGAGAGCTCAGGGGTCAGGGGCCCTGACCCCACGCACAGGCGAGAAGGGAACACTTTGAAAACCACCCGACACACGGCTGCGAAACCGATCCTACAATCAGTGGACACTGGGGTCGTGGGATATAACACCCTTGGGGTGCTCTGGGGCTGCTCTGATGAAAGGAGGACTCGTTGGATCGACTCGTTGGATCGACTCGTTGGATCTGAGGATACAGAAACGACAGAATCAAAAACAAAAATGCGAACGATACGGCACGACCCAGCATGCTTGAATCTACACAGAGAACGACGAGGTACTTTGGTTAGTAGGAGGGACAATAGTGTCTTGCTTGGTTGTTCTGGGTACAGAGAGGATACAACTGGACGAACTCCTACGAGACACGGTCAGCCAATTTGGCAGGGCGAAATTTGATCCCAACAAACCCTGCCTGTCTGCCAATCGTCCCCATACTCAAAGCATGAAGTATGAATTGCGGTAAACTTACTCATCCACACGATCTAATATTCGTACCAGAGGAATACGACTATTCCTAGAGAACTGCATGCCTGCGCATCGTCGACGCCTAATTTCATTACCGCTTAATTACTTAAGCTCTGCTCGCTAGTCGTCCTAAGGCTCGAGGTAGTAGACGAAACACGCAAGACTAGACCTAGTAAGGAGACACACGCCCCCTCTATCTCTAGTCCGCATGGCCAACTCCTTTTCCTTCTATCTTCTCCTCTATGTTAATCGGTCGTGAAACCGAGGAGGATTTCGGTCATAAGGCGCCTTGATGATATAAGTCGGGACGGTATGGATCTCTATAATTAACTGCACGATAGACTAGTTTAAATCGAGGGAATGGATGTCCACACGCTGACTAACGGCGTCACCTACGGCTTTATAGATCTGAAGACCGTCTAAGAGTCTCAAAATGACCGCTGTGCAGTATTGCGGTCATTATATAAGAAAAATCCCTATCTCTGTGTTATTCGCATAAAACTGCGCTTATTGAGTAAGTACCGGCTGATGCGAATCGCAGCCGAGTCAGTCTGATTAATCAATTAAGCCGAGTAATCCGATCCCAGTCATCTTTATTTCCTAAACGAGGCTAGCGCTCTTAGCTAAGGTTAACAAGACTCTGGTGCTGTAAGTCTGCCCCGAGCCCTATGTACAGCCCCGCTGCACATGGATGACTGTCCTGAAAGAGTAGGGAGAATGCGCCTACATGCGCAAAGGCAACGATGGAGCGACAGATTAAGTGCTGTAGATAGATGGAAAAGGTGTCATCTCGAACGCAATAGTCGGAGCTGAGGGAATGAACAGGGCCGGACAAGGGATGCCAGCGCAGATTATAATTGCGGGATCGCAGAAGAGTCGACGAGTCACACAGGAAAGTGGGTGGCGGAGCTTAGGAGCTCGGTGATCCGGGTCAATGGTAAAAAGGCTCACCTGCAGGGCACGGACAAAGACGTGGAAAAAGGAAAATCGGGCGGGCGAAACGAACCGAGAAGTCGAGGGGCGATGGGAGGGAGGAATTATATAGAACCACGCACGGGGACGCATAAGGACAAAGAGCGCTAGACGACGAGTGCACAAATTAAACTAAAAGGCTTAAGTCATCGTACCCATCCGATATGGTGTAGTGGCTAACATCGCCGTCTCTCACACGGCAGCCGGGGGTTCGATTCCCCCTATCGGAGTTTCTTTTTTGATTTTGATTTTTTTTCTCTTTTAATATTGTGTAAGTGATAAATAACCTAACTAGAAGCTTTTTTGGTATTAGTTCTTGCCAAGTTCGGCCATATAGTGACCAAGCTTTGTTCATAGGATTCCCCCCTCCCGCTGAAAGAAGTTTCATCTTGAGACTGTGTCGAACCTGTTAGTTACACCTAGTTGTTATCCTCGAAAATGCCAATAACTGGTATGGGTGAAAGGAATATATAATTGGTGGAAGAGTGGGAGGTGTTTTTCGTAGCCATGTCTTTTTTCTCAGGACGGTGAATGGTATGCGCGTTTGGTTTAACTTTTCTTGTCTCTAACGCGAGTCGCTTGGGAATTAGATCACTTTTAGAGGAATTATATCGTGCAGGTAGTATTATATATAATGCAGATGAAATCAAATCTATGATGAGGTACCCACTTGTTCTATGGTCTCCATCATCATGTGGTTGTCATGGATAAAGACTATAAATATATAATTCATCACCCATGTGACCAATGATGCACCCTGGGGACAAGAAAATATAGGTTATATTGATTGGTTGCGTCGCGGTTCACACGCATCGGCCAATCGGAATACAAGAACTATAAAGGAGCCCCACCAAAGCCGCCTCATCATGTGTAGAACCACGTGACAGGACGGCGACTTTCACTTCTCGAGATTTTTCTCTATCATCCTCTTGACAAGTCTAAACAAGTGTAAAAATGCGCCGGTCGATCCGACCGACGAGTCACAGCTCGAGTGATAACAATGAGTTTGAGGCTGTTCTTGACAACCCTGCCGATGGCGACGTCAGCTTGGCCTTCCCCGAAGGCGGCCGAGAGGCATGGGTTTGTTTGCTCGGATCATGTCTCATGATGTTTCCCTCATTTGGCTTTCAAACTGCAGGTGAGGATCAATTGTACTCCTTTCAAACATTGTCGCCGAGGACACGATGACTGACGCCATTAATAGTCGGATCCGTTCAGGATTATATCAGCACTCACCAGCTAGCCGAGTATGGAGATCGAGATGTCGGCTGGATCACTGCAGTACTAGTATTTTTGACCTTGTTTCTTGGTGTTCAAGTTGGGCCGCTCTTTGATCGATATGGGCCTAGGGTCTTGTTGATTAGTGGAACGCTTGGGAGTTTCGCTTCGTACATACTCCTCGCCGAATGTACCAAGTATTGGCACTTTATGCTTTGCCTTGCTGTTCTGGGTGGAATGTCCGCGGCAATTGTTACAACCGTGTCTATCGCGGTTCTCAGTCACTGGTTTAAACGAAGACGTGCCCTTGCCTCTGGAATTTGTATGGGAGGATCATCAGCAGGTGGTGCCATTATCCCCTTGATGTTACGAACCTTATTTGACAAATGCGGGTGGACATGGGCCGTACGAATAGTCGCCTTTATGGCCTTGGGATGCTACGCACTGGGAGTTCTACTCGTTAGAGGACGTCTGCCTACTGGCACCAAGAGCAGAGTAACGATCGACCTTGCAGCTTTCAAGTCACCCCGTCTATGCTTCCTGACTGTGGCTGTCTTTTGCTTTGAGTTTATCATATTTGGATGTGCTGCCCTTCTTCCATCTTATGTCCGTTACAGCGGGTTCTCCGTCGATTTGCAGTTCTATTCCCTTACTGTCTTGAACAGCATGAGCCTTCTAGGAAGGGTTCTTCCTGGCTTTGCTGCTGACATGTTTGGTCGTTTCAATATTCTGTTATCCCTGGTTGTTATAACAATCGTTATCATGGCAGCTGTTTGGCTACCGTATGGATCTCAAGATGAAGGCACCCTTTACGCAGTTGTGGCGATTTTTGGATTCGGCTCTGGTGGGTGGCTCTCACTTGCTCCCGTTTGTGCAGGCCAGCTTTGCGAGACGAAAGATTATGGTCGATTTTACGGCACCGTTTACTGTGTGGCTTCATTTGGAGTGTTACTCACGGTCCCGATTGGTGGACAGTTGCTCCAGTCAACCACACCACAAGTCCTCATTGGCTTCTATTCAGCCATTTTGCTCGTCGGACTCATCAGCGTTATCCTGTCTCGATGGGCTTTGCTGAACTGGAGTTGGAAGTGGAAGGTCAAGGTATAGACTATAGATTTTTGAGTTGTGTATTAGATTTGGAGATTTAAACAAGGGCAGGAGATTGGCAATGCTGCTTTATATTCGGTTATATATACTAAGATACTCGCTCCCAGCATCTTCAACGTATGACTATTTCCAAAATTATGACCTCTATACAAATATATCAGCCAGAAATAGAAGCTCTAGAGATGGTTCTCTCGAGCCCGACTCACATTGCGACTCTTAATCCCAGTAGCATATCCCGTCTGCCTCCTCTCATACCACATCTGTTCCCAAGAAATCTTTAGGCATATCTTTCTTCCATTTCCACAGGTCCTGTAATTCCGATTCTAGACCCCCTTCCATGGCATCGGCAATCTTATCGCCAATAATAGGGAACACTTTTAATACATGACCACTTTCTCCTGTAGCCAGAAATAGCCCGTCAGCGGGGGGTTAGTGATCAACGAGAAAGTCTCCCGTCGGCCTATATTAAGATCAGAATTGAGACTTGGGTTAAGGCTTCATGTTTTGAACTTACGTGCCACAGTACTAACACACCCGTGTCTTAGAGAATCTTCTGTTGCTCCACTCCGGGAACAACTCAAGTAAAAAGTCCATGCATGCCTTTTCCGCTTCAAGAGGATTAGGCAAATCAGTTCGTGGCACACTGGCGACTTTCTCGACAGTTCGGCCCCCCTTCCAGTTTATTGGGATGTTGATTTGTACTTTATCGGATTTGGTACCCAACTCCGTGGCGACCGAATTTCAATTCGTTGTTGTGAGGAGGTACCATGAAAATTCTGCGGCTGACATTAAAATAGATAGGCAAGGAATCGAGTCTCGTTTGTTCTTCTTCCATAAAGGATAGATATACAAGGACATGACCAGTAGCAGCAGCTCTACTTTCGAGGTCAACGAAAGAGGGCCTCCAGGCACCGGCGGCAAGAATGACCAGGTCCGCATAGATACAGGAGCCATCATCCAACTGGACGCCCGTACAACGTACTGGTCCGGTACCCGATCTGGCAGATTCAGTGTAGAGAGCCTTTCGCACCCTGCAGTCTGGTTTGATCTTATCACAATCTCTATTCTGACTGCGTATTTGACGCACGCCTCAGCATTTACCCAGCCACATCTTTCATTCATATACCCAATGTCTCCACTCACCCCGGTGGAGACAATCGATTCTCGGATTGCCTGTCGATCAGGCAATTCTTTCAGGCTCTCCACATCGAACGAATAATTACTCGACTTTGCCAGGCCCTTGACATTTTCCAAGCTTTCTTCCAGATAGATATCCACATGACCATCTGTGCCTGGCTGCGCTCTCAAAATGAGCTTTGATTCGTGATATCTTCCTTCGCTGCCCCATTAACCAGTGGATAAATCTGTCTAAAGCTTTTAAGCATCAGAGACGAGTTTGGCGGAAGGCCTCAGTGCATAATCGACTCCCAAAATGCGGCTTGTGTCGACCGAAGCACCAGAAGGATTGGCACTTCTGGAGCTGCATCCAAGATACTGATCTTGGAGTTTGAATACCTTGGGCGTCGCGCGAGGGCGCCTGCTGCGCTGAGACCCATCATGCCGGCTCCCACAATGAAAAAGCGACATCGTCCTATATATGTGATTATATAGACTTATATCCTAATCCTTGATGGTTCTCTATCGAATTCGAATTCGATAAAGCGATATAAACTTCTCTCTTTCCTGATTGGCCGAGTCGGTATATTCAAGGCTTGGCCAATCAGAAGCTATTTCGGATAAGCATAACAGATAAATGGGGCCATGTCAACCAATCAAACACGGGTATTCCAGACCGCACGCCCTACGCATGACTAGCCGATGTGCTCCGCCCCCAAGCTCAACGGGAAATTTATTTTTCACCTATATGCCGTCAGTGGCACTAGGTCTCAATGTCATCTGAGAATGAAGACAGGCAAAACAATAAACCGGCGGAAAGCTCGGACTGGCTGTTTCACCTGCAAGTGAGTCTCCAGGAGCCATTACATCACGTGCATGCTAACGTTTCTCCAGGTCTCGGTATGATCCTAAAACGGCCGTGAACTTGTTCTGATGACTAACTATTGGCATAAGGCATGTAAAATGTGATGAGCAGAAGCCAGCCTGCTTGCAGTGTGTAAGCACCAAGCGAATCTGCGAGGGATATCCCGTTGTACCTCAATCCCTCTCATCAGAAAACGCACTTAGCGACGCAGAACGTCGTGCATTTGCATTCTTTCGATCGCGCACTGTCCAGAGAGTCTTTGGTCAGCAGGATGCAGGTGATTGGGTTTCTGTCCTTCTTTATCTTGGACATAATGAGGTATCAGTGAAACATGCCATTACAGCGCTGGCCTCCTTGCATGAGAGTCTTGAACCCAACGATACATCAACATGGATTCGAAAGTCTCCAAAACAGGCTAGTATGACGGCAGAAGTATTGGCCTTGAAACATTATACTGAAGCCATTAAATCCTTGAGGTTTGAATCTCTGAATATGTCATCACGGCCCGATCTTACCATGCTCTTGTGTATCCTCTTTATCTGCTTCGAGCAGTTTCGAAGTGGCGATGCTGCGTGTATTGTCCACTTGACTGCTGGACTCAAGCTGCTCTATTGGTGGAGATCAAATACGAACAACTACACCAAACTAAAAGAATATTCTCGGCCAACATTGGCATTGATGAATGAGAAAATAACGCCTGTCTTGCAACGCCTGCGTGTTCAATTTTCCCTTTGTATGGACTCCCGCCACGCTCTCAGCAATACAGGGATCAAAGCATGTCTGCCCGCTCCGACTATCCCAGCATCATATGCGTCATTGGATCTTGCTCGAACAGACTTCGACCGTGGCATGAATTATGTGTTCTCTATACTTGAAAAGGAACAGATCACGAATTGTTCACAGCCCAACATGAGTCCAATAATCATTCTCCAGCGTTGGAAAGATGCACTGGATGCGTCCGACTTTGCAACAGAACCTCCTCAGCTTCGGGGCTGCACACGCAAGCTGCTTGAACTTTACTACTATACCTCACTCATCATCACTGGGACATATGATACAGCAGAGGAAGTTATATTTGACGACTATCTCGAAGCATTTCAATCAATCGTCAACCTCACCGAAGAAATCCTGGAGAGATGGAAAGTGGCCTCGCAACAATTCAGTTTGTTATTCAGCTTTGATCTCGGGATCACACCGCCAATGTTCCTTGTTGCGTCTCGCTGCCGTGATTCTCAAACTAGATGGAAAGCTGTCAGCTTGATGTTCCAACCGACTTTTTACCACGGTGTTTGGCGGGATCAGTATTCTGGGCTTTGTGCTCAGCGCATCGTGGAGCTTGAAGAAGAGGGGCTTGAGCGAATTGGAGATTCTGTATACGTCCCAGAGCACCGACGTATTAGGAAGATATCTGCCGATATTCAGGAGGAAAATGGCCAAATCGTTATGAATTTTGTCAGATGGCCTTACATGCTGGAGTCAGAGATATTGTCTACTTTCATTCCACTGAGGACAGGGACTGTCTGTTAATGTGATTGAGATGATGAATCATGAAATGTATAATTTAAATACCAAATTTAATTATTCAATATCTAAAGCGTTTATTCAATAGATACATATGTGTATAAGGTTTGACTGATGTGGGATATATAATATATATAAGCAACTGGACAAATACAAACCAAAATAGCACGACATGGAATCATTCCTTCTGCAGAGCCCACTCCGCAATCCCCTTGGCATGAAGAGTTGTTGTTTCAAAGGCCGGCACATTCAATTCATCAGCAATAAAAACAAGCCTAAGCTCAGTACAAGCAAGCGCAACACAATCTACCTGGTGATCACGGAGGAGGCTAGCATAGGCGTCTTCAAAAGTAGTCTTCACTTCCTGCGAAACAGGCTGCTTGCTAAGTTCATCAAAGATCAACCTATCAGCTTGCTCCCCGAACCCCTTCATGGGCACAAAAACCTCCAGCCCGTACCGCTCTCGAAGTCGGGACTTGTAAAACTCTTCTTCCAAACGGCTCGAGTAGCCAGAAGTCCAACATTTTTAAAGGCATGATTGACGATTCCCTGATCCAGGAAGTAAATAATGTACAAAACAGGTAAACCGTAGCGTTTCTCGAGCGTGTCTGCGGCCTTGTGTGCAATATTAGCACAGAGGGCCAAATATTGAGCGTCTCCATTCTTTAGTTCCTGACCGTATTTGGATAGCATTCTAATCATGCCGTCGAAGCCGCGGGTCGTCACCATCTTGCCAATGTCGGCGTAGTCTACGGATCTGATGAGGAGATTCGCAAAATGGATTCCACCGAGCTTGGAGCTTGGAGCATGCGTGTTTCTTTATGGCTTCATAAAATAGTGATTTTGTCTGTCAGATCATTCCACCGATCAAGCCGACCATTCGTGTCATTTTGAGGGAATGATATTTGACTTTGATGGATAGAAATGTTTCAAGAGGAGAGATATGGTATATTCTGAATACCAAAGAAAGTATGCAGCGGCTTCGGTGACAGTAGAAATGGATTATCAACCGTGACTCTTGTATCGTGACGGTCCTACCGATGTTGCCAGCCTTGATCGCAATCCTTTCCGTGTCTTCACAACTTCACTACGACCAGAGCTGTTATTCCCTGAGGCTCGTCGTCTCTCCTTAGAATTGCTCGGGAAACGAAACATACTCAGCAATGTCCTCATGGAGTTGCTCGACGTTCTAGAGGCAAGGCGGCAGAGTAATAGACGATCAATTCGAACCGTTCATTCACGACGCCCTGCGCAATTTCAGCTGGCAGTCCGTGGCAGCAGCCACTTTCAATCAGTACCAAGCGCTGAAGGCTGAGCACCTAGTACTGGCTAACATCGCGTCATTTCAATCTGCCCACATCAACCACCTTACGCCACGCACTCTGGACATTTCTGCTGTCCAAATCGCAATGAAGGAAGCTGGCATGGCCGTGAAATCACAAATCGAGGGCCCACCCCCTCGGAAATGTCCCATTCTGCCACGACAAACCAGCTTCCTTGCCCTTGAAGAGTCAGTTGCGCTGGGAATAACCGAACCAAATCGCAATGGTGGTGATGGATCCAACTAGCAAACGGACTTAGTCCAGTCACAAAGCACGCTTCGGCGAGATTGAGCAGCGGTTACACCCAAAGGTAGAGATCTGTATGATACCCTCTTGGCCAAGAGTAGAAAAAGGGCAAATGGACTCAGTCAGGAAGAAGCCGGCGCTTTGGCACTTGAAATCTTCCAGCAATACCCGGACGATTGGACTGAGTTGAAAAGAGAGACAACAAGGGCTCATTTATTGCAAGTATCACTGTATCGAGGAACCCTCACAACTGCCAATCCTCGATGGAGAACGGGATTCGCTCTTGAGCAGTTAATTGTAAATTGGATCGTTGAGGTATCACCTGCAACCTATGAGGACTTCTTTGCCTCTGTCAGCTGCAGGGATCTTCTAATCAAATTTACAATCTGGTGACTAGGCCGATGAAGCGTGCGTACAACGAAAACTTCGTCGAATCTCAAAGGGCTTGAGGAGGCGTTGGGTGAGGAGGTATTGGATCTTGACCATTGGTATGCTGGTACTAAGCAGGAGGGCTTGGAGGCTGTCAGTAGAGAGCTAGGGCTTTAGAAGATGTTCTGTATCTCTCACTACACATCGTTTATTTGTTTCGACGTTGCAATGATCTAATATTCTCACATAGTATAAGATGCCCACCAATCATGGTACTTAGATCGTTGCGATTGTTTGTGCTCCAGTTGTCCAGTACTGTATAAAGTTTATACAACGGGGTCCATATTCCCTGGGGACTAAGGTACAAAGTCCGCAGCTAGCGTGAGTGGCGATTTGGGTGTCAGGCTCGGCCAAATGTCTTGATCTCCGAGAGAGCCTAGCTCTGATAGGGATTGCTCATTTTCATTGGTCTGTTCGCAAAGAAGACCATACAGCCAATCACGACTACATTTTAATGTGGGTCTGGGCCATCAGTGCCGGTAGGGCGTGCCTCTTGGTCAACGCCTGCAGCCCAACTGTAATTTAAATTACCATTTTTGTATTTGCGTATCGTGGGTCCGAAGAGGATTCGAAGTATAAGGCTATTGTCAATCTATGAATTGTCGACCGGCTTCTTTGCCATATTCCTTTTGTGATAAATTTTATATTCAGCTTTCCTCAAATCCTGGCGGAATAGTACGCTCACTAGGCTCGGTGCAATCTAGACGAGCCCGATCCTCATTTTGCATCTGTCGCGCCGACAAAATTACGAGCATCTGCGATGGCAATTCAAGATATTGGAATTCCAAATGCTCCATACTCATCTAGCGCCGCAAAACCTATGAAAAGGCCCGTCGACTTCTCAAAAGTCAGTCTCATCATTAAGTTCTTAGATTCACTTTTAGATATTCAGAAGAACTTCCTGGAGCTAACAACTTGTATAATGAATAGTGGAGGAAATACCAAATTGTCATCGCTGGTACTATATTCGCATACAATGGATCTCTCGGGGCATCTCTGCCATCGGGAGCATCATCAATCATTGCAGACTCTTTCCAGGTCTCTCATGACAGTCCACGCCTCGTACTCCTGAACTACCTATATCTTCTCGGCTTTGCAATCGGCCCCGTGGTATTCGGTCCGATGAGCGAGTTTTTCGGTCGGAGACCAGTTTTCATTGGAACATATCTTGCCTACACATTTCTTACAGTTGGATGTGCTCTATCCCCAAGCTTCGAAGCGCTGTTGGCTTTCAGATTTCTGTGTGGCATAAATGGGTCTGTTCCGAACGCTGTTCTAGGTGGGCTGTACAGCGATATCTATAACACGCCCAATCAGCGTGGAAATGCAATGGCTATCTTCATCTTCGTTGCTATTGCTGGCCCAATGACAGGACCTCTAATTTCAGGGTATGCGGTCTTGCTTGGATGGCGATGGGTATTCTGGATCGCTTTGATGATTGCCGGAGCTGGAGTCCCATTCGTGCTATTGGTCCCCGAGACATACCTGCCGGTTCTGATTAGGAAGTGGAAGAAAGACGACGTAGAGCTCGGTGGTGGTCATCATAGAAGGACTGAAGTGCCATTTAAATTTGGGGAAATCTTCATTCGGCCATATGCCATGCTTCTCACAGAGCCCATTGTTTCATTTACGTCTCTGTATCTCTCAGTGATATATGCAGTGCTTTTTTTGTTTTTCCAGGCTTACCCAAAGATTTTCGAAGGTACGTTGCTGAACTCTTCCACATTGAACATGGAATGCTAACGTTATCAGGTCTGTATGGGCTATCTACCGGTGTTAACGGATTGGCATTTATTCCGAGTATGTACATGTTTCCCAAAAACTTCTGATTTAAAATTCACTAACCCTAAATAGTGGTATTTGGCTCACTGCTTGGGCTTTGTACCTTCCTGGCATATGTCTCTTTCCATAGCAAAGTTTTAGATGCAGGTAAAGCCTGGGCCTTAATAGAAGAATACCGCCGCCTTCCACTGGCGTGTGTTGCTGCTCCCACGTATGTGAATCTCCTACTTGGGATGTCCAACTGCAATTTCTTCATACTGACCTTCTTGACAGAATTGTTGTGGCGGTGTTCTGGATTGCTTGGACCTCCTACACCTTCATCCATCCAGCAGTACCCATGATGGCCGGTATATTCTTCGGATTTGGTTATTTTCTGGTTTTTACTGCGATGCTCAATTACCTAACCGATGCATACAAAGAAGGTTCTGCATCGGCGCAGGCAGCTGCAAGTGGGACGCGAGCGATCATGGCCGTCGCCCTACCTTTTGCAACGACGTCGATGTATGATACTCTGGGTGTACACTGGGCTAACTCGCTCATCGGATTCATCGCTTTGACGTTGACTCTTATTCCGTTTGCTTTCATAAGATACGGCAAATTGCTGAGGCTGAAAAGTAAAATGCTGTCTGCGACAAGTTAGAGGATCAACGCCGGTTTGGGTTAAGCCAGTTACAAATTAATATCTTACATGACTTCAACATCTATGGCTTTGCTTAACATTAGACCAATGATATCGTTTACAATGTTCGTGGTTTGTGCACACAAATGGCAAAGTGAGCTAGCCAATTTGTAATATTAGCTTATTGACATGATTTTTCATACGCATTTGGTTCTAAAGGCAACGGAAATCCAGAGAAGTCCTGGAAGTAAAGTTCTAAGATGACATCCATGGCTCCTCGTAATGTAAAGTTACCCGGCCCCACTTTGTAGGGCGTGCATCTCTCGCGCTGTCGGCGGGCGTGCCGGCACGCCCTAGTGGGCCCCAAACCAATCTAGATATTTTGCCATCTCATAGATATTAAGCTTTGGATATTGCATAAAAGAGCCCGACCGTTTGCAAATCACTGCCTCAGATCATTCAATATCACAGCTCAACATGGCTTCCTTACAACCGCTTGACGCCTCTAAACTGAGCTATACTTACACCATAACACCCCAACAAGTCCCCGATCAAGAGACTCTCAAGCGCACCCATGGCACGATATGCACTGACCACATGATTATTGCATCATGGAAGGCCGAAGCGGGCTGGGCCGCTCCCGAACTGAAGCCATACACGGGTATTATATTAACCCCCTAGGAATCGAGGATAGTAGCGTAGATACTCTTAGGATAACGATGACCTAACCCGCACGCGCTAGCGAAACGTTCGTGAATCGACTACGAGAAGCCACCGATTAGGCATAGTCGGTGTAACGGATAAATATCCTTACAACATGGAGACGGAATCACCTGATCGCACCCGCATCGATCACGTATCAGGAACGAACTGCCAAGGAGTAGTCACATGGCTCCCATGTGAACATGGGGAACACACATAGTCCAGGATTCCCCTGAATCCCCTCTTCTTTTATCAAGAGTTAGTCTTGGCACACACAGACAATATATCCTCGTTTTCTCTCCAAGTCATTGTATCTTACCCGGTTGACAGGCCTTACACCTGGAAATCGTAAACCTTTACAGTTGGCGATAGTAATGGCATAGGAGAAGTAGTAAGAATAGGCGAATCGATCTCGGTAAGCCGCTCCTATCTATTAGGTAGGAGATCGTGTATAGCTAAACCTACGAAATGTACGCTCGTAGCGTCCATCGAAGAAATTAGACTAGATTTATGCACAATACTAAGTCGAAGAGGCCCCCACGCCTCATACTATGCGCCTTAACGTGCCCTCTAGCATACACCTAGTCTTCCACGTAGAGTTAATTCGACCTACCGTAACGGACCCGTTTCCGTCATAAATCGTGGACGATTCGTAACCACCCCTAGTGCTAGTCGATAGCGAGCTAGAGTACGAAGTCGAAGAAATCTTATCGATAAGGGAGAAGCGAGTTAGTAGGGGAGTATAGACCGAGGTTCTGGTGAAATGGGTAGGATACGCAGAGACGACATGGGAGAGGTTAGACGTGGTTAAAAACTGCTCGGCACTTAATGACTATGAACGACGACACGGGCCCATTCCGAGGCCCTCTCGGTACCGTTTCGACGCCGACGGCGACATCATCGTGCCTGTCGTGAGGATCAATGTGAAGGGGGGTACTGTAACGGGCCAGAGCCCGGCTTGGATTACGTGAGGCACGTGCCCACAACATACATAAACCCCCATCGCCAGTAGATAGTCACCTTTCTCCAAGATTGATGTAAACAGCATTTTGGCCTAGCCTAATTGAATCAATAAAGCTACAGCCCTTCACAGAATGCGCTATTTCGATGATATTTACAGTAAGCCTATTTTTGACTAAAGGTGATGTGTACCGCTTCTATACGATATCAAATGCCCGGAACTTCGTTCTCCTATTAATATATATATCTGACCCATATGCAAGCCCAGCACCCTTCTATGAAAATCAACTCCGATGTACGGAACTGGCGAGAATTGATAGTTTATGTGTGCACAGTGAAAAAGGAGTTTAATGTGGTAGTGAGCTAAAATGTATTATATCCGCTCCTATGTCCTGACCACCTTCTAACTCGTCTTGCTGCTCACTGAGTTCAACACCTCAAACTCAACAGCACCGTCGCGGGTAGACAGGTACCCAATAACATGTTGTTCTGGTGAGTTGAACCAGAATGACGAGTCTGTATTTGATCCTGCAACCCATTTCACATCATATTTTCCACTCTCGCTCCTTTGAACAGGAACCCTGGTGATCAATGGATGATCCTGTGGGGACCACCATCGAATGGCAGGCAATGTATTTGTGATAGTGTTAATCAAGAGTTGTGGTGTCGAAGGATGCCAAACAATCTGTCGAACAGGTTGCTCGTGAACTAGAGCTGATGCGAGTTTTGGGGTGCCCTCTAGTGACCAAATCCAGACGACATTCTGACGTGCAGTGTCAACAGTCGCAAGGAGGCGACCGTCTGGGCTAAAGGTCATTGTCAAGACGCCACGTGATGGCCCTGCCGACTCCGGACTCATGCTTAATGCAGAGGAGCAGGATGCCTCGGCATATTCGGCGTCCCCTGCAGCACTGGTGTATCGCTCGCGCCAAATATTGGGACACTGTTGGTCTGTTGGGAACACATGTGAGAGTGTTGTTGCGGAAGAGAACTACCATAGTAGGATTAGCAAATAATGCCGCACACATTTAGAAGACAACTTACCGTGAGAGTTCGGAGCAAGTCAATATTCCCGTTGACCTTTCCCACGGCTAGTATTCCACAAATTCCCTGGTGGGGAGGGCTCCATTCAATCTGTTTCACCCCGAGATCGAAGGAATCGTCCAACCCAGACGGTCCGGAATACGTCCTGAAAAGTTGACCATCCGCTGTGAACACTAGCACTTTTGTGCCTGCACTAGCGATGTCCCAGATGGCAATCCATTTCCCATCCGGGCTCCATTTCAAACCCTGTGCATCAATGGTTGGAAGCACAGTTTTGTTGACAAGCTCGTAAGACCGGGGTTCGTGGACAGTCAGTAGATCTGAAGTCTCTGGTTTCAGTATGATGGCGAGATGCCTGGTTTTTATGCGATAACCATACCCGAAATGATGGGCAAACTTTGGTGTTTTAATGACTGAGCTGCGCCCGGCCACTAATGAGTGGACACTGAGTTTAGTGTTCCACGCATGAAACACAAGAACTTCATTCTCATCGGCGCCAAAATCGACAGCTAATGCCCCCGGTTCGATGCTTTCAATTTCGGCGAATATTTCAAGCGGAGTGAGCTGCCAGACCGAGATTCGGGTGTCGTTTGCGGACAGGAGTCGCCGCCGAGAGGCAATCTCATCATTTGATGCACCAGGAGACCTTTCCACATTGAAGTACTTCAGTGATTTGAGTGGAATCTCTTTGATTCTTGCGATGTGTAATTCCTTGTCCGAAGCTACATTTGAGTGAACAACTAGGCTCTTTCCACTCACATGGGCAGCATATTGTCCATCCTCAGACAAGCTGACATTTAAAGGGGCTAGCATATGGTCAGATTTGGACAAGTAAAAGGCTGTTTGGACAGTGAACCTACCTCCTGGTCCTGTTGACGCGTCCATTGTGGCAGTCGAGAGATGATAACAGTGAGCGTTCAAGAAAGAACTATTTCAAATTCTGGATATCAATACAGCTTCACAATATTAATCCTTGTCATACACAATCGCATATATGCATCGGAATATGTATTCTTTCGAGTCCTGATTCTCATTGGAAGACTTCAGGTTGGTCTCTGGCCGGAGCATTCATATCAGATTATGTAATCGACCCACGAGTTTACCTGGGTAATTTGTAAGGGACTACCTATGCAGCTGAGGTTGATCAAATTGCTCTTTGAGCTGTAGAGAGAAGGAATATAAGGAATATCACAAGGTAACCTCGGAAACATCACCGATTTCTTCAGTGACACAAGCCCAACGCGTTCGCAGCTTCCACTCCCCCGCGATAAGATAAGCCGGGAAAAATTTAAATCCGGCTGTGATACGGCGCTTTTCGCAAAAGTTGTTTCTCGTTGTGTTGCGCCTAGAGGCGATTATTGACCATAACCACGTTCTTTTCTTCCAGGCGTCAACATAGGTATCTTTAAGCCTTTCAGCCCTCTGCTGGGCCGATTTTCTCGACACTTTTCCAGATCCCATCTGTCAAAAATGGCCTCCGAAGCAAGCACACCGAAGAGCATTGAGCAGACATCCGCGGTTGCGGCTCAGCCTGAGGAGAAGCTCTTTGGGAGAAAGTTTTATGAAAGCATTGGCAGCCCCAAATATGTCGTTGCCCCGATGGTTGACAGATCCGAATTCGTGAGTTCGCCTTCCAAGTAGCAGCACCTGCAGACCAACGCTAATGTTTCCCAAAGGCGTGGCGCATGCTCACTCGATCTTTCATGCCACCAGACGACCCCAAGCCTTTACTCGCATACACACCAATGTTCCACGCACGTCTATTCGGCGATCAAGAGAACGTCCGTGCCAAACACTTCCAACCTACCCGCAAAGCCGTCGGAGACAACAATGATGAATTGTATCTTGATGGAAATCCCGCAATTGACAGGCCACTTTTCGTTCAATTTTGCACAAATAACCCGGATGAGTTCTTGGAGGCTGCCCGCCATGTGGTACCTCACTGCGACGCCGTGGACCTGAATCTTGGCTGCCCACAGGGTATTGCGAAAAAGGGACACTACGGAGCCTTCCTTCAAGAAGACTGGGACTTGATTTATAAGCTTGTCCATCGGTTGCACACTGAGCTTCCGATCCCTGTAACGGTGAAATTTCGTATTCAGGAGACCAAGGAGAAGACCTTGGAGTACGCTAAAATGATTCTCTCAGCTGGGGCCAGCATCATCACTGTGCATGGACGCAGACGGGAACAGAAAGGTCACAACACTGGAGTTGCAGACTGGAGCTATATCCGCTATCTACGAGACAATCTACCCCCAGATACGGTGATTTTTGCCAATGGAAACATTCTTAACTACGGTGATATCGAAACCTGCCTCGAGGCGACCGGGGCCGACGCCGTGATGAGCGCAGAAGGAAATCTATCAGATCCGTCTGTATTCAGCAAGCCACCTCCAGTTGGTACCGAGGGGAGAGAATACTGGCGCGGGCGGGATGGAAAGGGTGGTTACCGCGTCGACGCCGTCCTGCGACGATACCTTGATATCATCTATAAATACGTTCTCGAACAGCCCGTTCCAGAAAGAAAGCCACTTTATCTTCCATCCGACCCAGTTGATGAGTTTGCAGAAACCAATGACGCTGAAGATAACAGCCACGAGGATGGCCCACTCAAGAAAAAGCAAAAGCGGAGTAAGGCCGAGAAGGGCAAGAAGTGCCACTCTCCCAGCCTCGGTTTCATGCAGGGCCACCTCTTCCAAGTCTTGCGGCCAATGGTTGCAACTCACACCACCGTTAGAGATGCTCTTGCTACATCCAAACCAGGCGACATGGCCGCTTTTGAGCACACCCTGGCTCTCCTCGAGGAGGCCATCAAAGCTGGACTTCAGGAGTATGAGGCCTCTCCCGAGAAGTTTGAAACCCAACCCGATGAGACTTTGAAGGGATCTAAAGCAGTGATTGCGGAATATGGGAGGCCTTGGTGGATCTGCCAGCCTCACGTTCGTCCTCTACCTGAAGAAGCATTTGAAAGTGGAGCGATGCGTGAAAAGGGCACAAAGCCTCCCGCCAAGAATGAGAACGAAGAGAAGAATACACCCAAGGAGACTGATACTCCTTCCGAGGGCACTGTCACGCCAGGCGATGGTGGTGGTGCTATTACTGCCACCAGCATCACCCCCGATCCTCTCGTGAGTGGATAGGAATGTGAACATCTGATACATTAGTCTTTCTCTGCCTTTCCTTGCCAGCTACCGTTAACCAGTGTAAATATATAAAAACCTCCAAGCTTGGACCCAGAGCCTTGTCTGCATAGCGTGTTCAGAACGATTTACATAAATATCTTGGGCTTTAAATTCAAATCAATGTCAAATAAGACTACTGTACCTATTTCTATATTGAACAATCCTTTTCCGTGTATAACCTTGGTGATAACTCCCCACTTCTCGGACTCTGAATATACTCTTTTTCACGTCTTTTCCACAGTCTTTCAAGATGTCTCTGGAGATGTCCTTTTGGATGCCTCCTAAGATATCTTGTTAAGTAGGTATTCTTAGGTGTTTCCTTAGTCTTCTAGAGGGAATGCGTGAGGTGACAATTCAATGAAAGTGCTCCTGCGAATAGCTCTTGGATGATACGGTGGTCTCTCGCTCTTACTGCTTTCCATTTTGCACCTTCCTCTTTAAATCTCCTCCTTCACACTCTCATAGCGAGCGCTATTCTGCAATCCACTTCCTCAGTCCTATTCTCAGTTTCGTCAAAATCTCCACCCTTTGCAAGAAAAATGGCATCTCCTCTAGGACCCCACGGTGAGTCTGCGTCGAATTTGTCATTTTGATTCTCTAATCTAACACACCCTCCAGCGTGGCCGATGGCGGATGCCGCGTTGACTCAGGAACTCTTGGGCTTGTTGCAGCAAGGCACGCATTATGACCAGCTCAGGAAAGGTGCAAATGAAGGTATCTCTTATCATGAGTGTTTAAGTTGACCATAGAGGTAATATCTATCTAGTTACAAGGTCTGTGACCCGAGGCAACTCCGAGATCGTCGTTCTCGCTGGTGACACAAATCCTCTCGCGATATTGATGCACCTTCCACTGCTGTGCGAGAACAAGAATGTCCCGTATGTCTTTGTGCCTAGCAAGCAAGCGATGGGTCACGCATGCGCTGTGAGTCGGCCGACTATCGCAGCCACTATCATCGCGAACGATGCCAGTGACCTGGCTCAACGGATCGAGCAGGTTAAGAACAAGGTGGAGCGACTTGCAATGTAATGAATTGTCGTCAAATGATAAAGAGGGGTGGAACCTTGAATTCTGGGTTCTGGGAAGGCTATTACCCCAGATCCTTGGGCGACCTATGATTTGCTTTTCTTGCTCGTCGGCTTTTTGAGCAATGAATCTTACTGGTATCAGTGGTAATTCCATTCTAAAGCTCAACCGTGAGCTGTATCTTGATATGATAGACGGATTGAACGGAGGTAAGCCCATATTATTCCCCACAGGACATGTACGCGAGGAAGAGCCATGTAAGTGAGTCCAGACTCCAAATAGCTTCATTGCGAGATGTTTATGGCTTATAGGAATGTGACCTAACATTTGAAGACACGTTATTAAAAGAGCCCAAATCCACCTTGTACGGCAGTCTATTACTGCTAGTGAACTAGTATAGATTCTGCGTGTAGTATATATAAGTTGTGATATGAGTATGTTATACATCTAGGAAAAATAATGAAAAAATATCCTAAAAAATTGTTCGAAAAAGACTAATAAGAGGATCCCTCATACTACCTGAAAGGACTCCTAAAAATGACTGCCTGAAAAACACCGAAAAGACATGAAGTTTGGGGAAGTCGGTTGGTAGATGGAGCCGGCAACAGGAATCGAACTCGTGCCCACTAAGATTTTGAGATAGCCCCCACTATTTCTTCCTAGCTGAGTGCCTGGAGTGTTCTACCATTATACCTTGCCGGCAAAAAGAAAGACGTCAGCACTAGGACTCGAACCTAGGCTCACGAATGAACAGCATATCGGGAATGTTTATATTCGAGTGCTGCGCCTTAACCACTCGGCCATACTGACGTAATAATAACGAATTAATCAGTTGATGGGATAGATCTGCTTTTATGGCACTATAAAGAAAGAGCTCGTCTTCTCTGGCTCAAGCCCATTCAAACACAAATATGAAGGTTCGACTCGCACACGTAGCAACCACTGTATGCCCGACATGTGGAAGATACAAAACAACGTGGGTGAGCGCAGCTGCTTGATAGACCAGTGCCTGGTTGCTCACCACTTTGGGGTACAGCGCTTTCCCTCACTTCGTGGTCAAACGCTGGGGTGATTCCGTATAGCCGCATTGCTTCCTCAATCGAGGCATCCAACTCAGCACACACAGAATACGAGGCGACAGCTAGCACGGTGCCATCATGATCGAGCATATACCAGTCGCCGTTCCTTTCGTTCATGGTGCTCAGTGGGTATTGTTCTGCCATTTCATTAACTTCTCGGCGAGTTTCTAGCACAATCAATGATTCGGGGATAGGCAAGATGTATTGGGTCGTCAACATTGCGAGAGTACTTGCAATCAGCAAAAGAAAAAGCCAACTATGGGGTTGCGGTGACATCATAGAGAACGACCTGGACAGTTGCGTGAATAGTGCATACATCCTCAATAGTAGTATGCGGGTCCCGGAGCGGGAGATAATGGGAAGAGTGGAGTGTCTAGGCCGAGAGTGAATCTCACGGGGTTGTTCATGTTGTATGTTGTACATTGCACATCTCACAGTAACACAAGATTGACTTCGATCCTGGCGAAGCCTCTGAGTTTATTAGGGATATGAGAGGAGCCAGGCCGCGTAGTAGAGTTATACCCCTACCAAAATAATTGAGGGGAAAGAGAGAATCTAATTAGATGGAGAGAAGAGAGAGGTCCATGGTGCATCTGTCGTCACATATACCTAAGGCATACATTTTAGCCATAAGAATGTCCTATGAGGGTTAGGTGAGAACGGCAAGTGCTTCAGTCAAAACAATGGTTTGGCGCTGAAAATCAGATTGACCTAGTACTCGGTGCTTCTTTTTGATCAATTGTGAATGCTGTACTTTGTACTATCCATATATACGAAGGACCTCGGGATCTATGCCAAAGGATAGTTAGCAGGTACGGAGTAGAGTGACCTTCATGACCAATCGCAGATGTCAACCGACCTCGGCTGGAACTAGGGCGGGCACTAACTGGATCAAGAGAGATTGTGACCTGAGGCATCAAGTCATCAGAACTTCCAATTATGCTTACTATATAGGTAGGTAACTAGGTAGGTAGGTAGTTAACCCTGGAAGTAGAAGACTTCAAGGCTGGCTGTAATGATGAGTCTGGATCCGTCGATGGTTCATGATGGTCTACTACAGTAACCCTGAAGCCTGTAAACCTTGGTGACTTGAACTGTTCTACCTCATATAATGGTCACTATGAAATAGCTTTTGCTAATTGGGACTCACAGCCTGCGACTCCTTTCGGCTCGGCAATTAAGCCAAGATGAGCTCACCTGAAACCTTCATCTACGGACACAACATTTCCCTATCACATGTACACCCACTTCGCATCTACTTTATTACGGAGCAACAAAATTCAGTATCAGTCGAATTTACCAAGACGTCGGAGACTGTAGGAGCTAACGTCAAAACTAGGTTTCTGATTTTTCCGACACACATGGGGTTAATAGTCCACCAGATTTTGTCTCGGGCCAATATGCGGATGTCGCGATTCACTGCGGTGATCTCACTACAGAATCGAAACTTGACGAGTACAAAGCCTCGATTCGTTTCCTGCAAGCCGTGAATGCCCCTCTCAAACTTGTGATCGCTGGCAACCATGACTTCAATATGGATATCCCAATTTTCCAGAGAAAGGTCGCAGAAGCCCAGCCCTTGGATTCTAAATTAGTTCAAAAGATTTATGGCAACTGCGAAGATGCTCGAGGGTTATTCAACGAGGAGGAAACGGGTATCACTTTCCTAGATGAAGGTACCCACTCTTTTCGCTTACAAAATGGTGCCCTTTTGAGTGTCTATGCCAGCCCATACACCCCATCGCTTGGCGATTCGGGATTTCAGTATCACCCCGACCATGGACATGACTTTCAAATCGAGAACGTCGATATCGTCATAGCACATGGATCGCCAGAGGGTATCATGGATTACACACACTCTGGCCAGCGCGCCGGCTGCCCACATCTGTTCAGGGCTATAGCTCGAGCCCAACATCGACCCCTGATGCATTGTTTTGGTCATATCCACGAAGGATGGGGTGCCAAAATTGTCTGATGGCGCCATAAAATTAGCCTGGAGCCTTCTCACTTGACTGATATCGACAACGAAAAGTCTATTCTCATATCCTGACTCTCCACCATCAAAAGCAAAGGGAATTCCCCAGAGTGCTCTAGTACAAATAATTTCTCCGAGTTTCATAATCCGCTGAGCCGGGGCTCTGAAACACTTTTTATCAACGCCGCATTCCAGGGTTCCGATGATCCTTTGACACAACCACCGTGACTTGTCGATCTCGATCTTCCATCAATGACTTGAGAAGCCATTCCTGCCCTTTTGTGTTGGAATTGAGTGGCTATGAGGGACCGCGGTAGCATTGTGAAGATGCCTGTGGGTGGCAGTGTCGGCGCTGTCGCCGCGATTACAGAAAATTCGGTTTGCAGTGAAGTGAGCAGTGGCCAGCTGGTGAGGTGCCGTACCATTGTCGCGTTCATTGGAATTGCGGGAGTTACCTTGTCGACTTCAGAGGTGGAAGATTATTGCACTGAGTACCTGAGTGCAAATGACAAGAAATACTCTAGCGAATGTGCTACCGGAAAGACTGGCAACAGGAGGGTCAAAGCTACTGCGACAAATACCCAGTCGGAACGTCGTTTCTCTGGTTTCATGGGAAAATGCAAAGCGATTACCCTCTACGCTTGATTATCTTCACATGGTGAGATCGAGGCTACTTTTGGCGGCACCAGGTCGTTGAACCCCCCTTTATGACCTCTCCGTTTGGCCATGTACATAATTTCTTCCTCTCCCATTTCCTTGATTCGAGACATCGCCATTTCGGTGGACAATATATTGGCCAAGAGAGATCCATAAATGGTTGAAATTTCCGATATGAGAATTATGTGATCGTATTTTTCATGTTGAAAATTACCCAGGGATAATACGCGCCGGAACCTTGGAGCTCTGTCAACTTAAAATAAGCCTCGTTCCTAAGCTTGGCGTTTCCGTATGAGACGGGCCTCCGCCGGAGAATCCTGTTAGCCCGATGTAACAAACAATGGCCAATTTTGGTGTCTCAACGCCGTAAAGTTCCTAATCCCTGCAAGCTGTAATTTCCTTCCCCGAGAGAATTTTTTTCAAATTATTCTTGGCGAATTTTTCAGAACTGCCTCTCGTAAGAGGCTCAGGGAAATTCAAATCGAGAGCAACACTCACCTGTACTTGTTATGCCGACGCGAGATCCATCCACACCGTCGACTCGCCCACAGGAGGAGCCTGACGAGCGGGCACCCCTGTTAAGGGAGCATGAGGCCGACCATGGCGACCATTCCAAAGTCACCTCCTTTCCCCATCGTCGTCTCTTGCTCCTTGTATGCCTTACCGTTGTGGCCGCTGACTTCGGCAATTACCTTGGCTATGCCCCTCATATCGAGATTCTTGAGTCGATTATCTGTCGCCGGGCTGGAAGAAGCAACTCGTTTGGGGTAGATGACAACTGCAAGTCGCCTCACGTGCAAGGAGAATTAGCTCTGATAAATGGATGGAAAGAAACATTTGACCAAGTGCCAGGAATCCTCCTTGCGCTTCCTTATGGATTTGCTGCCGATAGAATAGGGCGTAAGCCCATCCTGGCACTCAGTTTGACTGGGCTCGTTCTAGAAGAATTCGCCATGCGATTAATCTTTTTCTTTAATTCTGCCCTGCACCCCCGGATGATTTGGGCGACGCCTATTTTTCAAATCATCGGCGGCGGACCCCAAATAGCGACCGCTATGGCCTACGCTATACTGACAGATATGGTCCCAAGTCATCAAAGGTAGTGATAATACCTTCCCCATGTGTATTGTGAATTAACTAACGAGGGTGTTCTATATCCAGGGCATCTGTTTTCTTCATCTTGTCTGCTGCGACTCTACTCGGGGAAATCGTTGCTACTCCATTTGCTGCATTCCTAATGTTGTGGAACCCATGGATTCCTTCGCTGTTGGGTCTGTTCTTTGAGTGTTTAGGACTGCTCGGAGCCACTTTTATCTCCGATATACGTTTTAATCCAGCGTCATGCGACGAACAACGAGATCTGGAGGAGGAAGAGGAAGAAGATCAGGATCAGGAACAAAGACATAATTTGAGCTCGATGCACGACCCACCGTATGTACGTTGGAAAAATGTCATACGACGGCAGTGGAACCACATTCGATACAATTATACGGCATTCTGGAGCGCAAACCTTTTCTGCACTGTCGGTGCATTTTTACTTGCAAGTATTGGTCGCCAAGCGCTACAACTTATTGTCCAATATGCCTCAAACCGCTTTTCTTGGAGCATCGCGCGTGCCAGTTCACTCATCACGCTGAAGGGCATTATAAATCTCGTCACTTTGTTGTTTATTCTTCCTTGGCTTTCCAACTGGCTGAATCAACACTTACTTCTGTCGTCCGCGGCCAAGGATCTCCGTATTGTCCAAGGCAGCGTCTGGCTTTTAACTCTGGGTACTGCCATCATGGCCATTTCCACCCATCCGGCCTTATTCATACTGGGCGTCAGCTTACTCGCGTTCGGATGGGGGTTCTACTCGGCCCTGCGAAGTCTGGCGATGGAATTGGTGTCACCATCGCAGGTAGGTATTGTGAACACGGCGATTGGGTTTGCCCAAAGTATTGGTTCTTTGCTCTCAGGGCCCATTCTAGCTGCCGCATTCCGTCAGGGACTGCAACAAGATGGGTTCTTGGTGGGATTACCCTATATGATTGCCGCTGCTCTATTCTTCCTCTCCGGTTGTTTAACAGGTTGTGTTCGGATTCCACGGGGAATAAGTGGCGCCTACACGTTGACTGAGGACTCTGCGGTGCTGTTATAAGTTTACGGGCATCAGAGAAGACCACCGCATCTTTTCAAGGCTATTTAAAATTTAAATTAAGGCAAGACTTCATCTTATTATAGATAAAAAGAGAAAGAGAGAGGAAGAGGTCTCAAGTACATATCTGCATAGCTGCCCCTCAGAGGTACAAACATATTATGACTCCCTTCAACTATTTACCACTTTGACCGACCATATTGCCGGAAACAAGATCACTTAATATTCGGATACCTTTTCCTCATTTGTGCCCCATATTTCATTAAGAGAAAGGGCATAGTAACGAACGCCAATGCAATAAAGGCCAAGAGACTGTTCCCCCATCCCATCCCTAGAGCATCATATAGACCATGATCTGCCAGAGGCAACAAGCCTCCGGCCAAACTTCTAAGAATATTCATGGCTGCCAGGGCGGAGGCAGAATGTATCATAAATGAATTCATTAGATGGGCCTGCGCTGGCTGGAAAATGCACATCATGGCGAAGCCAAACACTCCCAGCCCAACTAATGGCACCATGGGGGTTCTATTCGTTTGTAGTTCACCCATACCAAAAGAGACCAATGGGAGCTATTAGGCTCGAAGGAATCATCTGCCACAGATATTCCTCTGGTTGGAGATCTTTGCCCCCGGGGGGTGCTCTCTTCTGCTTTCGCTCGGTGACTTTGTCGGCCGCGAAGGCGATTGTGAAAATGCCTGATGCAAACAAAAAGATTAGTTAGTGGTCCCACATATATCAAGTTTTTCTTTTGCAAGTCATCCAAAGAAAAGCAGGAGAACTGATGTAAGAAACAAACTTACCTAAAATGGTTCTAACTCCAGTTCCTAAGTAAACTAGACTAGATGAGCTGGTTGACAAGTAATACTGATCCTGGAAAATATATGCCAGCGTGGTAAAGACAAGATATTGGTATCCGTATACTACTGCCGCGTACAGGGCAATTGTTGTTACTACAAACGAAGTCAATAGAAGCCTAGGGGACGAATGAGAGCCGTAAAGATGACTTCCTGGTGAGAGACCCTAGCATCGAGGCGGGACTTCAACTGCGGATTATCTGTCTCCTTACGAAGTCTCCGAATCTTAGCCTCCAGCAGTACCGGACCGTATGTCTCACGGATCAGAAAGGGGACAAGATTGTAAGAATGGCCATCTACTCCACTGTCATAACGTACTCCATTCCTCCTTTCCGTATTCGATGTCCTCTCATGGCTTTATTTCCCCGAGGCTTACCGGAATAACAATAAACCAAAATATCCATCTCCAGCCTGCATCCTGGCTCAGGTAGCCTCCTGCAATGGGAGAGAAGACCTAGACACGATGTAATGTCAATATCAGAAGGTTTCAGTCGAGACAAAAGAGAAATCCGTGAGGAAAGAGACAGGAACTTACAAGCGCTACTAACGATCCTAACCCCCAAACGGCTATCGCGGTCCCTATCCGCTCAGGGGGCATGAGGTCGCCAATGGTACCTCCACCCAAAGCCAAAGGAGCCACTCCCACACAGCCGGAGATAAACCTGAATGCCAGAAATATCCCCATGTTTGTGCTCAAGGCACGTCCAATGGTAACCCCAAGGAAGATCTCATTTGTGAAATGGTAGACGATGGTGCGACCATACAATTCTGACAGTGCGCTATAATGAGTAGGCCAATAGCGAATCCGATCACATATATCGATACAACAAACGACTCAAGTTTTGTGTCATCGGAGCCAAGATATTTCATCACATCATGAACTGCAGGTGCCAGCATGGATGAAGCTAGTGAACTGGCGTTGTGGCATCAAACATTAGTCTCATGCATATGCTCGGCTTGACTGAGATCAGCTGTCTTCTCGGGACCTGTGGGGTATAACAAGCCATAGAGAAGATAACGAACAAGCTATGACAATAGCAATACGTACGTGACAAAAGTTAGTAGCGAAATGAAGCCAACATGGCACCAACGATACATGGCGCTCCAATTCATAGGGTTTGAGGGATCTGCGTCATCATCCCAGAATACTTCATTGGGATCAGGATCAGGATCATGCACGCCAGGTCGGTCTCCGAGGCTGTTATCCGCAGGCAAGACGGGATGTGGGCCCTTTTCGGCATCGTGGGTGGAGCTCATGTATTTCCAAATGTGGGGGACAGCTGTTGATAAAGGAACTGGAGCAAGAAAAATAACTCTCTAGTCCGCGCGATCAATAAATGAGCGAAGATATAGCAACTGGTCCTGCTTAAATATATGTTATTCATCGAACATAACACTAGCGTATTTTATCACAGACAGTATTATTCTGACTAGTTACGTATTTCCATTTCGCAGGTACATCTTAACCCTCGCGACCTGATAACCCCTTTTCAAGGTTGTGTTTAGCGCTGTCTAGGTAATTTCCTATATAAATCCGCTAGTAGCACTATTCAAAAGTTAACAGAATATTTCAAAACGACAATAGTATTCTGTCGCATAAACGTCCATGAGGTGACAAATGACACGATGCTTGGAACCTTCCAGGTCCGAAGGGAAAATTTGACGATCTAACGGGATGTGCAGATGGGGTAATTAGGTGGCGCGACTTGAAAACAACGAGAAATCAATTAACGGTATCCCTCTTCTCTATCATCACCGTGGACAGTGGTACGTACTAGTACCGGCGGGTAACGGAGATCCGGTGGAGTTCCCGCGTGGGGCTCAAGGCTTAGGAGCAACCTGGGAACCTCGAGGACAACAAACCCTAAATTTTACATTACAAAGACGTAAAACAGCAGAGGCTCTGTTTAGATTATATGGCTCTTAAACCTTTCAATATGAATCTGCATTATTCAACTCATCCCTATAGATATCACCGAATACAGATGAGGATGTATACCAGAAAGAAGGATGCCAAATTGCAAGAGAACTCAGGACTTACAGAACAGAGGAATTATATATGATAATCTGGATTCAAAACACAGGCCAAATCAGCTTTTGTAGGTTTTTCCGAGAAGATTATCTAGCCAAGTAAGTTGGTCTGTATAAAGTATGTCAGTAGCCACTAGATCTCGAGAAAATTGTCACTTTTCACATTGTCTTCGAGAAAGTGAGAGACCGTGAGAGCCGAACTTATACAGTCGACATCTATATCCATCATGGGTAGCATCGCCCCAGCCCTTGGATATGATATTAACCATCAGTGGCCAACTCCACATGCCCAACATACATTAATCTCACCATCTTTATCGATGGCCAATGCCTGGATGATGTTGTTGGGCTCTCCAAGACGCTTGAAGCCCTTGTCCTGGACTCGAATTAGTCAACACTGGGCATAACTCTGGAAAAATGCAGGCGCCACAACTTCCTCGCCTCACTCGACGACTCTGAGTTTCTCTGAATTTATTAGCAAAATTTGTTTCCAAGGTTGGATATGTTTAATTTCCCTCAACGCACAGGCAAGTAATATCTGTTTATTGACACACATTGGAGCTATAAAGGCGCAAGCTTCAGGTTTACCACGTCTACTGCCACAACAGTCAAAAGACTGCCTCAGGAATGCACATCCATCAGATAGCTATGTGTGATCGAGAATGTTCCCAGCGTTTCTGTCGGACACTCCATCAAGGTTGGATTGCGTACACCGATAATTCTGGATTCCGAGACGTTGGTAAAGAGCTTCCTGCAAACTCAAGCACCCTGTATGGCGTGGGGTCCCTCACGAAGTCCATGGTATCTGCTGGTTTTGAGAGAGTAGTCGAAAATGGCAAGTTCAAGTCGGACACCAGTGTCTGAGAAGTTTTCCCAGCACCTCCTCACAACTATAATCGGTTTGCCAAGGTCACGCAGGCCCCCTTACCCACCGGCCTTAGTTGGCCGGGGTTCCTTACTCATCTTATATTTCAAGCATATAGTGAGATACTATTGCCATCGGATTCATTATTCAAAATCACCACCGTATTCCCCATCAGTAACCGGAAGCGCTGGATGTATTGGGCCCGGAGGTAATCAATTTCCGCACATATCATTGCAAAGGTTACCGAGAGGCCACAGGCACATAAATGCCTAGCACACAGATCCACGTGGATCCCCGTGACATTTCCAAAAGCCCACAGGTTCCAATCTTGCAAGCTACGCCACTCCGTGGCCCCAGACGTCGGCAAATGACGTTACCGACCGTACGTTCATGTTGTACCGGGCTGAGAAGGCAACCTTGGAATTGGAGCTTGATGCTGATAGCCTGCTTGAAATCGCAAATCAGACAGCCAGTCGGAGACTGACGGTATGCGCAACCGTCTCTCTGTCCTCAATGGGCCGTTACATAATACCATATTGCCTGACGCCCTTGGATACTCATATGGGAGGGATGGTGGCTAAGCCGATCGCCCACACGGCCTAAATCTGTCGAGACTTCAGCAGCGATATCTCGCCAAAACCTGGGGGCGAAAAACAGGGACAAGCTAGGCATCAAGGAAAGGGATTTGAAACACATCCAGCGAGGCCAAAATATCCTTATATTAGGTCATTAATCTGCTCTAGACTTTCCCAGATGATGTACCTACCCAGTGATGGTTGCCTTGTCCTTACGTGTTTGTCCGTCACCGCTTGTTGTTAACAGCCAACCATAATCTTCAGATTCCTGGAATTTCTGAGGCTGTGCTGTGCGGCTGGTTGAGTGCAAAGCCACGCGGCTGTGCAAATTTAACATTCGTCAGACGAGAGATATTTTCTTCAAAATAATACCCCGAGATATATGTTGTTTAATTCTGTTCAGTGTACTTCGTACCCAATGCGAAACCAGAATCATGGCCCAGTTGGACCTTGTTGAAGGAGAAATGAGAAGGCGAGACTGGTACCAGTGTGACGATACTGCAGTCAATGAGCAATCGGAACCTGATCCTAAGAGGCAATGTATTGAACATGCATGGACAACCCAAGAAGATCCGTACTCATTTCCAAGCCTTGGGGGAATAACCCAAACTCAGGATGTTGAATGGTCCCGCAGACTGGATAATACCTGGGCTGAGGCTCAAGATTTGGCACCTGTTAGCAATTCTGAGCCCATGGATGTGGATTTAGATTTCTTCAACGTGGAAAATGAGCCACTCCCATCTTTTGGTCTTTCTTTAGATCTTGTCCAGCAACCATCCGGCCCTTGTCTTCGAATTTCTGAGCCTCCAGATGCGAATAAATCCTTTCCTACGCCAAATTCCGACTGCAATTTTCAAGATGTTCAGGGGAAGGATAAGCGGGTTGGCTTTCAAGATTTTGAGCTCACGGATATCTTTAACGTCGAAAATGACCAACCCCCATTCCTTGATCATTCTTTGGATCTTGCCCAGAAATTCTCCGGCTCATGCCTCCATATTCCGGAAGCTTCAGATGCAAATCAATACGTCCCTACGCCAAATTCTGACTGCAATCATTCAGATGTACAACCGGAAATGATCGTCACTCCAGGTACCTTTTCGGAAGACGCAGTTTCCACTTCCCAGAACCTTCTCCCTAGGTCCTATGATACCTGCTTCGGAATGGTCGGTGGTAAGTTTTCATCTACACTTACAGCACGTCTGACATTTTTAGATCATCACAAGCGCCTCTTGTCATAGCTTGCCTAAGGAAACAGGAGATTTCATCCCAGTGAGCGTCCAACAACTTGGTGACATTTTGAAGTTATTTGGCGGCAAACCCAATCACAATGTGGGCTTTCTAAATTCACTAACACTGGGAAAACTTGCACGCGAGTATACTGTCACTTTCTCTGCCAAGTGCGAGAAGACTGAAAACCCCAAAAACAAGAGGCAAACTCTGGGTCATAAAGATACGCTGGTACATATAGTGATATACGGACTCAGCGAGGAGATGAATGCTGTTGGAAACCTTCTCTCCGAGGGTGGTCTGTTTCTCCAGCATCCAAGTCACAGTGACGCCTCCGTGCCTTACAAGAATCCTCAGTTTTTGATGGCACCAGGGACCGAAATGCCACGAATTGAGGACCTAGGCAATGACTCTTCTCCAAATATGATGACAATAAACCAGTGCTTGGGCAAAGAGTGGGCCAACGAAGTATTCCAAGCTTTCGAAACCGTGGATGGTCCAGCCAAATTTGCCCCTGTTGAATCAAGCCCGCGGCTGCAGACAAAGCTCAAGGAGTAAGTGGGATTTTCCTTGAGCCGCCGTCTTCTAACACCCTGCTAATAACTTGAAAGGCATCAAATCAAGGCTCTTTCTATGATGACTGAAAAAGAACGTGGTGTCATCGAAGAGGCAGATTTCCCATCTCTATGGGAGGTTCTGCGCGACTTTGATGGTAACGTCAGGTAAATCTCCAGGTTATTCACAAACAAATATTAGAATCTTACCATATGGCCTATGATAGGTATCGACATACTATCACTAGAATAACACACAAAACTCGCCCCCAGCCCCCTGCTGGAGGAATACTAGCTGATGTCAGTTGTTTCTTCGTTGTGGTCTCATCAAGAGATTTCTCTCTTACACTCAACAGGAAATGGGGCTCGGCAAAACACTGAGTGTACTAGCACTCATTGCGTGGTACCTTGATAGTTTGCCTTTTCCGAGGACGGAACCGAGCACGACACTCATCATCACGACACTATCTAGTAAGACTCCATGTGTTAGTATTTAAGGACCTCCTGCTGACTATTGACAGCGATTTCCGGGTGGGAACAACAGATTTCACGGTATTATAAGTACTCCTGGTCTCATTCTTCTTCGCCAACTAATCATTGAAATAGCCACTTCCGGCCAGGGCAGATCCGCACAGCCGTGTTTCATGGCCCACATCGACGCAAGCTGATATCGGGACTATTGAATCATGATATTGTCATAACCACCTATGACACTTTGCGCAGCGAATGGTCAAGTAGGACAGAAAACAGTGTCCTATTTTCCAATCCACAGGGATGGGCTCGGGTGGTTCTTGATGAAGGTCAGGCTTCTATCACGAAAAAGAGATTCATATGCGAGTCATTCACTAATTACTCCAGATCCAGCTCATCATATCCGCTCTCATACGTCGCAAATCTTCCAGGCTACATGCCGACTTCACGCCCGGTATCGTTGGTGTCTTACAGGAACCCCAATTCACAATGGATTAGACGACTATGCAGCACTGATTTCTTTCGTTGGAGTACCTCCATTCACTGGTCCGTACGGAACAACCGCGTTTGCGACATGGTTGAAGAACCCCATACATACCCACGGCGAGAATACACTAGGAATCAAGCGCCTGCGAAAGCTAATTGCTGCGACCTGTCTCCGACGAACGAAAAACCACGTGCAAGATCAACTAAAACTTACACTTCGTGTCGAAAAAGAACAGCTTGTTGAGTTGGGTTCGGAAGAGCGGAGTCTCTACGATTTCTTTAAATTCCGGGCTTCCTCTCTTGTCGTCGGAAATCTCACTCGGCGCTCGCAGGTGGATAAGGCGCGCTGGGGAACTATGCTCTCCCTGATCGGTCTTTTGAGACTTACTTGCAACCACGGGGAGCAACTATTACCTGCAGTAGCAACAGATCTATATCACAGTCGGACCTTGTCGGTTATGAATTTTCAAGGTGACGCAAACGACTTTGAACTTGAAGGATTAGATGATCCTCCTATAAGTCTCACGCCTGACTTTCCATTGGCCCCAAACCCCCCAAATGAGGCGATCAAAGCAAATTATCGTCCCTCGTCAAAAGTCAATGCACTATTACAGAACCTTCAGAATGAGCAACGTGGAAATCATCTGCTCTCTAAAGAGCGACCCATCAAGAGGTAAGAAGCATCTCATTTATTCTAAATACATCGGATTTGCTGATCCTTCTCTGGTAATGCAGTGTCATCTTCAGTTTCTGGACAAAGATGCTTGACCTTCTTGAATTTGCACTACAAGCAAATAATTTTGTTTTCCAGCGTATTGATGGCAAAATGTCCCTTGAACAGAGATCATTGGCTCTAACGAGGCTCAGTGAGGACTCAAGTTGTACCGTGATGCTTGCCAGCATTGGAAGTGTTGCAGAAGGGTGAGTTATCAGTTAACACTTCATACAATAGCTTGTAAGATGCTGATTTAGTACAAATTTTAGAGTCGATCTTACAGCAGCCAGTTGTGTACACATGATTGAGCCACAGTGGAATCCTATGGTTGAGGCACAGGCTCTTGATCGAGTGCACCGCATTGGTCAAGTTCGCGATGTGACAGTAACTCGCTATATTGTGAAGGACTCTATAGAACTGGTACATTCGTCTCCACCATCTTCTTTTTCTTGCGCTCGATCGTTCCAGATGCTGACATGGCTTGTCGTGAGATAGTACGTTCAGGCGATTCAACAAAATAAATTGAAGCTAGTTCAGCAATCTTTCAACGACAAGATTCCGGATCAATTGACTCTAAGTGAGAGTCGATTCCAGGTGAGTAACTTAGTAGAACATTATTGCTTCCGATACTTCCACTGATAAGTAACAAGAAACTGTTAGAGGTGCTTGAATAAGAAGTAGTCTGTCTGGTCGGTGTAAAAGAAATGAAGACAGAGCAAAGATGTTAAACTCTATAAAGACCAGATAAATATATATTAAGGACATCCAAAATGCACTTAGACACCAATAATTTATTGCTCGGGTTCGCTTCAAAATAAAAAGAGCTGTCAGTATAATTCATCTAAGCTGGGTCAAGGCACCAGCTCACCTTGTAGATCTGGATCGCTGTTCTGCAGCCCATTTCACGAGCTCGTCCCAAGTCATTCCTAGCCATTTTGAGATCTGTTTGGCTCCCTTTCCCATGCCAGGACTTTTTGGTTCGCTGTCCTTTGTGCGCTGATGAAAAGCATTCGGGTCTGCTCCTGCAAGGAGGAGAAGTTTCATCAATTCAGCTGCTTCCCTGGTCTTTTTCGCTGCCGCCGCCATCAATGGAGTGTATATCGTTTTGTTATTGGGGGACTTTGAACTCCTGAAGTCCACAACTGCGCCGCAGTCAAGCAGGGCTTTGACTATTGATACTGAGCAGTTCGAGGATGCTAATTCCCTCAATACAAAGCCCAGTTCGTTTATGGTTAGATGACCAAGCGATGCCTGTTCCCTCACGAGACTTGCTAGTCTTTCGTCTTTGGTGGGATCTTTTCTAAAACGACACAGGTAAAGGATTATATTTCCTGTTGTCGGTCCGTACGAGTACGAGTTAAAGTGCGCTTTCCATATCTCAAAGACTTCATATGATTCTGCCTCTGCACCGAGTTGCAAAAATTCCCGTTTGTTTGATCCGTAATAAGGAAATCGGAGAATCAAGTGTTTAGGAATGAACCATTTCAAAACCTCAACATTCGCGCCTTTGATTGACTCAATGGCGCAGATAATATCAAAAGCACTGTCGTCTCTGTCCAATTGATTAAAAAGACATTGGAAAATCTCCAATGTCCCAGAGAACGCAGCTTCTTGTAGAAGGCTTCTCTTTGGCCTGGGTGTCAAGTGCTTGAATTTCGGACACAGTGCCTTCACTTCGGCAGTCATTCCCATTGCAATCATGTCCGACAATAGTGGTACAAGCTCATCGTCATCAGGATCTTCAATTAGCTGGATAGGTTTCAGAGGTGTATCAGGATGGCAATTTGATGTGTGTCTCTTCAGTTCACCCGAGGAAGAAAAACCTAACGTCGAAAAATCGCACGACGGTTGTGTACATTTGTATGTGCGATCATGAAGTCTGCAATGCGCTTCACGGGCTGATCTTGTTTCGAATGATATCTGCTGGGACTGGCAGATATGGTATTTACACCTGAACAGACGCTCCCCGTAGAGCCTCTTCAACTTGGGACAGCTACAGCTAGCCAAGTGATTTTCTGTCGGGCATAAAAGTGATTCAAACTGCTCATAGATTCCCAGCGAGGCGTATGATAAAAAGAACGGATCCAGATTTGTCCACGAATCATCTGAAGCAGGAAGTGTGATTAGCAAGACTATCATTTTGTCCTCGTGAACGATTTAATGAGCTCTGTTTGCGAATACCTTTCTCGTCTTCCTCCAACTTCCAATCACCCACATCCATGCGGTGAAATTGGAGCTCTTGATGCAGAAGCTTGTGTACGTTTGGTGCACTATCTCTGAATATTTGAAACTCGTCTCTTTGTTGAGAGTCGAAGTCTGCCATGGTTTCGTAATTCCCGTTCTCACATTCGTCAACGAAATGACAGAGGCCACGAAGCAGGCCATCTGGGGGAGAACAGTTGTCCAATAGTCTTGCGCATCTTTGAACTAACACTATCCATTGTGTAGCAGCAAACCAGTGCAGGCGGTAAGAACCTGAGAGTATGTTTTGTTTGATCATATCGGGTTCAAAGTCGACTTCAAATATGTTGAAACACAGATAATGCAGGCATGTCCTGGCCATTTCCAGATTGGCTTCCAATTCTCGAACAAATTGATTGTCTTGTTTGTTAAAGAGGTACCTGACCTAGTCAGCTACAATCTTTTCACTTATATGCGCAAGGAAAAACTCACTCCTTAACGGTGAAGTGCACGAAGTAAACATGATCATCAGAGGTTTCAACGATAGGCCCACAAAGCCGAACAATATTTATCACGCTCTGGGAGCGAGGCAGTTCACCATCTTGGTCAAGGTTGAGACTCAAAGCAAAACTGAGTTCCTGGATTTTTATTGGAATTGGAGAGCATCCTATCCATCCCAGGGCTCGTCGAGACATCACCTTCAACGAAGGTTGCAGATCATTAAGGCGCTGGAAAACACGGGCATACCTTGAATGGGAATTAATGGTGAAAATTTATACTGGCTTTGGTTGAGAGTATCTTACGCTTCATCCAAGCTCTCCGGGAGAACTGTTAATTCATTTTGAACTAGATCAAAGGTCTGGCACATTTGAATGTTGTCTATCACCACTCTTGCGTACAGAAACATGCCTAGAACCAAGAGCCCAAATGCTTAGTACTCTATCTTTAAAATTTTACGAGTGTGGAATCACCTTTCGCTTTTTTCGCTAGTGGGATCAGCAAACTCCTGATCTCTGAACACGCATGTTCATCAAATCCAGATTGGGTGAGCCACTCTTCACTTTTCACGGAGACGTATGCCTGGATGCAGCCACTGTTATTGTCATCGACGCGAATAACCTTTGAAGTGGTCTTTAACACTGCAGCAATTTCATCTGATGCTCTACTGCTGATGAGTAGTCGTGTTTCAGTCGAGCCCTTCAACATATCTAGGAGTTCCTTCAGAGTTTCCACCCTGCAGTTGCTCTCAGGAAGTTCATCAAGACCGTCAATGATGATGTAGGTTGGGCTAACACAATTGAGTAAGTCTGTCAAGGTTTCGAGAGCAAACCTGGTGTTACTTTTCAGGTTCCTTCGACTTGACTGGAAAGCGGCAACGAGCTTAGCTTGTAGGTCTTGTTTCAGAGTTTGATCAAAATGCTCCATTCCAATAACCATCTGGAATATTAGGGAGTGTATGATCGAAACCGTCGACACGTTACCTTGCTTGTAGCTCAGAAATGCAAATAGTGTTGTGCGTGATAGACCTCTCAACTTGTCCACAATAATGGATGAAATGTGAGTTTTTCCTGTTTACAAGACCACCTGTTAGCAATATTTACTGAAACATTGCGGAGGTTTCAACTCACCTGCTCCGGGTATCCCTTGCAGCCAGACAACCCTTGTTGATTTATCACCTGTGTCAATCCATTTTTTCAACGTCTGCTCCCTTTGAAGCCAGCGTCCGGTTCGCTCACAGATTGTCCGTTGTAATCTGTCGAGCTCATCGTCATAGAACTTTGGCGAGATGTAGTCTTCGACGCTTTTGAAGTCTTGCCGCTCCTGGAATTCAAAGGTTTGCTGCCATCGTTTCATGTCTTCGATTCGGGCTCTATGCGCCCCACTGATATTCTCCAAAGTCACTTGGTCTGTCATCAGTAGACAATGCTGCTCAATACTGCTGACGACGACATTGATTTTGTCTTTGTGTCTTGGCCAGACAGAATCGAATATCAAACCCCAACCTAAGGTGAATAGTGAGCATCTTGATTTCTCCATAAAGTGAGGGGATTGTACGCTTCGAGGCAAAGAAATTCAACACAATTTCGTAGAAGTCCAAGATATCCTTGTAGAACAATACTAACACATCGGTGACTCGATCATTCTCCTCAAAAAGCACGGTATAGGCCTCGAATAGTGGTAGCTTGTTCCCAATGACAGCTATAGCTTCCACGATAGCATCAAAAGTCTTTGTAAAATTCTCTGTCATTTGTAGGAGAAGCTTGATTGGCCCCCAAATCAACGCCAAAATTTCGGGCTTCGCCGAAACAAACACCTCGATGACTCTGGCATACTCTTTCAATCGATCCAAGTATGGCTTGATCTTGCCAAGATTCCGTAGCCCATTGGATTTACTTTGTTTCTCCTGAAGTTGAGTAGTAAATTTATAAACATCCTGCATCGAGGTAACGTTCAGGACGCTGTCGAATAGTGAGGGGTCTTTGAGTGACGCCAAGAACTCTTGTTTGGCATTCTGAAACGCCCCAGAAAGGCGTGCACTATTGTGAGATGCCATGATGCTAATTCGAAGATGGTTAAAGTGTTCACTATTTGATCTGTTTCCCCTCATTGCGGCTCAACGACATACGTGGCGCAGCACTAGTAGAGTCGGGTATCGATGCATACAATTTAATCCATCCAATCTTCGACCTGTGCTCTTTCATTGTCACTCTTTCTAAACTAACCCCCCTAAACTTAGGGTTATTGGGTGAAATTTGAGATGTAAATCACAATTTTTACTAAAATCGAAATAAGTTGGCCAATTTTATTATTACAATTATAACTTCAAGCTTGGCCTTGCAAGGTTTGTGTAGCAAATTGATTTGAGGTGAGGTTAACCGTGCACTCCGGAGGTTAGTCCCACGGTCTAGGCCCGGTGAATCCATGGATATATACATAAGGTTATTACCTCAAGCAGCAGGTTCAGACAAGTCCATGTTCTCGGCGAGTGCTCCCTGGCACAGTCTACCCTCGACGGGAGTACAAAACAAACTTCAAGACGTTATCTTCACATTCCAATTTGCGCGGACCATCTTCGTCCTCTTGGTCTCAGCGAAAACCCTCCCACAAGCTCTCACACTATCAGCAATAAGCACTATGTATACTCATTAGCCTAGTTCTCACCAATTCTGATACAAAGAAAAACGGAAAAACCACTTACAGGCCGGAATAACAATCCAGAATCCATTCAGCAACACAAAATACCCATAAAAGTAATACCCCTCAGGCCTCGAGTACTCAACCCCATACACCAGAAAGTCAAACGCACAGGTCCCGTAGTAGAGTACATCGCCGTAAAGTTGTCCAGTGGAGATGATAATCTGCAGCGGGTGTCGGAAGGGATTATCCGTGACGATGAAATATGCAAGGACGAAGGATAACGGGCCCCAGCACCAGGCGGTAATGGACTCCATGGACATGACAAAGGCATGCGAAGTGAGATACCGCGAATCAGACATAGAGTACTCTTTCCAGAGTTGTGCAAGGAGATGTTGGGAGCCCGGAAGGGTGGCGAAGAATAGGGCGTAGTAGCCTTCGAGAATGAGATGGATGCAACCGCCTAGTCGTTTATTAGTACTAGGTATGCATAGATAAGGGGAGGGAAGACATACATAGTGTAAACCAGAGAGCTTTGGAAAGTTCAGGGATCGTAATGCGAGGGTTTACACTCGTTGCGATGGTTTTGGCGGCTGTTAGGGCGATTAAGCACGTAAAAGCGAATGTTGAGACCAGTTGTAGGCTGCTCCATTGGTTAGGGACGTAGTTGGGGATCTCAACCCCCATGGGGTAGTAAGAGTGGGGAGGGGTCATGGTGGATTTTCACAAATGAGTGGGGTGCTAGAAAGAAGCGTAATTTCAGGGGCTGATCTGAGATTTAAGGAAAACCCCATTCGCTGGTGCCTATGTTAAGACAAACAGGAGTCCGATGGTGATACGATCCGGAAAGAGGTGCGCTCAGGTTCCGGGTCGCGCCTTTCTTCACGCCAAACCGTCTATTTCCCATTTGCTGGTGCCTATGTTAAGACAAATAGGAGTCCGGTGGTGATACGATCCGGAAGAGGTGCGCTCAGATTCCGGGTCCGCCTTTCTTCGCACCAAACCGTTTTTTTTTTTTTTTCATCGTTATATGAATATCACCACGGAGTAGGTTGTTTTTGATGGGTTTAGACCCACTGGATCTACTTTTGATCCTATATCTTCTATAGGCCATGGTTTCTATTTGGTGGTCTACCTCAATCCACCCATGTAAGGTGGAGAACCTGGGTGCGATGTGTCAGCTTCAGAACGGCCCTTCTCGCCCGTGCTCTACACATTTCATCCGTCTCTTTTTTTGAAGTCCAACCTGACTTATCTCTAGGCGAGAGCGTCGAACAAGAGATCAACCTTGGATTGGAGAGGCAGGTCGAGTTGTTGGCTTAAGGCAGCAAGTGCAGGAAATGACTACTCTCTACAAGCCTTGTTGCAGAAAGGTGCTGATGTCCACACCAGAGGGCCTAAAAGCTGGCACAACACCATTCGGAATGGTTTCGGTAACTAAACGATTAACGCTAGAAAATTGATCCTTGGATACGACGCCACGCCAACAATCACTCATTCAATCGATAATTTATGCTGGATATCACGAAATCAAAAGCCCTTAAGGATATCGCGTAGTTTCTGGAGAGACTCGTGCGTATCTTCATAGTCTGTACCAAGGGTTTCTCTGCTCCTTCCCAAGCCTGTCGGTATACGCGTTTAGCTTCGGCATCCTTGCCTTAGCGATCGAGAAGGCGGCCTAGGCAGTGGATAGAAAGAATCTTGTCTTTTTGTTTACACCAAGAATATCTCGACGGCCCTCAAGAGCCTGCCGATATATTCTGTCTGCTCCGTCGTCCTTGCGTTGGTAGAAGAGAGCTTGGCCTCAGTGATGAAGACACTCGAGCGTGTCTTCCACTGGCGTAGTCAGATTGAAAGGTATTGTGGTACGTGTCTTCATGAATCTCCACGTTCAGTTTCATATCCTCTACAAGCTCTTTGGCCGCCATTGTAAGACTTGTGCTTTGGTTCACGTTGTGCTCATGATGAATAACATATGGTCAAAGGCTAGCTGGAACAAACAGAGGTAAGAAGTACAGCGCTGACAAGTTGCTCTGCACTGCGCCCTGTTTGTGGACACGTCCAAAATTCAGGTGAGTCTCATCCAGATTTAGCTAGAAAATGCCCAACCCGCACCTAGCTGCATTTGTATCCACCAATAAGCAGTGCTTATCCAGATGTACGCTCCCGGCCGAAAGTGCGGCTATCTTGGAAGGGAAACTTGAAAAAAGCAGAGTGCGAAATCAAGTGGAAAATTCATTAATACAAGAGGATAGAAGTGAAAAAAAGAGGAGGGAGAAAGGGATAGAAAGGGCAGTAGTCATTATTAGCTATAGCAGATACGTGAGATCATAGATTGGCTGACATGTAGCTTACCGCCCCGGACAGCGCGACGTTGGTGCGTGGTAAACATTCGAGAGCTACAATATAAGGGAGCATCGAGGTCACGTACTGTCATGTTGCCGTTTTAATCCTCAATGTGATAAGAGGCTCAATTTACCTTGTCCACCAAGGCCTACGCGGCCCCATGTGGGTGTTAGGGGGCTTTTTAGTATGGAGTGGTAATCAGGGGTATTATTATCCTTCAATTAAACAAGCTCAAGGTGCCAGCAAAGTAGAATAATACTATATTGAAATCTGAAAAGGCACATCGTCCTTGGATATATATACACGCCGGAGGCACTGCCATCAGTTCTATCACCGGAATATTGACATATCCACACAAAAGAAACAAAAATGAACAGCACTCTTAACAAAAATGAACAGCATTCTAACAAAGAAAATACAAAACATCAAGTTTCAAATATAATCATCTTCAACCACTAACAGCAGGTCCACTGAAAGAGCGCTAGCGCTTCTCCTGAACCTCCTCAATCTCCTGTCCACTGTCACTGCTGAGACCAAGCTCGCTCTTCTCATGTGAGACATGCTCATTGGTACTCAAGCCCAGGTCGCGAGATTGTTCGAGAATCTGTTCCAAAGTGAGCTTGGGCATGTCGTGGGCGACCCTGAATGCCATCTTCCCTTCGGCAGAGGCTTTGGCGTAGATTATGTCGACCTCCTCAAGCTCACGTCCAGCTGTCTCAACATAGAAGAAGAAGCCGAATACCAAGCCGATGAAGTTGAACAGTGCGAAGAAGACATAAACGCCCCATGCACTCTGGCCAGCGAAAAGCGGCGTGAACATGACAACAGCAAAGTTGCAGATCCAGTTGGTGCAGGTCGATGCCGACGCGCCCACGGTACGGGTACGGAGAGCGTTGATCTCGGGGGGGTAGATCCAGGGGAGTGGCAACAGAGTGAATGCAAAGAAAACGATAAAGAGGAAGATACCAACGGCAGCACCCTTGGCATTTTGCTCGTTCTCCTTAATCAAGCAAGCGAATGTGATGACAAAACTGAGACCTTGGCCAAGGAAGCCAATCAAGTACAGATTGCGACGGCCAACCCTCTCAATCATGAAAAAGGAGGGAATGGTTGCAATGGCGTAGACGGTAGCGAACACACCACCCATGATCAGAGATAGGGTTTTCTCCATGTGCAGGTTCTCCTGGAAAAGTAGGGTTGAGTAGTAGATAGCAGCGTTACAGCCGGTGAACTGCTGGAAGAACTGGCCAGAGCAACCGATAAGAATGCGCTGGAGGTCCTGGGTCTTGCTGGCCTTGAATATCGACTTCCAGCCTGCCTGGTTGCGCCTCGAGGCCTCCACATCCTGCTTCAAGAAATTGAAGTCGTTGAGCACTTTGTCGTCTTCAGGAGTGGTACCATTGAGCCTAGCGAGCACCTCGCAGGCCTCCTTGTCATGTCCTCTAGACACAAACCACGATGGGGAATCCGGGAGCAACAAGGCACCACTGGCCACGACCATGGCGAACAAGATCTGGAGTGCCACTGGGAATCGCCACTGGACGCTATCTGCGGCGTGCGAGAGGCCGAAGACTACCCAGTAGGCAATAAAGGTGCCACCAGCGATCATCGCACCTTCAAAGCAGACCAGGAATCCACGGTTGTGGGCGCCGGAGCATTCCGATTGCCACACAGGAATTGTGGCCGTGTTCATGCCATTGCCAATGCCGGATACAACACGGCCGATAACGAACTGACCGACTTCCCAATTTCCGGTGAAGCAGACAGATGTAATCACGGCACCAATGATCAGGATACTGGCACCCGTAAAGATTAGGCAAGTGCGGCCAAGTTTGTCGCCGAAAAACATGGAGAATAACGCGCCGAAGAAACATCCAAGCTCATAGCAGGATGTGACAGCACCGCGGATGACGTTGATGTATCGTTCTTGCTCCGAGGTCGCATCCTCGGGCATTCTGAGGATTGGGAAGGAGTTTACAAACTCGTCGCCGTTGAGGAGGCCGGCCATCATGCCCTGATTGTAGCCGAAGAGCGAGAAACCCATGACAGCAGCGACGGTGATGCTCACCCGGAGCGATCGACCACTCAAGCCGCTGGTGGTTGTCCACATGTTGACGGTACGGACAAAATAGTATCCGTCAGTATGGGGGGAGGGAGGCGGGGTAAAATAAAGATGGGGAAGAATGGGGACGGAGGAGGTGACGGTCTTATAGCAAACACCTCCATGGGGGATGTAAAATCCTGATACTGCAACCATGGTTACGCCCCAAATGGGAAAGTCTAGCGAACGCCATGTTCCCGAAGCGGAGACCTTGGCGCTTGACGGGTCCACTCGGCGGGGTACTCGGCGGGGCTACGGATCCACGGGTCCAAGGGTCAGGGCGCGGATGACTAATTTGGAGACCGCATTTGGGCACCCGACTGGGCAGGGGCACACCCGATTTCCAGTGTCTAGGGATCTCTATGATTGAAATCCATCATACTTTTACTATGTAGTTTATTCTACTCTTCTCCCTTTGATATAATACATAATAATGCCTACTCATATTCTACCCTCTTAGTATGCCTTACTACGCCAAGGCCCTTTCGCCCCACATGACGTCGAAAACTCTTGGCCAAGTTTCTCAAATCGGCGCTAGAAAAAGTTTGCCCAGAAGTTGTCCAACTCCGGACCCAACGACACCTAAATCTTTGCGGCACGGCATACGTCACACGGACCGGTGCAATCTCCCTTTTTGTATCAAGCCGGCTTTCCGACCACGCCGTGCGAGCGAGTGGCACGTGGGATCGGGATTGTCTCGGCATCCCCGTATCCAGCCGTATGTATGTTTTCCGGGGGCCAGCCACTCGGTCATGGTTCCTGGATCTCCTGGGGTCACCCCAAGGTTCAGTCTTTCTCAACCGGTACATTCGCATACATATACTATCCCGACTTTTTAGTAATCGCCCCCAAGCGCCCAATCCACCTACCGGATTGAGCTCGGGTTTCGCTTTTTTCCCTTCTCCATACGCCAAGAACTGGAAAATCTCAATCCACCCCCTTTTAATCTCGCGTACCTAGTATTATGGCATGGTTAGATGCGATTTGCATAGACAGCCGAATTCCACCGATGGTCTATAATCTTTTCGGTGCCATGGATTGATTTGTCGGTATAGGAAAACATTAGTAAAAATTGAAACGGGGTTAACCAGCAATACAAAGACTTACACTGCCAGGAGAAAGGCAAGCGTACAGCCTAATACATAATGGCGACGACGTTAAGGACTCGCTAGACTTTCCAATGTGTGTCTGTATCTGCGCGATGGATTACATATGCAGTTTTTTTTAATACCCCTAGACTACAAAAGATGGACAGAGTATATCGATAATAATGGCATCGAGAACGAATACTATATAGTCGAGTAGCCAGACAACCTGGGAAGTTGGAACACCAAATAATGCACTTACTTTACAAATTCAAAGGGAGATTTCTGGGAACTCCTACGTAAGATTATCTAGATATGGGACAATTCGGCGAGGGATCGGCAAGCAAATAAAGTCTACCAAATTATACTCCGTAGAACTGAGGGAGGTAGAGCGATTAAGCAGCGGAAATTGCTAGGGTCGCCAAGGATGACGGATGTGGCGGACCTTCCAAGGTTGGTACTGCGGGTGAGAAAGTAAAATGCCTCACTAAGGTGGGAACACATAGGGCGACGGGACAAAACGGGGCCAAACCTTGGGAGAGCGCTAAGCCAAAGGCGTCAAGGCTGTAGCCAATTATCGTGCACATTTCGAATGGAGGCCAATTCAGGTACGCCACCGTTATTAAATACAGTATTCCTTTTCAAACTCATACCAATTAAATACAACAATGGCGCGAGCCACATGCTGATAAAAGTGATTAATAATTATTACCCGTATTGGTATTACTGGAAAAAAAGAAGCAAAGTGGCGTCTACGCATTAGCGCCCCTTCTTGGCCGGACGCCAGTGTCGTGGAAGCTCATGTATTCAACCATGGTGTTCCAGACGTTGACAGAAGACATACTACAGTATTTTCCATCATAGCAAACAACTTGGGGATGTGGTGCTGAAATTATCGGTACCAGTGCTCTTGTAACGGTGCTTTCAGTGGTTCAACTGTTATGGAAAATGTAACCCTAGAGTTTCATTGATGTTGTTTCCGATGATCGAATCTTCGTCATCGATACAGACACGATATGGTGCTTACTAGAGTGGTCGAGAGCTAGAATGACAATATAATCTTACCAGTATGATCCAAGCCCGACAATCCAGTAGCTTCGCTCCTCAGCGACAAGACTGTTTTTGGAGTTCTCAAATGAAGCCTGAGTCTCTTCGCCCAGATTCATTTTTGTTTTCTCATATTCAGCAGCGGCAGCCCGAAGCGGCCAGAACCTTATCAATGGAGCATAGGATTACACCATGGCTGCTTCCTAATGTCTATCCCGCTTCTTCGACAGCGCACAAAGCCTGGTACCAGCCTATCGAACGTCATCCTGATGGAGCTGGATAGTTTTAACTCAGGCACGAAAGTACCCAGTGATTTGAATCATATAAGGCTCCCTAATTGATTCACATATGAGGATTTGAGTTGATTCAAACACCCCTTGGCCTTTGTGGCGAATGAAGCTCCTAATTAGGGCAAGTTGCAATAGTCTACTACAGGCAATATTCCTAACCTCTTTTATAGAAAACCTGTAGTTCGGTAAGTGGGCTCTCAACTGCCTAGTCAACATCTATCATCCCTGCTTAACAAACCGACAAGCTGTAGATTTAAGCTCCATCCTCGGTAAGATGGAATTCTGTTATTTCACCACTAGTCCCAGATTCGCCTGCCCATATTTGCTTGGCCGAGCAATGTCTCGAACGAATTGATACCGGTATATCGCATGCGTTGAAAAGGAAAAGGGGATCAAAAGCCAAAATACCATTGGGCCCTCCTTCTCGGGCTGTGGGAAATTCAGTTCCCGTACTGTCGCCGCTGTCTTCTCCTATCCAATAGACGGAGTGTTGTTGAGAACCTTGTGCTGTTTTTCTTTGAGCAGTCGACTACAGTCCTTTGGAGACTCCTCGCGCTGCCGAATGGAAGCTCCTGCTTGATCAACCGAATCTACTCATATAGCAACCTAGCCGGTCATAATCCTTGCATTGTTTGATTACAGGCTAATATACGCGATTACACATGTATAGAAACCGAGCCTAGCTAGGTTCGAGACCGTGCCTTAATCCCCAGACACTAATTCTCTAGATTATATTATGTACTCCGGATTTTCGCTTAGATCTACACTGTATGATCCTATACATTGTACGCGCTCTAATCATAATGTAATAGACACATCTGATATAGCAGACACTTCAGAATGTATAAAATGTACGCAATTCCAAATCGCAATTCCAAATTGCAATGCCAGGATCGTCGGAATAGTTTCACTCGACTACAAAGTATGTCCAGAGTACTTGATACCTCTCAAACCCCAGCTCACTTCGTAACAGCCAGGTATTTCCGGGGTGCTAACAGGCAAAAGCTGTTGGTCCCGCATTGCAATTCATGTACGTGCAGCGTCAAACAAAGAATTGTTGGAGAGCAGGGATACGACCCTATGCAAGCCCCTTCTCCGGCACTCCGGCTTTACTTGCTGCATCTGCGCGAATCATATTTTTTTATGAACCGAGAAAGGTGCACAGTTATGAAATCAGCAAGGCGAGGAATATATACAGCTGGCCGCTTATGCGACCTTGTGGTGTCTTTTCAGTGGTCCTCAGATGTTCTGTTTATATGTTTTTTTTTTAAAGATATTTTTCCCTCTTCTCTGTTTTATACAGAAGTAGACAGATGGCTGAAAGAAAGAAGCTTGGTGAAAACGACTTTTCAATGTATAAGCTGGGATTCCAGTGAGGGGAAACTTATTAATGATAGTCCCACTTCTCTGCATATTGCTTACAACACGTACTCCGTACAAAAATCTGCGATCTTAGCGTTCTCGAAATCCTTTCCCAGAAACCAAATTATTCCTTCAGTCGAGTCATGTCAGATACATTGGAGCGGCCAACCTATCATGTAGGAATTTCTCTGCACCTGCCAAGATCGAGACTGAAACCCTTATAATGACTAGGATGCAGTGGAAAAATTGAATTCCACTCAGTCGGGATTCAAGGTGCTAGATGAAAGAAGGCGTCTTGGTGGAAAACTGGGTAGCACGGTCGTGGAACAGATGAGAAAATGGATATGCCGCATTGGGTACGATGTGAGTTGATTCCAGAATCTTTTCCATTGGTGGGCCCTGTCTAACTGGTGTGTCACTGCAGATCAACGATCTAAATCGTCTAAATGTCGTTCATGTTGCGGGTACGAAAGGAAAAGGCACCACATGTGCTTTTGTCAATTCCATCCTTCAGAGCTACCAACAATCTGTTGGGGTTCCCCGTAAGATTGGACTCTATACCTCCCCTCATCTGGGGGTGGTAAGGGAGAGAATCCGAATCAACTCCTCTCCGATTTCAGAGGAGCAATTTACCAAGTACTTTTTTGAAGTCTGGGATGCTCTCGAATCAAGCGCAGTCAGAGAAGGTATTGATCCCGCTTATAAGCCCACCTATTTCCGATTCCTCACTCTCATGGCATTCCATACTTTCATAAGAGAAGGTGTCGATGCAGCTGTCTTTGAAGTTGGAGTAGGAGGTGAATTAGACTCAACAAATATTATTCCACAGCCGTCAGTGACTGGTATCACGACCCTTGGGATCGACCATGTGTCTGCACTCGGCGATACGATCGACAAGATAGCATGGCATAAAGCAGGAATTTTCAAGACTGGGTCACCCGCCTTTACCGTTCCTCAGTTGCCTAGCGCTATGGAGGTCCTATACCAGAGAGCGAAAGAAAAGAACGTCAACCTCGTTACTGTTGTAGTCCACCCTGCTCTTTCCGATATTGATCTCAAGCCAGCGGAAGATTTTCAAAGGACAAATGCTTCTCTCGCTATTAGCCTTTCACTTTCCTTGTTGCAAAAACTCGGAATTCAAGTGGACCTTGGCCATGAAAAACTTCCCGAACAATTTATCCAAGGTCTCAAAAACATGGTATGGAGAGGAAGATGTGAAACTCTTACAACCGGAAAGCAAAATTGGCATATTGATGGTGCACATACAGAAGAGAGCCTTAAGTTAGCGGCCTCGTGGTTTGGGCGCGTCACAAACTCACAGTCAGTCCAGTCAAGGTAGGAATTTCGCCACTTCATCATCCTAACAGGTCTCGTCTGACACTTATCGAACTAGGGATACCCCAAGGGTGCTCATCTTCAATCAGCAGTCTACAAGAAATGCCGAGGTGCTTCTTCGAGCTGTGCATAGCGAGTTATACAACAATTGCAACTTGAGGTTTCAGCATGCGCTATTCTGTACGAACGTAACCTACAAAGGCAACGCCTTCAAAATTGGTAGGGTCTACGCAACGCACTAGGTCGGCTCTCGAGAAGATTACTAATGCAGGAAGTTGTTTACAGACTGCACCAACCGGAATGTCGATCCAAAGGAACTCGAAAGCTTGAGCCTACAAAGGCGCATGGCTGAGCTTTGGCATCAGTTTGATCCCATGACAGAGACAGCGGCGTTAGCATCAATCGAAGAAGCCATCGAATATGCAAAGAACATTGCCTGCGACGTGGATAAGACAATGATTCTCATTACTGGAAGTTTACATCTTGTTGGTGGTGCACTTTTGGTCTTGGAAGGGGAGAGCTTCGCCCTCCAAAAAGCCACAACTTAGGAAATAGGTGGAAGGCAGACAAATGGCTTCAAAGTAGGACTTGAAAAAAAATTCCAAAGCAAAGCTACTACATTGTCAGAACCAAGATTCGATTCCTGTCAATTTCAATGTTTGCATGTGCTGGTTTCCGTGAGGACCATGAATCACAGTATGAAATTATTGGATGTCATATTTCTTCCTTTCTTTTCCCCGATCTAGTCGATAGATACAAGACAAATCATATTAATCTCTCCCGATCTCCCCTTCTCCTTGATCTTCCCGCTTTCCCTCAGAATTGGGCATTATTAAGCGTGTTTCCAGCATTGGTTGGGACGCTTGCCCGGGCTTCCGAAGCTGCACTTGCAGTAGCAACGGTCAGTCCAGCAAAATTAGAGAAGAACTTAGTATCAGTATTCGTAAACGGAGCCCCACTGTCTATTTGAATCTTCGCCACGCAGTCCCTCTTAAGGTCGCCGGGGCATGCTTTGTTTGCAGTAGCACTTGGCGAGCTAAAGAGTTGACCGACGAGATCCCCTACAATTTGGCTGACATTGTTGAAGACACAGCCTTCAATGAGACCTTGGTCATCATCGGTGCCCTCAAGTGGCGTGGCCGTTGTTATTTTCCCACACGCTATTGACGGCGTGGAAGAGCTTCTTGCCGCTTAGTGCAGGACTCCGGCCAGATGTGCTGTATACGTAGCTGAACATGTAAAAGCTAAGCGCCGGGGGGGGTGCGATTACACGGGCAATCACGAGACACCCTACGCTCAGCTCTTGCTCCCAGAATCTTTGTCTCTGACCAATCCAGTCTCGTCTTCTGAATCGTGTACCCCACTTCTCGCATAGTCCTGTCAAACTTCTCCAGCACAGGCAATAGTGGGTCATGCCCCATCTCCACATGTCAGCGAAACGCCCCAGACTCATCCCGGAACCCGCCAAGACGCAGCTGGCTCGAGCTTCTCCAGCTTTAAGCCAGCATGCTGGACCATCGAACCCATCAATCCATTCCGACCGTCTGTCACTCGCCTATATGTCTCCATTGAATACATTCGTAACGGACACTTACCAAGTGTTCTAAGAAGCTGGCATCGCCCATGAAGTTCAGCTGAACGACGAGACGGAACTTTACACGGTTAGTAATGAGCTTAGTTTAACCGGGAGATTTATCCGCAATGTCTGTGACCCAGTTATCAAAGCCCTCGAACCGGTGCCAGGTATGGCGTCAATCCGATTTGCCGATTTTCAGGCAATCTCCACCCCAGAAGACACTATCCCAGACGTATGTTTAGGGCTGATTGCGACCTGGCCTAGACCTAGCAACGTTCATCTGGTTGGAGAAATGAAAACGCCCTGGACCATCCTGGACGAATATCTTCATCTTAACCGACCTAATACATCTCCTCGCCTCGAGCCACTGATAGGTTTGCTTATCTAGCATTCTCTCACTTTCACGTTAAGTTCGCTCACTCTTAGCCCTTTGTTTAGGTCAGCTTATTGCTTAGATGCGCACATGTTTAATTCGGTTTGGATTTTTATCCACCTACGACTCTACTGTTTTTATTAAACGAGAAACTGACTCTTCTTTTCTCCTTTCGCCGCCTATTAGGCATAGCGCTACGCAGCCTTCCCTTCGCCAGTTACTTGCTGGTTTCTGTCTAATGGCCTTATCGGAGCCAAAGTACGTTGAAAGCCCAACATTTGAGCCAAGAAATGTAAGTATTGATTAGGGTAACTGTGAGAGATATCGTAAAGCTGCTAATATATTGAGAAGCTACGGGGCCCTCCTCCTATCTGCGTCTCCGCCCGTATACTTAGAAATTTCGCTTACCCACCCCCGTCGGTGGCGAACCAAGTAGACACTATCACATCGGATAGTGTAATCATTAACACTAACGGATCTACCTCTACCCCTACAGTCGTTAACTGCCTTCAGAAGTTATCAGATCCAAGGGTCCAACACAAGGCGACCTGGTTAGTAACCATGGGTGGATCAACAGTGATACTAAAGTGCTGGGGACTTCAATACGATGAGCTGTGAGTCAAATCACTTTAACGGCTTGCTATTAGACCTACTAACTAGCTACATTTAGGTTTGATGCGGAAGCGGAAGTCTATAACCGCATTTGGGCCCAGCAGCCGGCCGGCCATCTCAGCTTCACCAAGTGGATCTCTAGGGGGGAGATTATTTGCTCGAGCATATTTTCATCGGGCTATGTTCTCGTTCTGGAGCAGAGAGACGGGGTGCGGCTTGACCGACTGTGGCATGCTCTATCCGAGACTGAACGGGCTTACATTCAGTCCGAATGCCTTAATGGCATTCATGCTTTGCGACAAGTGGGCATCCGTCTTGATGATCCTGGCAAGCACAATATTCTCTATGACAGAGAGAGTCGTGTGGTAACTCTGCTTGACTTTGAAAGTGCGCAAGAATTAGAAAGTCACACATATATCTCGACATATTTTGAGATGGGTATCATATTTGGCTCCGACCTTCTGTTAGGACGTCCACCTAGGAGTTAAGCTGAAAGTTACGGGGTTGATTAGGGTTACGGAGTCGCTTATGGTTATGGAGGCGGGCATCTCTTTCACATAATCGTAATCTAACCAAATTTTCGCTCTATATTGCATTCATGATAAATCGACTAGATTTTTCATATAGACCGAATGTAATATATCCACCTAGAGTTTATGCAATGCATTCAAGTTTCGACATTGGAAGTATAGGGGCCGGCGCAGGCGAGCTTTAACATTGGAACAGTAGCTCTACGTACCATAGGATGAGTAGGATAAGTACACAAATACAAGTCAGTTTAGTTCCAAGCTAGGGTCATATTATACTAAGTGAAAAATCGTAAATTTATTGCCACCCTCATAACGCAGACGGCCACAGCTAGGAACATGATCTGGGGAGGAGATGCGTCAAACTACAATTCGCAAGCCTACATTTCCATGATGTGCTTCTTGGAGTCTCGGATATCCGGACATGAGTCCAGCTCAAAGGTACATACATGGCGATGATGAGGGCTGCGCGTTACTTGTCGCTCATAATATTCGGATGCGCACAAGGCGAGACTCAAAATCCAGGGTTGTAGCAGACGGCCGTCTTCAGAGCGTAGATAGAAGACATACGCACCGGGAAATAATCAAGTCCCAGTCGGCCGGTCAACACATCAGGCCGTTAGCTTGCGGGGTGGTGTTACGAAGGACAAGCTCATCTTACGGGCCACCGTCGGAGGCAACGAAGGAAGTCCATCCGGAGAGCGCGGTAATTTGAAGTCACGAGGAGCGCGCCGAGAAGCCGACGAGGGAACTCCGTACAGGCTAGACAAAAGTGAGAGGCGAAGCTTCGGAGCTCGGTGGTCCAGATCAATGGCGAATACGCCTCAACTACAGTGGCCAGGGGGAAGGGGCAAAAAACCAACACGTCAAGAAGTTGATTGGGAGGGGGGGAGGTCGAAACTTATATACTACCGCGCACAGAAGATATAGAGCGAGATCATGCTAACTTCCAATATTCATAACTCCAAGAATGAAGCTAACCTTCAACAATTAATCCGATATGGTGTAATCCAGGGGGACAGCGGAAAAACCACGGTTGTACGTGGTGTTGTGGGAGATGATCGTGGTGATTCCGTATAGGCGGTTTTATAGATCTAATGAGGACTAGTGCTATATGTCTCACTAGGTTTAGCGCATGATTGTCCTGTTCTAGAAACATCGTAGGGTGGATACATCGAAGTAGGCGGGATTTCGACAATCTACCGACCCATTGACCTACAAGGCGATAAAACCCCGCATATAGGTCGGTATATTTGAATAAGGAGAAACGCCTTATTTTATGCGAAGTGGTGAAAGCTGAACGAGACCCGATATAGATTCGTAACTACCGACAAAGAGCTTATTCTGATTCGGCGACTTGACGGTGATAGACATCTAGAATAGCGGATCCTATTTAATAGGGGGCTTATAAACAATATAGCGAGAACCAATTGACTATGTTACTTGCGTTGTGGTACTTGGAAATGCTGGCATCGAAAGGGGACTAGAGATTGGAATACGTGGGAGAAATTTGCGTCCTGTAGAGAGGGTTCTGTATTAGAAAGGGAGAGTTGTAGTATATACACCTAATGGTGACCAGAAGTACTATAACTGACGACGGTCGTAGCCTGCTGGGTGCAGGAAGCAGACAGGATCGAAATAGAGGAATAGGACCATGAAACTGAGTTATCAACACCCGGTGCCAGGGTGGGTGGGCGTGGGCGCCTAATATTTCACCGCCATCAACATCAACGGGTAGCAAGATCGGTATAGTAAGTCTACATAATATAGCTAGTTAATTATATAGATGTTTACCCATGATTATAATCGACAATTACAAACTAGACGCCGCGTAGGGGCGCCCCCAAAGGGCCGTATGCTGAACCCACGAAGAGCTGACGGTTGTCATGCGTCATGGCAAAATTTTGATTATGTTTGCCTCGCAGGCCTACTATGGTGATGAGCTCGTTAGAGTCAGCCACTCTTTTTGTTGCTCAACATTTGACCGTCCATCTCCCAAGTTTGACTTGCAAAACGTTCATTCAGACCTTCTTCGTCCCCCCACCACCTCCCCCCTTTCTCCGTGTCTTCACTCCCCATTATCTCCTCGCCCCTGCATTATCTTGCAATTCGCATCTTCTTACTCTAATCAACTCTTGTGTTCCTCCCTTTTCTCTTGTCTATCTTGCCACGATGGTGACACGTATCCTTGAAGATCCACGCGACCCCGATCACAATGTCCGGATTTACGACAATGATGGAGCCCTGCTGGCAGGTAAGCAAATCTCAATATGCAAACGAGACTAGAGAATGCGAGAACGCCAGCCATTAATGCTACATCGACAGCCTTTCGGGTCAGCCCAGACTCAAGCAACAGATACCATACTTCCGAGATGTTGTATCGCTACTGTAGCATGATATTCATCTTCCAGAACCAGTCAGAGTGGTCGATCTTTAACCTGCATGCAAATGGAGTCCATGGCCAGGCGCACCGTGTTCAAGCTCGAGTCCCCATTTCACCGGACAACTATATTATCCTTGATAAAGGTGGGTAAGCGTTAGAACGTCCGTGAATGCTGGCATTTCTGATGGCAGCTGCTTCATGCTGGCAGACAGTCACCAACGGCGCATGTCGACTCGTCCCCCCTACTCTATGCACTCCTAATTTTCTATCAGTTTCTAAAACTATACAGGAGGGCAACCGATCACCGTTCAGCTCACCACTCAGAGCGCCCCACGCCGTGTTCGCACTCGAGACTACCGCACTAAATCGGCAGGACAGAACGAAAGAGACCGACTGGTACGTTGGCTTGGAAATAGCGAGAAATACATACGTATTTCTTGTGGCTAATCATTTCTACAGCAGAAAAAGTTCCGGGATGGCCTTCGGACAAGAGACACTCATTGTGTAATTTCTGGGCCCCCATTAATCCCCGATGCACAAGACCCATTTCAGACGATGGAAGCCAGCCACATCTTTCCTACAAGCATGATCCAGGAGTGGAACAGAAATAACTACAAAGGTAACTGGATTACCGACGACAGCCCTTCGAGTGAAATCGGAGAGAGTGGCCTCTATTCTCTGCAAAATGGGCTTCTTCTTGATAAAACTGTTCATAGTTATTTCGATGATTTCAAACTAGGGATCGACCCGGATGTAAGCTTCTCTTGAAATTGTGGCATACTCTTTTTTCTGCATCGAAACTGATATTTCACAAACATAGGCAGGCTACAAAATAATCATCTTTCGGGGAGACACGGCAAAACTCGGAGGGAAATGCCTCAAGGACACTGCCAGACTTGGTACCAACCCAAGAAACCGAGTCTGTGCACATCTCCTGCGTTGGCATCTAAGGATGTGCGTGTATCGAAATTTAAAGGCCAACGCCGATATTCAGGCCGTGTGGGAAGATGACCTTGGCAGCGATGATGTAGGCCAGATCCTCGAGCAGCCAGATGCTGGACACAGGATGGAGGTAGAGTTGTTCACGCGTCTGGGAGAACGAGTGGCTTAGACAGACGCAAAACCATGCCACCAACGGTCTGGATCAAATACATCGCACTGGAATCCTATCTAACTATTACAACATAGTACCGATTTAATTCTCCATTATCGTAAGCGCCATGTTTTGTTCTATATCTTCATCGCAATACTCTGTTGCTCCCTGAAATAGAATCGAGTACCCGTAATCTCGAGTTTGCATCCATATAGCCGAGCAGCAACGCGGGTCTTATGACTATCAACAATTCCCTGAACCCCCTTTGGTAACAAGGCGCCTTTGGTGACAGGGGTCGGCACTACGTAGATCGAGGCGGATGACCGCGCAAAAAGGTGGCGAAGGTCGAATAAATAGATGTTGCGCGCGATCAACGAAGTCTCCTGGCAGCTTTTCAGATCCGGGGGCCGCTCTGGAGTCTTGACATAGTCCTCGTGGAATCTTGCGGACATCACAAAAGAATCACTGTGTTGCTCTTATAAAAACTCGCGAGCTTATCAACTACTAGCTGATGCGAATGCAGCCGAGATGGTCGGGCTAGCCAAGATAAGATGAGCAGTCCGGTCCCGGTCTTCCGCAGTTCCAAAATGACACAAGCGCCATCGGCCAAGGTCGCAAGGCCTCATCCAGACTTTGCATCCCCAAGGTATATTTGGAGCCCCGCCACGCAAAGGCGATTATCCAAGGATAGCATAGGGCGAATGCATCTAGATTCACAGTAGTAGAGAAACCGGGGCCAAGCGAGCGAAAGCAACGCAGATTGCGCTCGAGGGATTGTGGAATTGACAAGTCGTATAAGAAATAACGAGGGTGGCGGAGCTCGTTCCGGATCAATGGCAAAAATGCCTCGTTGGAGAGGTGCAGATGCGTGGAAAGAAGCACAAGAGTGAAGTAGAAATCGAAGCTGTGATCTGGAGATGGATCGAAATCAGTCACACCGTTAGAATTGGCTTATAATTTCAAATTTCACTCAGAAATTCCAATAGTCCGATATGGTGTAGTGGCTAACATCGCCGTCTCTCACACGGCAGCCGGGGGTTCGATTCCCCCTATCGGAGTTTACTTTTTGTTTTTTTTGCTATTTTTCCGTATCTCTTTTTCTTTCGCAAGTAGAATGCTTGTCCAATTATGGATATCATTTGCATTAATTTAGATGGCTCTGGTGGAATCCATGAGTCACGACGCACTGTTTCCCAGGCCAAGCCACAATCGCATTCTGAGTGAGTCATTAGCATTCCCCAGGTGCTTTTGGCCCATCACAAAAAATTAAAACACTGCCACTCCGTATACAATGCCTTATGACTGAGTGTGAATCATTCCAGGGTTATCTCTCCAGTCATTACAGTGCTGGAGCCTGGAAAAGTGAAATCTAGATGGAAAATTATGTCTCTAACCTATGCCATTAATATGATATATAACAGATCCTCCAGTTTCCAGGATAGGTGCAATAAGAACCAACTCGAAAATTCCGAAAATCTTGAATGCTGGAAAGCTATGGCTTCGAATAATCCCAGTGAAACAGATGCCAATGAGACTATGGAGAAAAAGTCGTCCTCATTCCAATCGGAGCCGACAAGTCCGCCTCGAAAGCAGGATCAGCGAAGTGCTTCGCCTGAATATGACCCCAAGGCCGGCGAAAATAGACTACGCCCGGCTGGAGGTAGGTAGTTTGAAACATCTATACATCGTCAAATCTGACAAGTTATAGACATTATCAACCGCATTACTTGGGATTCGGCGTTTGAACGCAGCAACTATGTCATTGGATTCGTGGACCGATTTGAAGGACAACTGGAAATCACCATGGGCAGTTGGAAGAAGGAGACCACCGACGAGGAATTTATTCCACAGCATCGGGTGTTATATATTAGACACACGGACGGGGAAATTGTTTGGGATCGAAGGAGACGTATTGACAAAATCTTTTTAAGTGGAAATTCGGCGTTCAGAGAATTGGCCTTTCTTGCTTGAAGGTACCTTCCGACTGTTTTGTTTACTTTGTCGGTTGTCCCTTCCAATGGAAGGTCCCGAGGTCCAGTCATTTTCTCTGTCATCTTTCACTCTCATCACATACTCAACATTTGAATCAATTGATACCTAAAATGGACCCTTGTAAGAAGAAACCGTCTTTGCCTCGTTTGACCACCAACATTCCCCTACTACAGAAACCGCCCAATGAATCATGCAATGCTTTACCGAAGACCCTCCCAGATGCTAGCGCACCCGAAATCATCATGCCTGAGAAGCCGTCGAGGACTTCGTCGATGTTCAAGGAGGACAAGCACGATGAGAACATCGTGCCTGTGACACGTTTCGCGTCAGAAAGCATGCCTATCTATGTTTCTCGGAAGAGTGTGGACGATTCGCCGTTAACAAAGATGAAGAAGTTGTATTACGAAGACGCATTTACGGCCCGTGGATCACACAACTCCACCAAGGACCGTGTCACTCATGAATCTGTTGTTGTGGTTGAGCTCAAGACCAACACAAAGGTTTGTGACGCACTGACATATGCCCAGTGATCCCTCTCTGCTAACCCACCAATCAGGCAAAGGATGATGCACCCAAGTTACTGTCGGATTTCGCTCACTTCCTTGCCCAAGTCTACCAACGTCCGGAGACATCAATGCTAGTCACTATAGACCAGAACGCTGACTTGATTTTCGGAAATACCTCCGGTTCGGCATACCTGTTGAAGATCACCGCTCTCTCGAGTTTGATTGGACCGCTCACCAATATCCGTAACACGGGCCTAATTCAATCAAATATCCAAGAGATGTTTGGCATTGTGCCTGACAAAGGTGTTGTGATCTACACCCCAGCAAGCGAAGACAATCTTGCAACCAATGGGACGACCGCCAGGAATGAGATCGACCGCCTCGAACGAATGGATTCTGGCAATAGCCCCTCGATCTTCAAGTCTATTTCGCGATCGATGAGTCGTCGCATGAAAACGAGTAGCGGCAATAGTGTTCCAATTTCGCTCACTTCAGTCATGAATCCTGACGTCACAACCCCTACTTCAACTTCTCCCGTCACTTCAAGTCAGGTCCCTCCGCTGAGGCCACATCAAGCAGATAAAAAAAAGCCGGTAGAGTCACCAAAGGGTGAACCAATGCAGCAGGCTTTAGCCAAGGACGAAAAACCCGAACGAACCTTGAAGAAGAGAGAGAGCTTGAAGAGTTTTGTTAACCGTCGTCTGGGCGAATTGGGCGAGCTGACCACAATGAAACCATTCACAGCCACAAAGGGAAAGAAGGATTGACTTCTGTTTGAAAATCGAAGAGGACGGGCGAGTGCAATGAGTGATGTTTTGGACTGCATTGGAGTATCTTCTTAAGCCCTGCTTTAGCATATGCCTTCGCTGTAGCAGACCATTCGTTCTATATGATTATACCATGCAGCCTTGGCTACAGTGTTTCAGGTCTCCCTCTTGGCAAAGAATCGAGTTGAATAAGACCTTGTCAATGTAGGGTGTATTTCCTTTTCCTATGTTTCCTTCTTTTTCTATATATCCTTTCTTTGAAATTGTTAAACATGCATTGCCTTGCGAGCTTCACGTTAGACTGTGATAGTTCAGACGATAAAACGCCCAAATATCTCTCCATCATGCCGTTCTGAGATCTTTCCCCTTTGCTATCCTCACTTCCTCTCAACCCTTCATAGGGAGCATGATCAAGTTTCAGTTTCTTCGTTTGCTTTCTTCATTCACAACACAATATCATGTCTGACTCAGGTGATAACCAGGGTGTAGTGATTGACCACACTGATAGCGATGAGTCGTTAATCTTGATGACCTCGTCTTCGCCTACTGCTCCCAACCTTGTCCAGGAGAACCCCGGTGACCTGTTCAACGCCCCCAACGGGGCTGCTCTGATCCGTGAGAGCCCCTCATTTAGCCACCCATTATTCTACTTGGAGTCCTTTCTAATCTAGTGAATTTAGATGCGTGCAACTGCCAGGGCGTCTGGGGTGCAGGCATTGCCCGTTCATTTCGTAAGCGGGTTGGTCAACCAATACATCACTCATCTGACACAACCTGGAACTAATAGGACGATAATTTTATAGTATCCCGCTGCCTACGAGATCTATCGCAATCACTGCCTCATTTACCTCGACCACCCAGTCACCCATGTTATCACCGACCTACACGGTGAGGACCCGCAGCCCTCTCTCGTTGTTCACCGTCCCCTCGGCACTGCACTCATGATCCCACCACAGCAGAGTGACTTCCTCCTACACCACCGTCGCCATTGGATCATCTGCCTCTTTACTTCAGAGCATTATGGCAGCTGCGTGGATTCGGAGGATACGATTGTCAATCACACTTTTGCTGCCCTACAACACCTGAGTGGGCAGCTATGGGGACGCCCCCAGCAGGATTCCGAGAGCAGAAATGAGCGACCTCAGAGACTATACTCCAACCGCTTCTGCACTGGTTTGTTCAAAGTTCCCTGGGACCGCATTAGAAAATTGATCGATACAGTCGATCTGCAGATCAATGTGTACCATCCCTTTGAGGCCAGCAAACACCGTACTCGTCCTGTTCGCGTGGTGAGTCCCAGCGAGACCAGCCACGATTAAGAAAATCAAGTCATCTCCTCCCTCCCCGTGAGCAAGGCTCTCCTCTGGTGGGCTTCTACCTGGTGTGTTGAGGAGAGGGTTTAAAAGACTCATATGAGAATAATCGAGAGCAATAACCATGGAAAACATGCAAGTAACTTTGACAGACGAAAGAAACCAAAAAAAAGAGCGAAACTAAGAAGGAAGTATATCAAGTCTGTCAACTAGAAAAGTAGGGCCTCGCCTCATCACCTGACAGCGCGTACTGTAGATCGCGGACGCGTTGTCCTCCAATTTCCCCGATTTCTCCACCACTTACCAGTCATACTTGTGATTCCCACCATATTACTCATCGCACACCTTCCACGGGTATCTAGGACACCAATATGCCCGGCGAACCCCAGCCAGCTCAAAAGCGCCCACGCCTCCCCTTCAAACCTCCCAGTCGCACGACTAGCGCGGGACCATCCAGCTCTGCGCCAAAGACCAAAGGAAAAGCGAAACAAACCAGCACAAAAGCCTCCGCATCCACAACTGTGCCAAAAACAACAAAAAGCAAACCCACAACTCAAAGCAAGCCCACAGCCCAGACCAAATCCACAGGCCAAAGCAAATCTACAAGCATTGGGAAACGCCCCCGACCCGAGTCTCCGGCAGCCGATGCCAATGCCACCTCCGAATCCGAATCCGAGTCCGACTCCAGTGGATCGAGCCGCAGCCGTTCACGATCACTCTCTCAGGAGCCGGACTATATTCTTGCTGAAATTACAACTACACACCAACCAGAGGACGTGACGTCCAGCGACCCCAAAATACCCTCAAAACTGCTTACGCGCCTGCTGCACCAGCATTTCCAGAACGAAAAGACCAAGGTTGCAAAAGATGCTAATAACGTTGTTGCCAAGTATATTGATGTCTTTGTGAGGGAAGCCATCGCCCGAGCTGCTTATGAGAGGGCCGAGTCAGATGGAAATACTGGGGGCAGAGGGCTTGGGGACGGCTTTCTTGAGGTAAGTCTCCATTCTTTTGTCCTCCAATTGGCAATCCTCGGGTATTCTGATTGGTAATATAGGTTGAAGACCTTGAAAAAATGGCGCCGCAGCTTACGATGGATTTCTAGCCTCTGCATCTCTCCTACGAAGGGGTCATGGCGTTGGTTCAAATTCATCATGTATTAAGGCTTATTGTTTATTGTTCAAGATACCACAACATCAGCAGACCGCATGCAACAATTTTAATTCAAACATCTTCAAAGGCAAGAGGCCTGGAAGAGTGAAATATCCCTCGGGTTCACATACTCAGGTCGCTTTCCGACGGTATGATCCTCAATAAAAGGCGGCACTGCCCCGAAGCCATTGGCATTGTGAAATAGAGCAATATCTCTGTTAACTCTCTTTGACAACCACGCATTCGCCACATAGGCCGTGTTCCTTTTGCTGAGATGAACAACAGCAACGGGGAGCTTGTTCTGCTCGGGCAGATGGCCGAGCTTGGCGTCGTAGGTTGTGTGGCAGATGTCGAAGACGAAGAATACCCGCGTTCGCCACTTCTGAGCTGCCACCAGCTTTGTTGCTGGGTGATCTTCTTGTGGGGTGTAAATATGGCTTGCTTTGAGGAGGCGGATTGCTTTGGGTAGGAGGGCTTCTGGGTTGTTTTGGGCTTTTGATATCTGAGAACTTCGGTGTGAGACGATGACTAGGACTCGGAGGGGTTTTCCCTGAGACATGGTGGACTGTAGATGTGAGTAGTAGTCCATTTGGAGGTTTCTTATATAGGCTCTTACCGAGATAGATGAGACAGAATGTTTGGATTGTCTCTGCGCCTTGTTGTTTGTAAAGGCGCTCTGCTACAAAGATCTCTCAGGGTTCACGAGCAGAGTTTAAATGATATTTTTTTCTATCGGTATGAGGTACATGGGGGCAAAGTTCGGTGTCTTACCTGGACTAGATGATAACCCTCCAATGGTCCGACAGTCTGATGGTTGAAACTGAAAGATTTACCAGGGGATGGTCATCTGCTACATTATACAGAAACTCTATGTAATGCTGACAATCATGTGCAATGGACTTGCTTCAGCTGGAAATCAATGCTGCCAGGTACCTGGTGACTGGGTCGAGTCGAGTTGGGATTCGTGTGTCGGTCTGACATGAAATTATGTACAACATAGCAGCCCGCAGTATGTATCGGAGGTAATACAACAAAGGCCAGAGAGAAAAAGATTTAAACGAAAGCTGGATGTCACTAAGGATGTTGTAGTTGATCAACGGAAGGCGGTGGCTAGTGGATTTTCCCCCCGCGCGTGTTTTGCTTCTTCAACGCGTCAAGCCTAGCTCGAGAAGACCAATATTTTCGCGATGGATGATGCGACGACCTCCTTGCTCACTGAGCACTTCAGTTACACACCCTTAGTACGTTGATCAACACCGATATGCATTGACTCGTGCTGCACGCGCGACATGCGACCTGCGGACCCACCGCTTGCTAGGAATATCGCTGACAGCTCCCTAGTCCCTCATAGATGACATTATCAACTCGATCAACAACCTGATCTATCAAGCGATTTCGAGCTTGGAGGCCGGGCTCCTCAATACGCCCCCTGAACGGCTCGGTTTCTCTCATGACAGCAGTGGTCCCAGCATAGCGGAAACAGACGAGGATGGCAATGTGGTCTATCCCGAGGCGAAGCTAGAGATCGAGAATGGATTGCATCAGCTTGAGACGCTACTAGAAGCCAATGTTGACAAGGCCTTTGACAAATTCGAGATCTATGTGCTGCGCAACATTCTCACGGTGCCCGCAGACTTGCTCCCTTGGGTGCGGTTGAAGCACTACGAGGTATGTGCAGTCATTCACAGATTTCTAGATCTGAAGTTGCTTGAGCCTTTATAATAGGGGTATACGGTATACTAATGCATATTGTGCTAGGGTCTCTCTTTCGGATCTTCGCCTGACACACCGACGCCAGAAACCATACATGCGCAACGCAAAAAGCTGTTCGAGACGAAGAAACTGAACCGGTCGCTAAAAGAAGAACGCGCTCGAAATGACGCGGTCATCTCACAACTACAATCTATCCTATCAACAGTTGAAACAGCGAAGGCAGATGGTGTGTCTACGACGGCCGGAAACAAACCAGTTGATTTGTCCTTTTTGACCTCTACCCCATCTGCACGCCAGCTTCGTGTTGGTGTCGATGCTGGGCCGAATGCCAAACCCACGCCTCTTACAACCCACACTACTTTCATTCTCTCGCAGCTGCCCGCGTTGCAGACGACACTTGAGCAGCTCCGGCCTAAATTGGCAGCTCTACCCAATGCAACTGTGCCAATGGAAGCCAAGTCCAAGAGAGACGAGAGAAAGGAATATATCGAGAGCAGAATTCGACTCCATCTTGAGCGGGCTGGCCAGCTTGCTGTGGGTGATGACGGCAATCCAGTAGTCGCGGGTCGCAGAATCGACATCCGAGAGGCACACGCCCTTGAAAGCGTCGCAAACATGCTTACGCAAGACAAGTCTGTGTAGGAGGATGTGCATGTGAAAACTTTTGATTCTACGACTCTATTATTGAATATGTACTGGTCGCCTTACCCTTACTAAGACCAAGTGATGCTCCATGTCTCCTGGGTCTTTCTGAAGGGGACCACGTCGATCTTGTCTGATTGGAGGATCTCCGAGATCTTCTCGCCCTTCCTCTCGATGGTGATGAATTCCTTCTGCTCCTCCGGGAGGCCATAGAAGGCGCGTCCGAACTTGCTCATGAAACCCTCGACAACCTCTGGCGTGATTTCATCCTCCTTAAGGACACCGTTATCGCAGGCCTGCTCAAAGGCATCAATCACAACCTGAGTGGTGTACGGTTGGGTGAAGACACCAGCAGCGATCTTCTCGCCACCACGCTTGGATGCCGCCGGGTGCGGGGCGCTGTCGGAGCCAAAGAAGAACTTTGGGTTTCCAGAGACAGCAGCACGAAGAAGTGCATCGCGGTCGGCTGGGGTCTTAGCAACGGGCTTGCAGAAGCAGAATGGGTCGCCGGCCCATGAGTCGATGATAATGGATAGGTGATGAGCTGTGATGGTGCCAGAAACCGTGGGACCGCACGACTTCACAGCCTCCACAGCGGCAGCCGTGGTACAGTGCTCCAAAATGATACGCAGTTTGGGGAACTTGGAGTGCAGTTCAAAGAGCTTGGGAAGGAAACGCTCTTCCGCAGACAACACTGTCACATCGCCTCCGGAAGGACTTTCTCCGTGCAGGTTCAGAATCATTTCTTGTCGCTCCATCTCCTCGAAAATGGGGTAGAACTGCGTGTAGTCGACCACACCCGCAGAGGAGTTGGTCGTCACACCAGCCGGATAACTTTTGACACCAATGATGCCGCGCTTCTTAGCTTCAATGATGGTCTCCGGGGTCACAGTCTCGTGGAGGTACAGCGACATAAGGTAGTTAACATTCGGCTCGAGGGCTTGGAGACGCTTCTGGTAGTTCAGAGCACGGTCGACGGTCGTGATAGGTGGCACAAGGTTGGGCTATCGAGTGTATTAGATTTAGCACAATGGACAGGAATTGTTCCCATCCCCAAAAAAGAACTTTCTCTTACCATAACGTAAACGGTGTTCACACCACCCTGTCGGATAGTGGGAGTCACCAACTCCATCATAGGACCCTCACGAAGATGGACTATCTTTGGTTAGCTTGCAACTATCAACCCTTCCCTGGGATTGCTTAGTACCATGGAAGTCAGCTGAGGCGGGGAGCTTTACTCCCTGAAGCTTGGAGAGAGTCATTTCGAATTCAAATTCAAGCTCAGCCAATTGCAAAACCTATGATATATGTTCAAAGAAAGTTGATCACTTTTGCCCCGCCATTTCGAGGATTCTGCCGATGGCGGTGGCAACCCCAGTTCCAGCCTCTTGAGGTCTCCTTGGGATTCTCGAAATTGGGATCAGGTTATCAACATTGAAGAGTTGAGAGGTAAGATGTGTGACGATAGATTTGAAAATCGAAATATTCCGATTTTACCTGCGCCATTCCCTTTCTAAAACACCCCCAACTACGGAGCACTATGCACAGGGGTACTCGGAGAGAAACATCGATATACAAAGACTAAGGCCTAGGCTAGATCTAAGGGATACGAGAATGCCACGAATAAGCAAGGCCGAGGAGTGAGTTCCTTACCGCTGGCCCCCAGGCACAATCCTCGGCGCTTCGACGTTACCTATCACAGGTCATGGCCACGGGAAAATCAGATTTTCCCACAGACGAATGAGATTTGTCCACCACAAATTTAATACAACCCCCCCTCAGACTCTATATTTGGGTCTACTAGGCGCTTTGTTGGTGCTTGACCGATGCGTCTGCCAAGTCTGCACGTTGGCGCCCGCCCAGACAATTATACTTCGGGGATGTACAAGTCCCAGTTGCAAGGCTACTATTTACAACTCTAGACAGTCCTGCGAATTTAACCCAGAGCCTAGGACGAATCAAAGCGGTCGTTTTCCCGTCGAGGCGCTCTGCATGGCTTTATGCAGTAATATGGGCTGAATATCGTCTTCGGGATACGCGCCCATTCGATAGTCACTTGTGTGATAGCATAGCGCCCGCTAGATTAGTCCCCAGGTCGATCTCAGGACTATGTTTTGCAAATATACATATTCCAGCTGGTATCCGTTTATAATTATTTGAGACAGTCGTTTGAATATAGCTGAACATAGTGCTTGACTTTGCTTTTTGTTTCTCGTTGCCCTAGAGGGGTCCTTCATTTCTCTGATATCAATTCCTAGGAGTATCCTTGCCGGCAAGGTGATCATTAACAGTTACACACTCTCCTTCGACCCCTCTATCATCTCACGAAAGCCAACAACACTCCTTCATCATGACCTCAACCTCGTCCCTCACCGGCTCAGGCACTGCTTATTCTTCAGACATGGAGGAATCAAACTTTCTGAAACGCAGTCGTATCATTCACTTTGCACGACTTGGTCTATCTTTCTTGACTTTCAGTATTGCTATTGCCGTCGTCGGATGCGAAGCCCCACCCTTGCGGCACTATAAGCATACCTCCCAATGGGCGAGTGCCGGTCTCGCGCTGTGGCCGTTGAACTTTGACCTCCGTCCAACAACAGCCGCCATTGCGTGCGGCTGTATAATTTCCATCTTGAACTTGGTATACATCGCCGCTGCGCTCCTACCATCTGTGAGTCTTACCCTCCCACTTCGTGACAACCCTTGATACCGTCTACTAACACCGACACAGCCACATTCCCGTATCAAGCCACTTAACATCTACGCCTCAGCCTCAGCAGTCGCAGGCTTCTTAGCCGCCCTGGTCGGGATCCTATTCATAATCTACCTCCCTTCCTCGGATTACCCAGCAGGGTTCAGCAAGAACGAGACCCTCCACAGCTGGACCTGCAAGTGGAAGACTGGGACAAGCAGCATCAGTACACCCCATCACTTTGATCGTGACTGTATTAATACCCGTGCTGGCTTTGTCTTGCTGTGTGTGCTTGTTGGAATGGAAGTTCTGATGGGCCTCGTTGCTGCTGCTGGCACGTGGTACCAGCGGGATGTTACTCGTCGTCGGGCAGAGCAGGTCCAACTCGAGAAATTGGAAATTGCTACTAAGCAGACGTATCACAATTGATGAGGGAATGACATTGTGAGGCTTAGGTGCTGTATAAGCGTGGCGTTCGTTGGTCTATGTATATGAATGTATGGTTATTTTGTTGCATGGAAGGGATGTATTCGTGGTTATCTATGCTGGACATTGATGTGCTGTGAGGTGGGGGTTCACTAGTTTAGTACATCTGCAGCCTTTTTTTCCTTTTCTGTTTGGTTATGTATGTGGTGTTAATACTCTTTGCATTCTATGACTCTATTAAAATAGCCTCCAAAATCCCTTCTTCCGGGACCAATGGTCTCAAAATGCAGCGCCGAATCCTAAAACAACAAGAGCCATCCAGCTGCCAGCAGTATTCGCAACTGCAGCCCCCTCTGATGGACTTGTCGACTTCTCATGTCCAATGAAGGCTTTCGTCGGTCCGGCAGTAGTAGACGAGCTGTCACTAGTTGTTATACTGGCATCTACGCGGGTCGGCTGTGCGGCATTAGACCCGGGAAGAGTCCAGGAGGGTGCGACGGTGGTCTCTCCTTGATCGTATGCATTCGCGGTAGCACAGTCGTTAACGCTGAGTTGTCTGGCCGCTGATGAATCTGGGTCGTTGTCGGAGCAGTCTACGTAACAGCTGTTTAAGTGCATTAGTACTGTGGCGCTGAATGTGTCGATACCCCGTTGAGGAATTGCAAGAGCCAGATAGATTGTCTACTCACTTGGCAATATTTGCAGCGCCTGAGCACTTGCAGTCCCAATCAGCCTCGGAACACTTTGCGAGTCCACGCTTCATGATTGCAACGCATGAATCTACGACTCTGTTGACTATGAGAATGGAATCTTGAATGACAGATTATGGGTGCTTGGAAGCTTACTTTTGGGAAGCGCAGTTCGAATTGCCGTTCGTGCTCGGGGATGTGGGTGCTGCATCTTGGGCGGCGATGAGGGTAGCCGATGTAACAAGTAAGAGGGAAAGATGAGTAGTAACGAAACGCATATTGGTATTAACGAAAGCCAAGACGACGAATACAAGGTCTTAAATTGAGAAGAAAATGCGCGCTGATAGGTATAGATCAGATTGTGAGATAAAGTTAAAGTGAATTCACTCGAGAGTTTCTAAGACTATAGTGGGCGTTTGAAAAGCTGTATTTCGGACGTTACATCCTTATTAAAGACAATGGAACCATTGAGGTCTCTTTCAAGGCCGTGTCTATTCCCGGCACGATTGACAGGAGTCTGAAGAAAGCTCCCACGTGGAAATGAGTTACAGGCTCCACATTCTTGGCCAGGCCTCATATTGTCTTCACATTTATGCCTAAGAAAGCTATACGGATTGAATAGAGTGATTAAATCAATTGACCATGAAAGATAGTTGCTTGCGTGTGCCGGGTTAGTATAACACCTAAACAAGAAGTTGGCCCGAAGATAAAGATTGAAGCACAAAACAGCAAGCTAGCCTAAAGCGGTCTTCCTCTGGCCCAACCAAACTTGCGAGTTACCATGGCTGTCGATAATGAGGTGGTTCTTGGACATCATGACTCTCTCTGATGTCGCATTCCCGATATCGGGGTTACATTCCTCAGTTAATGCCCCTGCTTACATTGGCCAATGGTGAATGACCAGAGCCGCATTAGGAATATTTAAGACTCCACTACAATCATCTACACATTCCAGGTTTTTCTATGAGACAGATTACATACAAATTCCTGTGACCGTAAAAAGACTGGCGCTGGGGTAGTTTTATCGCTTTCAATCTTAGGCTATAACACGTAATCTTAGGTGAGTATTTGCCTATCTTAGTACCTCCACAAAGAGGTAGTGCCTCGATGTTGACCACTATAAGGTATTGATAAATGGTGATCGCGGATCGAGTTGCCAACTAGGTACACTCGATAGACAAGGATATACTTAACAAATTAGTGTCGATTCAAAACCAGATAAAGATTGATAGTTGAAAGTCATCTTATAAAACTGATGATATCTACCTATTACTTAGCACTCTCTTCGAATCGTAAGCAGTGACATTCGACGTCATCCAAGGGCGCTTATCGGCATGTCAGATATACAATAAATTGCATCTTGTCGTTCTTTTACTTTTTCAGCCTACGGTGACTCAGTATCAAGGCAAATTTACCGATTACATGATCCGCTTGGTCACTTCAGTCGTCTGAAGGGTATCTGTCCCCGCGTCGAGTTGACAGTACAATCTACTGTGAAGAGTAAAACCATCTGCGAAATTAGAAAATATCATCTCAATTTATGGCGCTGCGATATCTTACGAAAATCTACAATGAAGTATAGAACCTAGGAGTCTGATTGGCGTCGAAAATCATTCCATAGCGGGTTGGCACTCTTTTCACTATCCTGATTGCCATATAATATTTCAGGATGAGTTGGGGACTAAACAGTTTTGCCAAAAGCAGAAGTCTGCTTCGTGGGGTATAATCAAATATGTTCACGGTATACTATCACCAAGTGTATCATCATCGAGCATGGTAAAACCATATGGTTAAGAGCACCTTTGGTAGACTAACTTAGTTAATTAGAACTAGTGACTAGTAGTTTAAAAACCCCTTGATCGTAATTTGTTAATTATTACGTTCACACCTGGTAGTAATCGCGTATTTAAATGTATGTAGTATGTAGTATGTCAAATGTACCTATCTTGCAACTTTCTCCCATCTTCATTCAAATCAACACGGATGCTCAGTACCTACCTGCTCTATTCAAGTGCAAATAAAGTATAAAACATCCCATCCACAGTCCATCATTCTCGTTTCTTTATATCACGTAGTGAATACCTCTCTCTCAGCCAGTTAGTATTTCTTTCGGCTAGACACTTTCTACTTCATCCGTCATCATCAACAACCTCATTACGTACCGCTGGCTCGGCCTTTTCCATTGTGCCTCCATTCTTTTCAAAGAGACCATTGGAAACCCTTTTGTCAATCAGAGGACCTGGTACATCTTCTCTACAAGTCTTACCGCGGATATCATTCAGCCTCTGCCTACATAGGTATCTTAGTACAAGATTAGCATAGAAGCTCGGTCACACTCGGCAGTAGAGTACTGCCATTCGTTGAGATGGGACGTAGAGCCGATGCTACCGGCACTTGGCGCGACGGCTATGAAGATTTATGGGTATACGCCTATTCTTTGTTGACATGGGCGTCATAAACAATCCAGCTATGTCTAATTTCGGCCCGAAGGCTTAAAAAGCACTTAGGTCTTAGGTCTCCTTGATCCTAGAAGTATTTGGGTTTCCTTAGTCTCAGCTGATATCACTCACAGCAAAATGCTATCCAAGCCGCTACCGAGCACGACACCCGCCTTACCGCAATTCAACAGCACGTCAACGTAAGTGATCATTCCATTTCCTGCTTTCATCCATCTCAACGTCCCTGGGGTTTTATGCTAATATCATAATGTCAATTACAGCAAGAGGGTTTTCGTCCCTCCGCTTCCCGTGATGCTCGTGCCGCCGCAATTATCGCGCGGGCAATCGCAGTGCAATTGACTGTAAAATATTTCCAACCATCTTTGAATAACAACAAAAAGTATGATGTCTGACATGCACGACATGTATAGCAGCAGTTCATTGGACGCAATGGCTTGGCCCGTGGTGGTCGGGCCCGGGGCCGAGGCCGTGGTCGTGGTGATATGCGTGGTGGTCGAGGTGGTCGAGGTGGTCGAGGTAGTCGTGGCGGTCGTACTTATCCTGCTCGTGGAGGTGGTCGACGTGGTCGTGGCTCTGGAGGTATTCGTGGTGGCCGTGGCCGTGGTCACGGTGCTACCCAAGGCGCTGGAGTGAATCCTGCCGGCCAGCGAACCCCATCCGGCCAGCATGAAGGTCAGGAGCCCGCCCCAAGTCGTGGAACCCAACGGTGGGCAACAGCCCAAACTCTTCAGGAGATGGCAGGTAAGAACAATATGCTTCTCTCACATCCTCCAATCCTATCGATCCCCAATGCCTGATCACTGGCTTTGACCCCGTTTCCTGGTCGATTGTCACATGCACGCTTCCATTCTTATCTTATCATCATGCCTTGGTTGATCGTGATACTGGAAACATACTAACCGTCATACTACAGACGCCGGCTTTCCCGCGGGACGAGCTCGTCCTGCCTCGTAAGGACATGCGACAACGACGCAGTGCCCCTCGGGCCCGAATGTTAAAGACTTCCTCTTCGGCGCATTGCTGAATTTGTTTCTGGCTTCAGTCCTGTTTCTTGGCTGTTGCTGTCTGTTTTCTTGAGGTTCTTCTTCTTCTTCTCTTCTGCTTCAATTAAGAAATGAATTGTTATCTCTTTCACTCATGGGCCGGGACTCCAGGAAGCTGCCAGCCTGGGAGCTTACTCTGCCCAACAAGCATATTGCCCTAAACGGTGTCCACGTCTGTATGCATTTTGACATTCGGACAGACTGCCAATACAGTGGAAGGGCTTGCTTTTTTTTCAGATGCACAACGAGTAGTAGCAGGATAGGAGACATCCAGAGACTATATGTGCGATTTGACCGAGGCTTCTGAGCCGTATTTGTTTAGCCTCAGGCCACCATAAAGCCTTGGTTGTAGAAACAAATGAGCTCATGGCGGAAACTCCCTCTTCGCGGGAGTCTGTCAAAGCTATACGTCTGTCCAAGTGCTTCAACATGTTGTTGCTCTATAATATCAAAAAATAAAGGCAATAAGAAATTTGAAGCGCGATGCTGAAGTGTTACGCGTCGGAAATGAAGAAGAAACTCCTTTTTATCTTGCATTGTAAGCAGTACGTGCCATCCTGATGCTCAGGCGTTAATTGGAGATAACGATATATCGCGACACCGCCTTCGGCAGAAATTCGTCTTAGTTGCGCCTTGTCCTTCTGCATCTCCTCTTGATAAGCCCTGACACAGAGAGAAACATTGACAATGACAGACCCTACTCTGCCAGCAAATCAGGACCTTGATGAGGAGGCCTATGACTCCGCCGAGGATGAAGATTTTGAGCTAGACGCGGCACCGGACGACTCCGACTTATCTTCCGATGCTGATGAGGCCGGAGAACCCGCAAAGAAGAAGCGAAAGACAGACACCAAAGCTCAGATCCCCAAAGATGCAGAACTCGACTCTGGAGATGAGGCTACAATTAGAAAAGCGAAGGAGAAGAAAGAGAAAAAGACCAAGGGAAAGAAAACCAAGGGGAAACACGCGCGCGATAGCGACGAGGACGATGGCGATATTGACATGGACGACGATGAAGGAGGAACGGGGGGATTCGTGCGAACACGCGCAATGAAACAGCAGATGTAAGTTCTCTGTGCTGGCGGATATTACTTGACTTATGATCGAGTTCTAATACGCGTTTCCCGGGCAGACAAGAAGAACAGCGCAAACCGTTGGCCAAAATCGATGGCGCGACCATCGACGTGGACGCCCTATGGGCGCAGATGAATGCCCCCCAAAGCCAGACCAGCCTGCAGCCACCCCTGACCCAGGAGGTAACCGAATCCGCCCCCGATCCCGAACCAACAGGCGAAACAAAAGCACAGGACAAGGGTGCCAAAGATGCGGAATCCCAAATAGGCCCTGCCATGCACGCCGACCAGATGATCAAGATCAAGCGCACCTACAAATTTGCCGGAGAATGGATCACCGAGGAGAAGGTCGTGCCCAAACACTCGGCGGAAGCTAAAGCGTTCCTGTCAAGTGGAGAGCATGTCGAATATACCGATGAGGATGCGGCGGCCATAAACGCCGCTCGTAACCTGCGCCGACCGCTTCGCAAGATCTCGCGATTCGACCCCAATCCAACTGGCACGATCAAGAAAAGCTGGGAGAAGCAACTCGTTGCGGATGCGCGCGGACCAAAAATCAACACCGTCGAGAAGTCAAGACTGGACTGGGCCACTTATGTCGATTCAGCCGGAATCAAAGACGAGCTGCGCACGCATAGCAAAGCCAAGGAGGGTTATATCGGTCGCATGGATTTCTTGGGTCGCATGGAAGAGAAGAGGGAAGAGGAACGGCGGAATGCACGGCTCAAGGGTGTATGAAAGCAGCCCTTGTGCACTCTCTGCCCAAGTCTATTCTTGTGTCAGACACATTCCTCCCGCCGCGTGCTGCAACAAGGATATGGCTTCATATGGAGTCGTGTTAGTGTGGAAATATCTGCAAACCTTGTGCACCCGGCGGCTAGCTCTACTTTGAGCAATAGCTCACTTGATTCGGATTGGAAGTGTGAGCTCTCGACCCACTACATGGCAGCGATCATGAGCGGGCATTCACGAGAATGACTGACATCCTTGCTTCGAGTCTCCATACGACTATGTGGCCAACGCCCTGCAGTACAACCACCGGTCTGCATCTACACCCAGTGGAACGGGTATTGTCAGACAATACGATCATCATCATATCAGATTAACGAGAACTCGAATCTGTACTATATAGCAATAATCCAGAGATACCATTTCAGCGACACACATTCAGTGTGCAGATCAACAAGAACAATCATCAATCCACCTCAATCCACATCAATCCCCATTCTCCATTTACTTGGGCACATACTTGATGCCAGTCTTGGGGCAGCCAGAAGTGGTGACTAAAAGAACCAAGTCAGTAAAGCACCAACCAAAGAACAAAAGGATAAAAACTTACGCGTATCAACAGCCTTATATGTTCCATCAATAGCATTGCCCTTGACGTTAAAGAAGTACCAAGCCTGGTTCAACTCGCCGCTCGAGCAACCGAGGTAAACCTCCGCGCCGTGCAGGTCAGTAAGAGCCGCCTGGATATCGGCGAGACTGTATGTCTTGGAGGTACTCGGGGTAATGCCAGCAGCGGCGAGAGCCTGGGACACACAGTCAGAAACGAACAGCCCAAATGAAAGAGCCGAAGGGGAATCAGGGACATACCTTGTGCGTATCCAACGTCTTGAACAGATCAACTGTCTTCTGGAAGAAGTCACCGACTTCCTCCTGCGCGGTGTAATCGGAATAGCAGCTCGGCTCGATAGTGTTGATGCAAGTACCGTGCTTGCTCCACTCGTGCGACCAAAAGTCCTCATTATCTCCCTTGATATCAACCCAGTAATTGTCCATATAGTCGACCAGGTCACCGAGGTCCTGATCCTGCAGGATGGCTGTGATATTGGTGTAAGCGCGCTTCGAGTCGCAGCTTGCCTCGTATGTGCCGTCGCAGTTGTCGGGCCTGGAGGGGATGTTAGTTTATTCTCTTATAGACCAGGTTGGATGTCAAGGCTACGCACCACAGTCCGTGAATGGTCCACGAGTCATCAGGACCGGTTGATGGGCTGGTATCCCAGAACTGGGTCAGGAGGAGGGCACCGCCTGGGGAGTTGAAGCAGCAGGATGGCTCTTCGGAGGAGCTTGAGCAGCTGAGGGGGGTGTCGTTGTCGCAGGTTTCGAGGCTGGCGGTTGTGCCAGCGATGAGGCTCATAGCTGCCAGGGCGAACATGCCCTTTGTGGATTGGGATTGAAACATTTTGTCCGGAGTGGATTGAGAAGGAATTGTGGAGGTGAGTGAAGATATGTAAAGGGATTATACAATGGTTTTATATGCTTTAGTCCACATCACACTCGGCATATACATCTCAGGCACAAAATATACAATGTGGCACATGCACCGATAAGACGAAGTTGATTTGTTCTCGGACGTCGCCGCTACACCTATCATCTCGGCAAAGGAGTAATATAAGATACAGTAGTGCCAATCGAACTAGGCGACGATCACCGAGCGGGGCAAGTTGCGTTGTGGACTTTCTCCAATGACGAGACGGAAATACACAACGGACTCAACCGCTAAGTAAGAGTCCGACGGTTTTCGTCTGCAGAAGACTGACGAAACGCCTCTTGAGGTTGCATCGCCCGAGGTGCTCCTTCGGATCTCCGACTGGTTGCTTCAAGTTGATTCAACCCCGCAAGATTAGACCCGCCGATCGCCTCACCTTGACGAACCAGAACGCTTAGCGCTGGATCTGGTAGACTTCGTTTTATCTAAAAGATGGTGTTGCTTCGCTTAGAGGACAATGGCTTGTTGGGGGTATCACACTGATGTGATTACTACTGGGTAGGATATACAGGAGGGTCCCGTTTGCGCCATCTCTGCAGGCTGACAAAGTGTTCTCCACATAAAAGAACCCGTGTTGAATCGCTTGGATGTGCTGAAATTGATCAAAGAAATATAGAGTTTACTGAGATAACAAAGGTTCCTGTTCCTGTTCCTCATCTTTGGCTCGCGAAGACGGTCCAAGTCGAATGTGCCAAAGGGCGGTGACAGCAACAGCGAAAAACAGAGAGGCTTGCAAGAACGGAAGTCCCATCCACGCAGGTCCAAGGCGCATGCCTAATTGGAAGAGTTTGGCAAATAAGGGGCCCGAGATGAGTGTTCCCACGCCCTGTGCAATGGCAATTGCCGAGTACAAGGTGGCAGCATGGTCGGGTTGGACGAGTGAAGTAGCCATACTGCGTGTGCTGACCACGAACGCCGAGCCGATTGACGAGATGACCTGACCACTGATCAAGATAGCGGGTGTCGGGGCTATAAAGATAACGGCGAATCCAATGGTTGAAAGTATGCCGGTGCCTTTGCCAAGGAAATGGTCGATATGCTTTCCACGGATGTTTAGATATTTGGCGACTAAGAATGTCAGGATTGGCATTATAACCAAATATGTCACTAGAGCAAATATCCCGCGCAGCGAGATCAAGAGACTGGCCTATAGCAAGGTTAGTTTGATTATTCGGTGTGGAGAGAACAGGTACATACGCGACTAATACTCCAGTCAAACTTCTTTGACACATATTGCAGAAGTAGGTTTGTGCATTGTCGACTTATCATGGTGACAAACATCACAAAGACCATTAGACAGATATTGAAATCGGTCCAAATGAAGCGTGTCGACTGTACAAACTCGTGAACTTGTCGGGTGATCTCCTGTACCGCTGTCTGCTTTCGCATAGGTTGGGACTGCACGCTTTCGCTGTCCTGTTCTGGGCTTTCTGGATTGATTCGAGTTGCTTTGGTGTGTCTGAGAGTCTCGGGCAGGAAAAGGGCTGGCATAGATCCCACAATGATGATGCATATTGATAGAAGGTACGGAAACATTGGACCGAAAGTCATCAGATAAGCACTGAATGGAGTGGCGAGAATCTCTGCGAGTTGGATACAAGATTGTAAACGGAAGAGCGCAGTTGCTCTGTATCTATGTTAGATTTATCACAAAGAAGGATCAAGGCATAACAGTACCTCTCATCTTCAGAGAAGACCTCGGCCATTATGACCATGGCAATGGCCGTGAGGACTTGTTCGCCGCCGCCAATGATTTTAAATACAGAGGACAGCCAGACCATCCGGATGGGAATGACACTTGACCACAGGCCTAAGATAAAGGGATCAGTAAAACGTTGACCGAAGAGTTCAATGACTTACAAACTATCCGAACCCAGATCTCCCCGAGGATAATGCCCAGAATACTAAGATACAGGATAGGCCTCCGCCCCCAGTGATCCGAGAGGACGCCATATGGCAGCGAGAGTAAAAGACCTGCATTTTCAAAGCATCAGCAACTTGACCTTGGTATATTGTAAACAACACACATACCGGGGATCACATCGAATGTATTTTGGTACCCAATCACAAGCGCCAGTTCTCCTTGTACAGCCTCGGATTTACACGGGTTGGACACCGGTGGAGTCAGGGCCTCATTTCCCGCCCCATGAAGTGTGGCCTGGTAGTTTCGACAGATAATATCCTCATATACTGCGAGTTGTGGGGCGGAGGACATGAAGAATCCGAAGTCGGCCGATAACAAGAATATAGCGCACACGATGCAGACCAGTAGTTTCTTTGGATGCCGGGCTGGCTTGGTCGCGTGTGAGCCCAGCAGTGGCTCTGTCTCTGTTATTGTGTCGGTCATTGTGAATTGTTTTGGTTTAAAGGGAGCTGAACCCTAGAAGTGCCCCTAGACATCAAGAATGTCGAGGGGGAATTCAAAGGTGACGCGATCTCCTTTAAAGCACCATTAACTTGCTGCCTTAGTGCTTATGAATCGGAGTTCAAGGGCTGACCGTTAGATCGTTGGCGCAGGGTATCTGCACCCCTCTTTTTTTTTTTCTTTCTTTATCTCGGACTTTTCCTTCAACTTCACATTCTTGACATTGTTCTTGATGTTAACTTGGTATTCTGAAATTCAAGCCAAACCCACCTATTTGTGTAATTCCAACATCCCTATAACTGGTAATCCCCAGGTACTCCTCGAAATCTCCCAACGGTCGCCTTATCTTGAGGCTCGGATCTCGGAGTTCGGGGATCTGACGTGTCTTAGCGGCCCAATTATCAGCTCCACGTTTTCATGACGTCGCATAACGCTTAAATCCAGGCGGATGGCGATATATGGCGTTTAGGGAGACATGCCACAGTTTCCCTGAGCTCATATAAGCAACCCTTGAGTCAGGGCCCGTGAAACCAAACCTTACCATGAACGCTTCCAGGATAACCAAGAGAAACGTGGTCTTGGGTGGTGTAGGATAATCGTGCGATCTGCCTCCTTCCGATCTAGACACAGTTCAACAGACATATTCCCAACACGCGACCATCCCCACCTCCATGCTGGTCTTCCCATCGGTCTGGACCCGAAACATGCATCAGTCGGTCCTTCAACACACCGACAGATGAGGTTTGCGACAAACCAACTGCCCCAGGTCCACCACAAAGTAGGAAGACGTTTGACCGTACGGAGTACTCCGTACAATATACCCAAAGCTTCGGTGATATGCAGTGATCTCTCACACGAAATTGCTGACCGCATTTTCTCTTGTCCTTATAACCCTGCAAGTTCCCGTCCACGGGTCTCGCCTTTGTCTTCTGCATGCGCCCGAAGCTGCACCGTGAGATTTCATATCTGACCGCCAGAACTCTGCATGATTGTGGAGATCGTGAAATCCCCGGGACCGGGGAATTTACTCGGATGATTAAGCAAAGGTTTTCTTTGCTTTTTTTCTGGTCTACCGCTTTCCGTTGCACGACAAGCGGGAGT